TTTTGTATAAAATATTAGAAAGAGTAATTTTCATCATACGCAGGCATCCCGTTTCTATGAATTTCGGGCCGATCAGGGTTGGCCAACACGCCGGTCGATCGCTACGTCTCGAGTAGTCCATCGCGTCTGATGTTGAGTGAATTTATTAAAATACCCAAAAAATATTCCACGAATACAGTACTGTACATGCATAAATACGATATACACATACAATACACTTATACCAATGATATCCAACGGTAGTCGAACTGCTTCATAGCAAAACATTCCATGTTGTAACTATCATTTGGGCTTACCACAGACTACCTTTCCTTGCTGTTGCTATATGCCTTTGCGTGGATGATGATGAGTAGCAAGAAGCATTTGATCAAAGACTATTCTCTTTAATAAAGAGTAACGTAAAAATATAGTAAACTAAATATAAACTAATCTACGGTTTCCACCTACATCGACAGGGGCTGATATTGATATACCTTCTACAGGCGCATTAGCAGCTACCACATGTATTCTTATGGGTGATGACCCGCTGTATTTGTCAAATGGTGTGTCAGTTGTCGACCCTTGATTAATTTATATAGATCTAATACCAAAAGAATTTTCCTACTGTAAACAAAAGTTTTTGATAAAAAAAAATCTAAACTTTTAGTTATTACCAGTTCCTCAATTCAAAATTCAAACAATTTTAATTAAGTATATCTTTTTTAGACACAATTTCACAAGGTTGACGATTGCGGTCTTTTTCTGCAAAGGTCTCCTCTTTTATCGCTAAACGACGTTTGCTATTTGTGTTTCTCACGGCTACCCCTGCACTCGACGGAAATCCATAGTGTGGTCCATTTTCAAAATATGCTTGACGTTGAGGAAATGTAAACGCTGTAAAAGCATTCCACGAATGCCCAGGATGATCAGAGAAAAATAAACGGCAGAGCGATATCTCGTTGAAAACGACAATTTTGCTGGCATGAAGCAACATTTGATCTGTTAGAATTTTGGTTTCAACTGTCACTCCAAAATATGGATAAAATCAGTCCCGAATGTTTCAACAATATACTTCATAGCAGGGGTCACCAACCCGTTGCCCGCGGGCACCAAGTCGCCCGTGAAGACCGCATTAGTCGCCCGTAGGTCTGTTCCGAAATAAGCTTAATAACGGCGCTTATAAGTAAGCTGCATCACATCAATTTTTGTCATGTTATTCTTGTATAAATCACACTCACGGTATGTCTTATTTGGGAACTATGTCTATTATGGTAATTATTATGTCAATTATTATGGTAACGATCATCCTAACTTTTATTTGACGTCAGTAATGTGACGGGTCATTTATTACTCTCCCAATTATGACATCACACAGCCTTCCATGGACCCTTCCATGAACCCGCGCTTTTTCCTGGCCGTTGATTTGTGGAGCAGCAATGCCAATAATACAATTATTGATTTCAAAGTAAAATAGCAAAAATACGAAAGAAAAGCTACCATTTGCACGATGAATGAGAGGTGGATTTTCTTTTCCCACCGTGAAAACAGCTTGCGTATGTCTCATTTGCGGGGAGTTTATAGCGACGACAAAGCGAAGAGACATTTCACATCTTGTCACTATCCATTGGTCAGCGCAGTAGGGGCAGAAAAAAGCTCGCATTTTAAATCAAACAGCAATCCTATGTTACGAGATCAGCGTTTGGTTCAAGCCATCTTTGTGAATCAACATTTTTTGGTATGAACTCCACAAGGAACTATAAGCACGGAATACGCCTTACTCATGAAAATCTGCAAGACCCGCTCAGAGTTACAGTGTCAAGTTACACGCCTGAGTAAAACACCTGGTGGAGAGCATTAGACCAGATTTGTTCGATTTTGGTTTTCTCCTTGTTGAAAACAAGATATTCATAATTAGTTAAATGTGTTTTTAAATGTAGCATTCGGCAGTACAGTACAGTTATGCAGGGTGTTTGTAAAAAAGTAGGTACATTGTGAACCTGTGATCTCCGAGGATATTATTGTAGTGATCACTTTAAAATCAATTCGAAAAACACTCATTTTGAAAATGGAAGTGTCATTGCTAGTAATTTATTTGCTACGTTGTGATAATCGTTTGATATCCTGAAGAATCCTGAAGTTTATCAGTGTTTTTACTAAAAATCAGTAATTATCAATAATTGAAGGTTAATCGAGCAAATTTACTTTTTCAAAAGTGTGCATTTGACTGGTAGCCCTCGGCCTAATCGGTACCCAGAAAGTAGCCCTCGGCTTCGAAAAGGTTGGTGACCCTTGCTTTAAAGGAAGTGAACGTAGTGATTCAGGATTGAATTCATAGCCAGTTTATTCAGGAAGTCGTTATAGTTTTCTAACTGGGAAAGATATCATCATTGTCGAAAGCTGCTACAGCTAATCGGTGTAATGTCACGATTAGATATTTTTCTTTAGTCCGTTACGCTTTGTCCCGGAATAAGGAAATTCGGAAAGTGCATTAGCAATTGTGATTGGGCCATATTTCAAAGGAATAAATGTTCATCAAACTTGCTATGCTAGTGCCACGACCTGATCCACTTCCGTAACCGCACGATTTTAAACTACAAAATGTTTTAGCTATGATAGCAATTTTTCAGTCTATAAACGTTCATTAAGTGAGACGTTATTGAATGCCAGAGAGAGCAGCGTGGAGTCTAGAAATGATTAAAATCATAATTGTAACGCTGACAACTCTTCTATTAACTGCTGGACTCTCTATATCAGGTTAGATTTTTTTCTCTTATGAGTTTTCTCCTGTAGCAAGTCGAAAATAATTTTTCAATTCTACATTTCTACGGAAGATAATAATATTAATTCATCGGTCCATATGGACTGCGGCGGTAACATTAACTTCATGTAATGGGCGGATATCAGTATGGAAAGCGAAAAATATGTGACAACTTCATGAATTACGAGGAACTGGTTATCGCATCCGAATACTAGAATTTCAGATAGAATTACATCGAATCGAAAATATGTTTATGGTTCTCGATTTCAAAAGATGCTGCAATTCGGTATCAACTCTCTAGTCCAGCGCTCCTCAACCGGTGGTTCGCGGCTCACTGGCGGGTCGCCAAGCATCTAATGGTGAGCCGCGAACTCGTTGCCAAGTTATTCGTATTTTTCTATATATTTTGTGTTAGAATTTGAATTATTTCGACTTTTTAATAGGATAGCAACACTTTGTGGTATTTGAGAATAGTAAGGTTTTCATTTTTCTATAAGTATGAAAATACGAATAAAAAATATTTATAATCGAGCAGTTAGTCATTCATGATTAACATATTGAATATGTCACTCGATTACACCTATCTTCGTTGGAGAGCACATGTTTATAAGTAGACGCTATCATATGTTCGGATCGCCACTAAACAATCGTTAATCTATGTAAATCTTGTTTAAAATGATAAATTTTCAAATTCCAGTCATTTGGCAGTTGACTGCAGCTTTGATTCCCATCTCCAGCAGTTTACCCCACATCCTGATTTCTCTTTCTGGGATTACAAAATATTACATACGAAGACAATAATCTATTCTTATTCTGTTGCAAATTTTGATTTCAAATCTGAATTTCAGGGGAATCTAGAATATAGACTCCGCGAAGTTTCAAAATTTACCTTCGGAACATCCTTGTCTGAAATGTATTATTACTGAGTTGATAGCTTAAATCCAAAATCGGACACATATATCGATGGTAATTTTGGGATTAGATCCTTTTATGAACTATTTTATTCATGAGAAGTTGAACAATTTTTCATTTTATAAATTTAAATTATATAATTTTTTTCATATAAATTTTAGCAACTGAACGATGCGAAATGGCAGCGATTTGCGATGAAAAACCTGTATGGATGACAGTGCCAACGAATAAAGATGAGGCAAGATACCATTACTAGTAAAACTTTTTTTCATTTTATATTTTGGGCACCAAAACCTGCGTTTTCATTTGACATTATAGGACCAATGCAGAGAAGGGTAAATGTAGTTTTCATTCAGCGACTAGTAAATTCCCAAGCGACACACATTTAACCACCAAACTGCTCTGAAGAACGCCTGTCAAGTGTGCCGCTGCACCCCGCTGGTGGGACACATACTGGTACACAATGGGGCAGTCTATTAAACTAAACAAAATATTCAGGTAAAATTAGCAACGAATCAGCTTCATCATTTGAAGACCTGTGCGACTTCAAGTTTGTAGATTTATTATTTTTGAAATATTGTTCAACCAAAATGTTTCATTTTTTTTTTCGAATAATTAAAAAAAAAAAAATTTCCCCACATTGGCAACATAAAACTTTGACGACATATATATATATATACGTGTCTATTTACTCTGCCATTGTAGAATTGCCTGTTGAATATTTCAGATGCTTATTATTGAATCTGAAATAAATTCTGAAACAAAAAAAAGTTATTTGTTAGATAGTTAGAAGGTTCAAAAACATTAAATACTGTTTTCGAGTCAAAATTAAAAAAAAAAAAAAACGAAAGTGTAATTTTTTTAGTAACTAAACTCCTCAAATGTGTTCAATAAAAGTAATTAATTCATTAAAAGTAATAATTCACTTTTTCAAAAACACTCTGGACCATTTCAGATTGGACCATGGGCCTAACACTAATCTAATATTACACAAAAAATAACGCAAAACTGGGCCTCTACGCATTCAATGGATAAATCACTGACCGTGTCACTGCGCCGTGGAACATGTCCCACTGAACCTCGGGATTTCGTAGTGGACTGAAGCTAAAATAGCCAGACTGTATTTGTAAACGTCCATCACAACTACCATCATCTAAATGGCTTTTGTGTAACACGCGAACGTCTTATCCACGGCTTGATGGTACAAAATTTGCCATCAAAACGTATTGCGAGTGGCCAAACTAATGTACGAAGCAAATTTAGCCCTTGTTTTTTTGATCAAAATCAAATTGTCATTAGTTCTTGCGTATCGTATAAACAAAATTCTAAATATTCTAATGTAGCGTCCAAAGTTTAATATGACGATTCTGTTTTGTTTTTCTAGACTTCCTACTCCGCTCAGGATTGTGATAGGGATATTCAAAGAATAAAAGGTAGCTATGTGATGCTATAGATAAGAAACCATTTGAACATTAAGAATCTATCTTCTGACACTATAAATCGGCAGCGTCCATTTCAATACAGTCATATGTATCAAGTGGTGAGCATGTAGTAACAATCATGAATTCATGTCTCCAATTCAACATTTAATAACTTGCCCAGGAAGATAAAAAATTTCTATAAGCAGTTTGTCGTAAATTGTTTATGAATCAGATAATAAAGCTCAGAAAACGATATTTTTTCATTAAGAACTGGACTCTATGGAACGAATAATTGGATACAGAGATGCATATAGATCGTTTTTCTTGTTGTGATTTGGGGGGTTTATTTTGTTGTTATTGGGTATCGATGTCAAATTTGTAGTACATAAAAATTGAAGTATTTGCCAGAAGGCTCTGTTTTTTCAATTTGTGGCTGGGTCCTATGGGAACCGATATTTTAACAAAAATGTTGCAGTTTTATCTCAATTACAGGGGAACATTTTTATTATGTATTGGCCGATGTTTTCAGTAAACCACCGAGCGCAGTCTTCGTGTCCATATATTTGAGCATTGCACAGATGTTAAGTTCAAGTAATTTCTAACCGTATTAGTTAACTATAATATTGCTCAATTTAAGATCATATGGCTGAGTTTCGTCTTCTAGAGAAGGCTTTGCGCAAAAGATTAAACAAATACAAAAGCTTGAAGCAGTCTACACCATTTAAGAAAGGTAATTGCTACGTTATTTTTACATTTTATTTATAGATTGAGAGTATTTTATAACAAGAATGAAAAATAGACAATTATCATTTATGTTTTAAACATAGCGTGAGAGTGTAGTGTGAACGTACCAGGATGTTTTATTAGAAATATATAAGTTATATTAGGAATAGGATGATAAATGGATTTGAATATGCCATTCATTAAACGTGAAATTAAAATTTATGTGAATAGTTCTGGAAGGTCAACACTTTTCAAAGTATGTTGGAAACTTGGAATTAAATGTAATTAACACACAGTTGTAGAATTATATCTTATTTCTTCAGTGATTGGTTGCAACTTTTCTACTGGTCTATCTTGGGATCGAATTATTTTGAAATTTCTGAAAGTGTTCTTACTTCTACCTAAATTCTTCCTGAACACCTTACTAGATTCGATTGTTGCAGTTAAGAAAATAGCGTTCATTTCAGTCGTCAATTTTCTTATGAATAATGGAAATTTCCAATGTGTTTAGACATGCTGACGTCGACTGCAACTCCGGCCGACATCACTACAGAGACGTTAAGTCCAACCAATGACTTATTACCTACTGTTTCAACTATAGACAGTATGTACTGTTTGTTACTAAATCAAGGGTATTTTGAAACCAAAATACCACATGAAATTATTGATAATAATTAATTGATGTGCCAAAATATCGAATGAATGTATATTTAGGACGTATTTTGACTCGATGAAGGAATGCACATCGTATATTTCACATGTGTAATTTCATTTCATCACTACACGTCAAAAGTTAAAAATACAACTATAATTTGATGAATTTGAATATCTCATTTATATTACTTGGAATCAGTGAATGTTTCGAAATATTTACGAGAGGTAATGATGATGAAAATTTTGAAATATAATAGCTTTGAAAATACGGTTGAAACGGTTTCCAACTTTCTTTCGGTGATCAGTGGCAACTTTTCCCTCTGGACTTTTCTAATAGCAACCAGTGATGTTCGCTGGATAACAGAAATTTTCAATGTTATCAGGTGTGCCAACTTCCACTGTAACTTCAGTCCTCATCTCAACTAAACCATTAGTTACGACAACCTATTTACAACAACCTATTATAATCGACTGTACTAACAATTGGAACGAACCAAGTAAGATGTGTTTAATAGTCAACAAGGCAATTAGCTTAGGTATTAATTAATAAAATACAAAATAAGTATTTACTTCTTGCATGTTATGTCACATTACCAGTAAACAAATTAAGTCTTATATAAAGTCTATAAGCAAAAAGTTTATGTTGCTAAATAATGTTTAAGTGCGTTCATAAAATGTAAAGTGAAATAAAATGAATTTGCGGTTCAAGTTTATTCCAACGAGTGGATGAAGTAAATAGTTTACTGTTTTGCGCTAATGAATAGTAACTTCACTCTGACGAACAGCTAAGAATCTCCATGATTTTTTATTTTAACGATATAAAACCGAAGTACGTAGATTACAACCAGCAAAACAATTTTCGCCTCAAAACAGTTTACAAGATTCACAAAAACCTCAGTAGTGGATATTTTTTTTTTCCAGCAAGCTACGTCTACGTTGGCTGTTATAATGAGGAAACGCCATTCACAGGAGGAAGAGTAATAGCAACAGTCGAAGGACAGTATCCGACAGTTTCGGGCTCGTATAGAGCCAGAACAAATGCAATACAGAAATGTGCAAGAATAGCATTTTGTTTGGGATACAAGGTTTTTGCCCTACAAGATGGTGGCTGGTAATTATATCTAAATTTTTTTATATGTACAGTAATTTAGATCGTGTTTATGCAACCCTTCAAAAACGTTAAGCACCGCTATGACCATTTTAATGTGGTGGTTATTCTAATCTGATCTTACTTCTTTTTCTGATGTGCGCATTTTTGTCTTTATGAATGAGAGAAATATGTAGAAACGAGGCAAACAATGTTTCTAACAAAGATCTGTCAAGCCAACTTCATTCTTCAAATAAGAATGCCTGTATGATCATTACCAAATTTTGTGTATGTATATACTCAATGTAACTCTGTACAATAGGTGTGCTACATCAGAGAACGCCCACTTGACGTACAATTCATATGGCCATTCCTCTGCGTGCCCACCAGGAGGAGGCGAAGGAGCTCCAGCCACGAATGCTGTATACCAGATAACTAACAATTTTTAAACTGTTTGTATAAGACTCTGGTAATAACTTTGAACCTAACATAAGCCTAATACGATTTGAATAAAATGAATTTTTTCTGTTTCTGTCTTGTACTTATCAAGACTCGTCCTATCAGCCCAGTATATAAACCCGGATATATTTTACGGACGACCGACTACCTTTGGTCTTACAAAACTAATTTTTTTTTTTTTTCCAATCTTCAAATAGATACAACTTCACTAAAATATTGTGTTAGTGGTATTTCAAATTGCTTACAGAATTCGTTTGCTTATAAAATTATCGTACGTTAGTAAGGTGGGCAAGAAGCATCCAAACGAACTGATTAGTAGCGTAGCCAACCTAAAAGTTTGGTTGGGGCAATTTTTTGGTGATTACGTATTACGACGCGTACTCGCGCTTTTTGCTCTGAAAAGACCACATTAAAGCAGCCACCGATATCTTAAAAAATCTATCCACACACTTACTCCATTAATCAAGATATATAAGTGCGCATTTCATCTATCTCGGTTGGTGCATTTGGGGAAAATGCTAAATAGGCACTGTATAGCAACCTCGTCAAATCCCAATCGGAGAATAATTGTCGCTTTGTATTTCTAAACAATATGTGTACGTATGAAATTTTCATTCATCTGCAAAAGTTAGTTGATTAAATCAATTGAATTTTGCTCTGTCTTTTTATCTCTCAGATTATAAAAGTAAAATACCAATATCTGTGTCATCGTTTATTTTATTTTTCCTCGTCGTGTCAATGTCCCAGTTAGATGTATAAACACTTTGTTACTTACCGATTGAAGTTCCTGAGTAAATTAAAATTACTTCATTCAATGACCCGGATGTATTTGCTCTATATTTAAAAAATAAACTTGACAAACATATGAATAAAGTTGTGTCGAAATGTAGCAACAAAGCCGTAATTAAAATATGACGTTATCTATTGGAACTTACAAAGAATGTCATATTTGAATTGCCGCATTGTTGCCACATTTCGACGCCATCGTTGTAAAATTTCATTAATGCTGTTATTGCCTCTTTGGATAGTTACAAAATTAGCCAAGTCAGTATTTTGATGAGTAAACGAATAACTCGCTGAGCATCCAGGTTTCTCTTACAAAACTTTGGGGCTCCATGTGGAGCGCTTTGAGAACTTATGATTTAGTTTAGATAATAATTACCAACTCCAGTACTCTAATTCTTAGATTTACTCCAGTACGAAACAGAGAAAAAAGTTGGCTGATAATTCCAAAATCTTCAGTAGGCCAATTTATAGGAAATTTATCATTGATAGCCAACTTGTTTGATGATATTTGTGCGTATGCATGACTTGCTAATAAAACTGAAAAGTTTCAATCATTATGATCAAAATGAAACAAAAGGTATTCAATTACGTTTGTGGTGGGAAAGAGTTACGTTGTCTTGGTGCCTCTCCTTGACTGATTACAGCACGGTAGCCTTTCATCGGGCATAGGCATTGTCCTTCACAAAAGAAACACGAATTATGATCGCGTACCGGGATTTAGTTCCACTCGTTATAATGGTCACCCTCTCATTGTAACAACCATGTTAGCCATAGTTCAGTCTGAGAACACTACATCAGGCAGTAAGGTTTTACAACACATAGCCGTCCTTGTTTGGCTCAGTGGCCCAAAAGGCAAAAACAGAGCAGCCTAAATATCTCCATCTTATCTAAATCCGGACAGTACGGAACGTTGAATAGCTGAGCGTTATTTTTTGAGATTTGTAGTAGCCCAAGTGATTTTCAGATTTAATAGAAAACATAACAAGTAATATATTATATATCGAACATAATACGTTGAAATAAAAGCTCTTCGTTATGTAAACATTGTGATATATTTCCCTTATTAGGATATATGTATAAAATATTTATGAGGTATGTTATTTTCCTCATCTAACGAAATAAAGCAAAAATTTGTCTTCATAAACAAAGTCGGATAACGTTTATTGTAAATATATATTATTGACCTAATATGATGAGGTTTATACACAAAGGCAGTGATAGCAAATATATTCACTCACGTTAAAGACTTGATGTTATTTACATAGTCTTAAGAGACCATTCAGTACTGTTGATGTCAGACTTGAAAGACTATTAGACGACTTAGTTAATTTCTTGAAGCGAGAATTTTAACAAAATTTGAATTTAGTTGTTCTCAATCTCAGATTTTCATTTAGTAAGTAAAAAAACGTCTATTTTGTCATACGTTGTTACAGTAGCAATACTCATTATATTTCATCAGTCTTGACGATATATGTTTTTAAAAGAAAAGACTTTTATTACTACACATGATGTTAATAAATAACGCACTTTTTCTAGCCGTAAATAGAATACAACAGTTGGTTTACTTACTATGATGATGTCAGCATAAGAACAATAAATGAGCATTGTAAGCTCTCGGAAATAGTTTCTTTATATAAAGGCAGTTCCAGACATTCTAAGCTACTGAATACAATGCTATGTCAATAAAATGTAATCTCTCCTACATGTCACTCAGTATTGAAAAGTCATAGTTAGCGACGACAATTGTGTAAAACAATAAACTCAGGGTTTCAATCGAGAGTGACAGGCTGATTTTAGAATCCGGAAAACAATACAAAATGACTCTTAGTGAGCTTTCACCTGCGCCGGCAGTGGCCTCTCAAAGCACCCTATCTGCGCCGACCGGTTGGACTGACAAAGGCGTCTCTATGGGACAAAATTTACTTGCAAGCCGGCTGGATGCCCGAACCAAAATGCGTATGTCTGTACAAGAAGCTCGAATGCGCGCAAAATTGCCACCGAGCGAAAGACTTCCACCAGTACTAAAACTTTCCCCAAGAGCCAATATCGAGCCTCATAAAGAAATTGCTGCTAAAGAAATTCTACCAGTCGAAATCGTAAACCCAGGTACTCCCCCACCTCCGTGCAACGCGTTTGATGTAAAGAAAGATCGGAGCTTAATAAACAATTTAATAAGGTAGGTTTTTAGTAAGCTCGCTTTATTCTTCAATATAGGTTTGAGTACATATATACCAGTTAAATCTAATTTCCCGAAAAAAAAAACCTAGTTATCATTTTTCATTGAATTGTATGTGTCATGATTACCGTATAACTTGTGAAGTTTCCAATCACACAATCCAATCAATATAATATGCAACAAAAATGAAGATGTATGTGATCCTGTCGTCACTGAACTGCCATGTTTTAGTTATTTATTGCAGAATACCATGTTTCCGATAGAAAAAAGGTACCCAAGCGAACGTGCTTTCAGTACAAACATGAAGCACAATAATATTCGTTTCGTCGTGCTTATAACAACACAGTCGCTGAATCTGCAAAGCCGATAATTGAAAAAAGTTATGTGGCAATTTTTCAGGGAAACTGAATTTCAAGATCAGAACGGCAATGAGAAGAAAATGATGGAACCAAGTAAAAAATTTGTAAAACACATTTGTGGATGGAATTTAGATTACGATAAATATCATTTGAAGACAAGAAGTACCGAAAACCGAACTGTTTGTACAGCAAAAACACCACAAAAAAGAACAATACCCTCAACCCCGACATTGGCTTCAGACTTGAAGATTAAAATCAATTTATATGATAGATATACTGCCAATTCAGTTGGAGCAATATTCAAGTTTTTTCATTATGCGGATTTAAGGTTGTATATAAAGCAATATCGACGTAATCATTCATGTGGTGTGGGACAAAGGACACATTTAACAAGCGGTAATGTTTTTATTTTTAACTGAGTATGCTGACCTGCTTATATATATAGAGCGCGTCGCACAATTCAAATATTCGGTTTGCGTTTTCTATTTCAGTGTCACCTGTTTATGAAAATAACATGTATCGTCTTACTGGTCCACCCGAACATACTCCATATTACTACAACGCAACAAAAGCAAGAGATGGATTCGTATTGGGTGTGCAATCTACACCAGTGACACCTAATATATGGAAAGTAGGTGAAATAGATATATTTTCATATCTCTCATTCTTGATTACCTACAACAACTTAAATTAAACATTGTCATTCAAGTTAACTGACAATGTACTTTCTACATCATACACTATTTGACTAATGAATCATTTTTTTTTATCTTAAAATGAAATCAATTTGGTGTAAGCAATGATGGTCTATCTGAAAATACGTATTTGAAGCTCAAAATGATTGTGATATTCAGAAACTTTGCACGACTTCGACTTTTAGTACATTCCATAAAATGATTAACAAGTATTGTGTGTTACATGATCTGAGTCAACGTATCAAAAATGCATCGTGTACCCAATATGACAACAATGAATATGTAGATTGTGTAACTAATTGGAGAAATCTAAAAAAAAAAACTAATTATCATTGATATTTTAGGCAAATGCCAATCTTCCATTACCGTCAGCTTTTCGTCAAAGATATTCAAGAGAGAGGAGACCACGAGCTGAAGAACCAATTTTAAGTCCAAGGGTATTTGTTAGGTCGGTAGGTATTTTACGTACCTCATCAATTAATCATCGTTTACAATCTTGAATAGAATTTTTCACGATATTTCTTTTTATTCAGACAAAACGGAGCATTTGCCCAGTTTTGGAAGACGAGAGACGACGGAACACCAGATCCTTCCATTGCCGTAACAAGGCCTCCAACAACTCAAACCCAAAGGCCTTCATGTACAGGAGAAAACAAGGTAAGCAGTAAAATTGCTTGTCTCCAGGAGGAAGAAGTGTAACGTACAAAGCAGGAAACACGCGAACTAAACAAATTTTGCCTAAATAAAGAAGATATTGAAATTTGAAGGAAAAAATAATCGGGAAAGTTTTATCTTTCCACCTGTCATTGATCTGTTCAATCATAATTTTCTTTTCAGGGAAATCAGAAAATGAGGCCCGAAATCAAGACGACCAAAAGCCCAGAATTGCATGGGGACCTACAGAAAGAGACGTCAACATGGCGCATAATGCAGATGATAGCTTCATGTTCAATTCCCTCCCGTACAGATGGGTCCGATTTGACAACGACGAAAGAATGCACGTCGCCAACGTTGGATACAGACTCGAGTCGCAGTCTCGAGAAATCACCAGATACTGGCGAAATGACTTTTGAAAGCAGCATATCACCCGAAACCTCCGGGTCGGATCGGGAGATAGTCTATGCTCATAGTTCTGAAAATCGCTTCATGAAACTCCAAAGCAATACCAAATTGTTTAGTAGTATTCAGAAAGACGATAGACCAGTTGTTTACAATCGCACGAGGTCCATATTATCTAACATGTCAAATCTACTAAGCCACTACATCGAATCTGAGAACGTGGTACCAGTGGACGCGGAGAAACACCAGGACAACTCACCCGAACTAAAGGAGCAAGTGAACTCGGCATTGATAAGACGTGAAAATGAAGAATACCTAAATACTAACATGAAAAACAGGAATCAAATCGCGCAGCTGCGAAAAGACCTCCGCAATATAGCGTCGCGAAAAAGCCCCCCTCGGCAGAAAATGCCATCTCCCCGCGACTTGACTAAACTCGGTTCTTTGGTTTTGCTAGAAAAAGCAACAAACGTCAGGCATCCAAAAAGATGTAACAGCACGCCACAGCAAATAAGAAAAACTCACCAAAAGGAGATTAGAAGAATATCGCCCTCACCAGCAAAAACCGGTCATGCTGGATATCGCAGGGTTGTACGTGAAGCCGAACAAAAAGATGAAGAAAAACCGATTTTGTTCGTGAAACGATCTCATTTGTTACCAACGGTATCAGCTTCTGTTGAAGCCATGAAATCAAGGCAGATAATCTTACAAAGGAGACATGCACATCCAGCAGATTCAAAGCAATTCACTAAAATAACAGACTTATTGAGAAATCAGAACCGATCGCAAGATCGCATTAAAGTAAATACACCAAACACTGCCACGGGCCGCCGAGTGACAACAAGATCGTATAGCTTGCCAGATAGTCGAGTGATGTGATCTCAAGGGAGCTTCTTTATGATGTGCAATTATTACAACGAATTTGAATTAAATATATATTCATGAAAACTGCCACGTCTTAAAATATATTGAATCGGGACCCAAATGTTTACACATCTTGGGATGAAAGTTGCACATGGGCAGCCGCTTAGTCTGTTGGGCAATAAAAAAATCTGAGGTTTTATATTAGTTTAGGTTTATAAACAATACCCATAACTGCAGATTTAAATTTCAGTCGAGAAACGATAACACTTGCGCACAGAGACCTCGCAGCCTACGACTGGCTAACAGCGAAACCAAAACACCCAAAGGCTGTAAGAAGCATCTTGGGTGAGTTCAGTCATTCATGCGTGTAGGCGCACTTAACATCGGGATCAAACGCCAGGAGTAACGGAGGGAAGATCGTGTGATGACGTCACAAAAATTGTCACCTTGTGGCGGTAACGCGATCTGGGAGTCAGTCGAAGTCGGAAAGATTACGGTACCGGTACTTCAAAATAGCATCTCTCAAACTTTTTTCGTCCCGGAACACCTACGCTTTTTATCTTGTCTCGCGAAACACCAAGAAATTAAAAGATTGAATTGGTGATAAAAAAGTTTGTAATGGACCTTTCCCCGACCTTTGACCCTCGAAAAATTTTTCCTTTACTTTACCATTGCAAAATTTTCGGGGCCATTTTAAGAGTGCTTTTGCGAGTTGGCGCCTGTAAAATGGGGTATGTGTTACAAGCCATCATTATGAATCATCGAATACAACAATCTGTTTTTTGAAAGTACCAGTTAAGAATTTCAGGCTAGTCTATCACAGCTATTTCTACACTAATTTTTATTACTGCAATCAAATTAAAACTCCTAGGAAGACAGAGTGATCATTGAATTATCTGATTTATATTTAATTTTCCGAAACACAACTGAAAACTAACTAATAAAGTTCAAAAACGCGAAAACGAGGTAATGTTTACAACCACACTTGAAAATCTGTCTGAGTGAGAAAAGTGTCTGAGCGGATGCGAAAAGGGGGGCATTGTTACGTCATTTTTGCATCTTGCTGATTGGCCAATATCACGAAGTAAACAAGGAAAACGATTCTCGGGGCAAGGTCCATAGATTCACTTTGTGCATCAACTTGCCCAACCGGCTTATCACGACATCTTATACGACTTCCAGTATCCACTGAGAAGGGTGGTTTCCAAATCATTTAGCATATGGTAAAATTAAAAAGATTGCTGTAAACTTACGTCAGGCTACCCAGACTGGCGCGAGGACTGTCCGCCTGTTAGTTGTCAGTTGGAAGACAAATTTACAAATGGGGGATCCGAAGAACGGCCGAGATCGCCACCACAGAGACCAATTTAGTCGCAATTTCGAGAGTTTGAGAAATGCAGCTCTAAAAGATTTGATATCCGCACGACTTCGTGTCTATATATTTGAGCATGGACGTCTTTTTCTTTGGTTTTGAAATTTATGTTTTTGCGTGTTCACATCGAATAACACCATGGCTTTTTTGCCTTCGGAACGGTTAGTTTAGTGGCGACAACCAAATATTAAGTCCGAAATAGCTACGCCAACCTAAATTTAGCTGGCACTGTTTCACAGCAGATATAGTTGAATATTTTGAATACAAATGATTGTGAAGACAAAAACCAGCTTGTGAACAAAGACACTTAAAAAGTTGTTTGTGTAGAAATTTATAATTGTTAAAATTTAAGATGAGCTTTCTCGGGGCCAAAAATCGGGGAACTATGAGCTCTGCAGATCAAATACCAAACCTCACGGCACCCACATCAGCAATAGTAAGCCCCAAGAACCAGGACAGTGTAAAAATCACATTTTATTACAGGCCGTCGAAATAATAATAAAAAATAAAAATACTACCTTCATAGGTACGAGAAAACAACGAAATCGCGTTACTACCGAGAAAACCTGGAAAATGAAAAATTAGCTACAAAAATATGGTAACATGAAACGAACAAACGTCATCTGATGACAATAAATTCCGTGTAAGCATAGAACTAAGTGATTCTACCATAATCCAATCAGTCGCAATGACTTATCGTTAAATTTGTATACACATCGTTTCAACACCAGAAAACATGTTTCAGAGGTGTAATGATCAAAACTTTGGGAAATTGCCTTTTCGCCAACTCATACCACCAGAAACAGTTAACAGTCATGGACCACAAATAAACCAAGTTTATAGATCCACCCACTTTATATTCACACACCTAAAATAATCATACAATCTGTCTACATTGAAATAAACTTGCTATGCAACATCAACTTATTTAACCAATCAGGGAAAAAACATATGCGAACAGAGAAAAAATCAAACACTACCGGCAGCTTTGTGCATCTATCTACAAATTACTTGCACTTTTTTGTAAATGGAGCATTATAATGGAAAGAAGAATGGTAATAAGTAATAACACGACTGAAAATTAAATAAATATGGTATACAAACTAAATACGCCGAATGGAAATTGTATGCATCGCGGCAATTAACAGCGGCGGTAAAATTATTGCAAAAAAAATTATCACGTACTTTCATATCTAAGTACTGTACAAAAAGAACAATTTCCTACAAAATACCTCAAAAAAATTTCACAAAAAAAAAAAAACTGTCCAGCGCACAAAAAAACATTAATAAATAAGTGAACATAGTATTTGCAACATGTGGTTGTAATAAAGGATTGTTAAAACAAATTGTCTTCAAAATGTTTCATAATATCCGACTGGTGGTTCATGTCGATTTGACCCGCCATCTCTTGCCTCCGACGACGTTGCATTTCTCGCATCCTGGCTATATTTGCTGATTCTGCAGGTGCTTGATGAGCATTTGACTGGCTGTTTCCATTCGCAATTGCTTTGTTTGCATCGTTTGCAATTGGTTTTGGTATCGGTGCCATAGTCATTGCTTGTTGTGGAGCCGCAGTTGAGGATGCAGATTCTTTCTCCCTGTGGGAAAATATAAAGTACCTTGCGTGTTAGTTCGGATTATTCAGCTTAGAATTTGAAGTTTCGTTGTATAAGAAGCCATCTTAACATAGTAGGCTATCAAGTTCGAGATGTAACTGACTAACAAAAATATAACTGGTTTCACCTTTTTTCTCTTTCTTTTTGCTCTTGCTCTCTTCGTCTCTGTTCCTCTTGTTGTTTAAGAAGACCCATAAACTGTTGCCGTTCTTTAGCTTGCTGTTTGAACACCTCAAAACTGTTAGCTGCATTTTTAACGCTGACGGGTGGCTGCCCTGGTGTAGGACCATGCATAACATTTCCATGAGAGGATGACTGTGAATTGTTTGTTGGCCCTTTACTTCCCATTGTTTGTGCTAGACTGCTCCACGAACTCATGTTTCTCATTTTGAAATCGGTCTAAAAGATAAAACAACCAATCTTTTTAGGAACTATACAATCAGGATCAAAGAATTATCGATTTATTTGACTGGTGAAAAAATGTATCTATTTAAAAACAGGTAAGTAAGACTTACGAATAAATTATATTAGAGGAAAGCAATAATATCAACAAGAAAAATTTCCTTCCAGAATGTATAGAATGTATAACCTTGACTTTTAGCCATTTGTGCCAATTCAAGGAATGATACTAGAAGAAAGATGTCACAAAGATTTATTTTGTCGAATGAACGTTGTATTGGCATAGTAAAAACTTTTAGGATTTTCAAAATTCAAACAGTTTTGTAAATCACATTCAAAGAATCAATGGGAATGTTATATTATTACGCCAACATGCCCGAGTGAATACATTAAATCTAATTATTCCTCAACCACACCCCTGGCACACCTCTAAACCCGTATTGTGATTATATCATAAAAACTGAAAAAGAGTACACGAAACAGGCCATTATTCTATTAATATTCTAACATTATATAAAAGCCTAAAAATAATGTTCTTTGTGGGATTTCTCACTTTTTTCTTGTCTTGAGGATCTTGCGATGGTACCGGGTTTTGTGTGGAATTGACAGATGCATGATGTGGTTGTGCCCCATCGGAAACAGTTTTAGCCAGGGGGAGTGCACCACCAACAGATGGAATTTTGCTCTAAAAGAAAAAGCAATTTCTTTATTAAAACGGCATTGAACCAAATAGAAACGAATCAAGAGAAAATTGAAAAACAAGTGACTTACAGTTGTATCTGAAAACTGCCTTTGCGTAGTAACTTGACCTGGATTCAGTGGTAATGGTGCTGAAGTAGGACCGGTATTCATTGTTGGATTTGGTAATTTAGGCATCGATTGTGCAATAACAGGATTCATCTATTAAATATGTTATCATGTTGAATAAAAAAGTACAGGGAAAAAAGGATCTTGATTAGTTACTAAGTAGACAATGTAAATAATCGAAATCCAAATAACTGACAATATTTTTCAAATACTTGAGAATATGAAATCTATATATAAAGGGAAATTCCTATACAATAGCATGTTATTATCGGATCCTTAATTTGTGAGGTATTTGTAGTTATTATATCATATAACGAATCAGTCAGACTTCCATAAGAACGTGAAAGTAGAAAATCAAATAATTGAAATTTTGCGTGGCTAAATACTTGTTGATTTTTAACTCACTACTTGAGCAGGAGGCTTAGCGGTTGCAATTCCAGTTGGTCCACTAGACGGTAGTCTTGGCATAGAAGGATGAATAGCTGGTTTTGGCAAATTCTTGGGTATTTCATTATATACGGGTTGAACAGTCTGATAAAGTGAAGAGAATGATATTTAAATTCACAAACATCAGATCAGGAAACAATTGACAAATGAATGAATCTTACCGGTGCAATTGGAGGAGCAGGCTGTTTTGCTGGTGGTGGCTGTGAATCTGTTTGGTCATAAATACGAGAAGATAGAGGATTATGTGTGGTTATATAGAATGAGATACATTACGGGAACTTATGAGCGAAGCATGTTCTTCCGGGGTTTTTCAAGAATTCAAGTTCTTGGTCCCACTCAAAGTGATATGAGAGTTACTATATATAAATATAAGTTTATCTTACTACGATAGCAGTAGACAGAAACTAGCACAAAGCTTGCAACAATTTGAAGTAACTCCGTCAGACAATAGCAAGGTAAAAAATTTAGCTAAGTTTTTGGGCAGAAAACTTCCAGCCTAGAAATTTTTGTTGGCAGGTGAGAATAGCAGGTAATGTCTGGCAAGATAACAGGTTGGTCAAGTCAAATCTGTAATATTATCTACAGGCTTCATTTAAAATATTGGGTACAGTAGTTGAAGTCAAATATATATCAATTCTAAAATATGAAGGTAAATTTAGAGTATCTGAAACACGAAATTTGAATTCTATTCTTGATATGACAGCGGGCTTTTTCAAATCAAAAAATAAAAGAGCACTTCAGCAAAGAAGCTTAAATCTGGCACAAGTACAATCTGCCAAGTCCAATACATGGTGCAGCAAATCGATTTAGAAGAAACAAGCTTATGATATATGAGTAAATTGGACAGAAGTATACTGTAATACATTATTCATAGTTGGACAAATTTCATTGTTTTTGGGGGTAAAAATTTCACCCTGTATTTGCATGTAGTATTACTCATATTTTTGACTTATTTAGTAGTACAAGTATATTTATGCAAAATTATAAACTATTTAAACGTCACAAAGGCCATAGTAAGTGTATCGCCCACTACATAATGCACCATCGGCCTACAGCTAACCTTGACAATCCAAAGAAGAGTTTAGACTTTTAGCATCAAATTTAGAACTTAACAGCAAATCGGATGTATTAAGCTTGATAACATCAATTACCCAACTTCTTACAGAGTAGCAAGCAAGTCGCTACAGTCCAGAATATGAATGAACAATGAAAGCGCTTTCCACGCAGACAACAGAAAAGAGACTTGACATCTCTTCCAAGAATGTCATAATTGGGACTTGCACCGATAACGACATCTCGCAACTTTCGGAAGGAAAAGTGAGTTGCTATCACCACTTATTATTAAATCTAATGTACTTTTGTTTTAAAAAAACTAGCATAACGCTTCCTCCGAAAAGCAAACAGACCATCTTCTTTCTAACCAAATCCAACATCCTGATCACTACCGAGTGCTGGAGATCAACTATACACTGACCGTATTCCCTGCGTGCATAAACAGACAATTCAAATAAAAATGACCAACATATTTAATTTGAGTAAAAAATGCACATTGTGACAATTTGAAAAGAATAAGTAAACGAAAAATGTAAAAGTAAAAATAACATACAATTGTAAGAAAGTGTGCAGCTGTAAAGAAAATATTTTGACGAAAAATCAAAATTTCTATCTTACATTTTTTTTTTCATTCGAATAATTTAACATCAGTACCAACTGTATAGATTGAATTTAGTTAGATTTGACACAGTCGATCAACATAGGGAGTGCAAGAGAGCTAAGCATGTACACGCGATCATTTGTTTTCTAATATACCATGCGAGAAAAGCTGTGTTAGAAAAGAGTAACGCAACGTCAAACACAAATTGTCACAATGTGCATTTTTCGACAAAACTAAAAAAATCACAAGTGTCAAAGAATTACTTTATTAAATCAATCGAATTAAGTACAGAGAAGTACATGAAAAGTATCATTGATACTCCCTTCTCAAATATTAGGTTGACGCTCCCGCAGCACGCTATATTCTTGCTCGCACCAGCTCTTATCTCTCCAGCACTCCCTAGTGACAGGGATGTCCTAAAATTAGCTAAATGAAAGGTTTTGGTAGAAGATCAAGATTTGGGCCAATAATTAAGGAATCTTGAGCCAAAAACCTCAAAAATATGAGACTAAAAAACCAAAAGTATTGATCCATGGGTATTACAGTTGTACCCCGTCATCAAATTCAAATGGATATATCTGTAAGGACATCCCGATAAATGTCGATCGTTCAAACAAATAACCGAAATAATCAACTTATCCTACAATATAATTTCGAAAAACGAAAGCATTCAAAAACTAACTACTTGGCAGAAATTGGGTAAAAATATGAATGAAAAATTTGAAACGATGTCTAGTCAATTAAAACATTTACTCACAAGTTTTAACCAATTGTACTTTGTATTGAACAAGATATTTCGTGAATTTCATACCAAAGACTCGATCCCATTTATCGAACAAATCACCGAATATGATAAATTTTAGTAAAGTTTTATTTTTGATGTCCAAAGCAAAATTGTGAGGCGAATCTAACCAATGCGTATAAAAGGAATATTCGATTTTAATTTGGAAGTTATTAATTGCCAGGTCGTAAAGAACGAAAAGGAAGAATAGCAACTACTTTTGATGATTTCCGTTTGATTTTTTTAATTTTAATTAAATTTAAAAAAGGTATTCTGGATTAGCTCAATTATAAGTTTGATTAGTTAAAGTTTAAACCTAAACTTAATATTAGTAGTGATACTCAGTCTACAGACCCACCATGTTAGCAAGAGCTTGTTGTAAACTTTACTGGAACGATTATTGCGTTTTCGAATTCATTATTTTCAGGTCCGAACAAACTCATTAAATACAACATATATATAAATGTACATTACAGATGCACAATAATCTACAATTACAAATTCTCCCACATTAACATATAGGTTTTTAACAAGGTTTTTAGTTTTCAGCTATTCATCAGAGATAGACTCTATAAATTACCATACAAATATGCCTTAAAATTTTCTTACTCAAAAAAATTTTGCTTCACCATTTTAAGCTGATAAATATCCTTCGTATTTCAATACAAATTTACATTCGTATTGATGTGCATTCTTTTCTAGCGCATGAAAATCACTTGAATTACACTAGACTACACCTTCAATGAGGTAACGACTTTTTGTACGTGGAACGGCGGTACACAATGGAAGCTATTCGCTCGAACCAACCGCGTTCTTTCGTTTTGGTCAGTATTCCAATTCTAAATAATGCAATCTATCCGTCAATACCTGACTCCGAGTCAGATGTATCAGATGAACTGGAATCGGATGAAGAGTCTGAATTACTTGAATCACTGGAACTTGCTGATAATCGACTCTCTGCACCACCTCCACCTGGAAAATGAACAAAAATATGAATTACACAAACTTCAGAGCAGGATGTCTGTCAATATTCGATATTGTTTAACTATAAATATTAGCTCTACAGCATGACACTTTCATTTAGACTCATGGATTTCATTTTTTGTTTATGTCTGATTAGTAGAAGAACATTGGTGGCCATCTCTATAGATGTGAATATACATCTTATTTATTATGTGTATGAAAGTATATTCTGGGTATTATGATATGTTTAAATTTGAATTTCTCAATAAAATATCACATTCAACAACTCTCCACTCAAAAAGGTTGATTTTGCACAACTACCACTAAAATTCTTAAGGCATCAATAACATTATTCATTTCATACCATTCTTTCAAGTCTACCATAAACCAGAATCATGGATGGATCATTAACAGGAATATTTAAATACGAGTTGCAAGCGGAAAAAATTACCTTTCTTTGACTTCTTCGGCATTCCGAGCTTACCACTGACATCTTCTAATCGTTTCTCTAATTCCTCTTGCTTCTGCCGAGTGAATTCTTCTTTAGAAGAAGGTGCTTTCTTTGCTGCTCAGACAAAAAAAAAGATTTTTTTAATCACCTAAAATATAAGTGACAAAGATATCCATGGTACACAAAACCTGACCAGAAAAAATATATCAACTGAAATATTCATATCCCAGATGCCAATTTTGTGATGCATAGGCTATATATTATATCATCAACTCACAATAAGGTTTTCTTGGTTTTTTCCGCAAGCATGTCATGACATATTTTTCAAGTTCCCGCAGCGTTGATGGCTTCAATGTTTCAAAATCGATTTCTATTTCATCTGGATTAGAATCTTTTAGTGAAGGTTCACGAGTCTGGGAAAAAAAAACAATACTGAATTCAACTTTCTTATGAATAAAAAAACAAATAACTTAAAATGCACAATTATTTTACAGTTTTTGTTGTATAAACTTCAATCGAAAAATCACAACAAACTCAAAAGAATTCATAAAATTGAGCATGAACGTAAAAACAATACCTGTATAATATGTACGACACGTCCTAATTTATCTCCCGGAAGTTTATTGATGTCTAGAGAAAGCTGACGTTTTTCATCATAAGTCATTGGTTTTGCATGATCTTCATCATCGGATTCAAAAACGTAAACATCAGATGTGTTTGCACCGGGAGCAGAAGCCGAATTCGGAGCATTCGTGCCGTTGACATTTTTATTCTTCTGAGTTCTGCATAAATCATAGATTTATCATATGTTTTGTGAATACATTTTTAAACAAATTAACCCATGGTTAGAAGCATAGCATAAACACAAGTGCGAAGACATTTTTTAGGTTTTTGTTATGGTGTTGGCAACTAGCCAGATATAATTGTGCTATATCATGCCATAAGGATATTGTTGTATATTTCAGTTAATCCATGTATTTTATCATATTAGTATGAAGTAGTCTAAAACAGAGTACATGCCGCACAACTGTGTCTCAATCATGTCCAGTCTCTGTTATGATGTTTATTCATTATGCCAAAATAAACCTACATATAGAAACATACTTTTTAGGTTGTTTTTTCGACTTCGATTTTGACATAGATGTTTTGTCATCCTTATCATTTTTCATTTTCGAGCCACCTTTCTTTTCTTTGTCTTGATCTTTTTGCCTGACAAAAAAAAATTCGTCAAATTCTGATTAGGGCATTCATATTCATAGAAATCTACCTAATCTTGTTAGATTATTTTGAAGCAAATTTATGATTTCATTGCAATATACGGCGCATTTTAGAACATTTCGGTTGGAATATTCATCTAATGCTATGATATTTAACAAAAATGCCTTTACAAATTGAATTACATTGAAGTAATCCCTAATTATAGTTCAGGTACCTATACATGTTTTAGGCGCTCCAGAAGTGTGTGTACCAATATGGAGGTAACTAATTTTATTTGCCTACTTTACATCAAGTTGTATAAACGGACTGAAACCTATGGGCAAGTGGGTATATTTTCACTTGGCTAACACAGACAGTACCCGAACTAAATAGGAATCATGGCGTAATCCTGACCTGGTACACACACTACAGGAGTAACTGTTTATATACTATTATATTTCAGTTATGTATACAACAGTAGTACATTGTATAACAAATACAGGTTTATGAAATGGGTTTCGTAATACAGATAATAGGCCTAATTGTAGTAACATTGATTCGCTCATCACAGTATATGTAAATATGAATATTTTTTTTACTTTGCATTCTTTTCCTTCCTTTTCCTCTTCTTCTTTTCCTTATGTTCTTTCTTAGTTTTATATTTTGCTGCTTCTGCCAGCAGTGCAGCCTGCTGTTCCATTAATTTGGTTAAGTCAATTTGTGCTTGTTTGATCTGAAAAATTTTCAACATGGTTCGATATTCGCATGATGAAAAATTAAATAGTTTTGATCCAAGAGTCGAAGTCGTAGATTTGCTGCACTAATATACTATATCATTATAGTTATATCACCAATAGGGCAACAGCATATCTTGATTGCTAGTAAATTGCACTTTAATGTTTACAACAAATATTATACACAATTTTTCACTTTTCTAAGTATTTTCTATAATCGCTAAATAAAATCTTGGTGTCACACAGTTATATAAAGCAAATATTGGTATAGATAAATTTTTGGTCAAATATTAGAGATGGGTGAGTTAGGTCTGTCTCTACTGCGCTGTCTAAAAGATTGATGTCGGAGGGTTCCCTGAGATATATTATTTCAAGTAATTGTTTGGTATACAAATCCACGCAACTAGCCGACTGGGATAATTTGCTGTATCCGCAGTCGAAGGTTTCTGGTGGAAAATCTTGGAAAGCAATAACCCTGCACCCACCTTTTCTTGAACCTGTGCAATTTTCTTATTACGTTCTAATTCCACGTCTGAAGTTTCATTAGATGAATCTGACGAACTTGAACTACTAACTGTACGATGTCGACTGCGATGTCTGCAAACGGAAAGTGAAGAGATGAAGTCAGAACCAAGAACAAATTCTTATTTTTCAACTAACTTCTGGTAGATAAACGCACAATTTGGGATTTATGCAATCTAAAAAAAGCTATAAGCAAACAGGTGGTTTTCATTTTAAGATCTATTTGGATCAGTGGTTTTCAAACTTTTTAAGCCGTTTCCCCTTATTAAAATTTGCCAAGTCTCGCGTCACACATCAAAAATAACGAGCTAACAATAAGCTACAAATACCAGATAGTAAATAATGAAATAAATAAAAAGTTTTGAAACCTAAATATTCAAAATAAGACAGGCAAGATCTGACAAATATTTTTATTTTTAATTAGCATCATGCCCCTCACCATTTCAAGAACCACTGTTTTAGATTTAGGACATTGAAGATTTTAAAGACGACAAGATTTTTCAATTTTAAGACAAATTGTAATAAACCAAAATTTTCTACTTTCATATGAAGAGCTCCATATTGAGTGTAAATATACTTACTTGTGTTTCTCTTTTTTAGATTTTTCAGACTTCACGCTTTTCTCCCCTTTTGTAGCTGACGATACATCGTAATAGTCTGCCTGAGAATTAGTCTGATCAGCTTCCACAGGTTCGTCAGGCATTTTTGCATATCTAAGCGAAAGGGAGGAACAAATTTGTAAATGACTGAAGTATTGTCAACAAAGAATACTTTCACATTGAGAAATGGATACAAAAACAGCAAAATAAAATTAGAAAAATGACAGTTTTATTTTACATTTTCAAGTTAAAAAATGGAGAAATGCAACATCTGATGTACCTGATTTCAAATTCCTCCAAAAGCCTCTTTGCCATTGCAACAACATCATGATCTGGAGGGTTATATTTGAAACAATTTGTTGCTATAACTCTAACATCATCAGCAAATTCACCAGGTGAACGATACTCTCTAAAACAATATACCTTATTGAGCCTTAAACATATTTACGATTGTATAATTAAGGCAATAAATAAAAAGACTGTATTATTAACTTATTTGAAGTGTAATCATAAGGAATACTCTTTAGGCTTGGCTTGTGTATTCAGAAATATTAGGAATGAAGATGGGACAGATTAAATCAGAAGCAACTCCGTGAATAAGTAAATTTGAAAAACAGCTAAATGATGATCCTGTTACAAAGACAAGGTTACATTTAGCTAAATAACCACAGAAAATTCCTTAGGACGTGAATAAACTAAATTTAGAAAATTTCAAATTCTATTTTTGCACGGTGTATTCTCGATAGCGAACCAACCTATAATCCATCGATTGGTAGGCATATAGAGCGAAAATGATAAAAATGAAGAATTTTGGGGTTTAATTCAAAAACACCGACTGATGTTTTGCAATCTGGATAATGTGGTTGATACGAGTCCATTAATCACATAAACTACTAGTAATAAAATAGGAACATCCAGTTGAGGCAATCGTCATGATAACACACATCTTTACTTTAGCGTCTGTTGCACATATACAAGTCCTAGTAACCTGTTCTCCATTTTTTTCTTTATCGTTCCCAGGTCCATTGGTTTTTTGATAATTTCAAAGTAGTCGTGCAGTCCCAACGCCTTGGCATCCACTGGTTTATAGAACGGCCATGCGTAGGTCTGCAAGAAATGACATGCATGATAATAATCATCATCTTTAGGATTTGACCAGTCATTATGACTAGAAAAGATGCATATAATAACATACTGCATGTTTTTTCGATAGCAAGTCTTTTATGATGTTGTTACAGTATTTCAATTGCTCGCTCAGTTTGGCAACCTTTGGTCTCTTTGCATGCTGATCCTGCAGAAAAAATAAAATAAAATGGTAAATTACTACGTCTTTCACATTATTATTGGCAATGCATATTATTACAGCACACACCCCATTTTGTAGTCAGTACAGATCAGCGGTTTGCAATGTATTTGGGCCAGGGGCCAAAAATCGTGCCCACCTAGACTGGCGGGCAATATTCACAGTGTTACAAAAGCAAGATGAAAAACAATAAGCCTCATGGCAAAACTAAATTTATTTGCAATCTTATAAAATTCTGTGAGCAATTTTTAGCTGTTACATAAAAATTTGGTTTCGGTTTGGTTGTTGTAACATCGGGCGGGCCAGATTGTTTTAACCAACGAGTCAGATTTGGCCTGCGGGCCGTAGTTAACCATGTCAGGTATAGATGTTACACTTGATTGAAATGCACAACATATTGCAATTGAATGGTATTAGAAAGCTTTACAGTACAAATTCAAATGTTTGGTCGCTGTCACTGGTGTCCAAAATACTTCACAAAAAATTTAAGATTATCATGTGAGATTCGAGTAATCAAAATGAATAATGTAAAATTCAACATTTCGTAGTGATGTCATATGTTTATATATTGTTTGATGAAATGTCACATGATGTTTATTCATTTTATTTGGAATCAAATTGAAAATTTTTGAAATAAGGGTATCCTCAGAGTAGCTATTGAAAAAGTGATTTGCTGTCAAATAACCCAAAAGCAAGCGAACATTGAAACAGACATGGAATCGAATTATTACAGCTTGGAATCTATGAACTCAGAATGACAAAAACATGAATATACATCAAATATCAGTTACATCATGTTTAAAATTATTCTTCTATTATTGAAGAGTTGGATGAGTCATCAAGAGTGGCTATTCAATAAATCACATCATTTTTCGTGATGACATGAGTATGGCTTTCTTTAAAAAAGCATGGTGATGATGTAGCAATGCATTAAATCAATAATAACAGGAAATGAATAACGAAGCGTAATCACATCTTTCATACATGAAACTGGATGTAATTTTATCAATCGCAGAAGAAAGGTGCTTTCGTCATGAAAGTTTACACACTTTCGCCGCATAGCACAAGCAGCTGCTGATGCGTAGGTTGTCACATTTTTCAAGATCTGTAATGTTCCCACCTTGCTGGGCCAAGTAGTGGGCTGGGAATTCAATCTGAGGTCAATGACCTTTGTTGCAAAATAGTTGGATCCAATCTTCTAAGTTACTAGCTAATATTGCGCTTTTATTTTTAAAATGTGAAATTCAATTGTGTTATCAACCAACCACAATAAAATTTATTGGTCGAACTGTGATTAACATCTTTTTGGATGATCATTATTAAACATTGGATTCAATATATGAGATGGAAAAATCACATAGTCACACTCAGGGGCGCAGCCAGGATTTTTTCAAGGGGGGGGTTACGGTGAAATAAAAACGCGTTTATAGGTCTTTAAAAAGATGTTCCGACGATGGCAAAACAACATGTGCGTCGCTGTGTCTCATTAGCCTTTCTTTGCATGTCCTACTTTCAGCAATCGCCGACCATTCTCTTTGGTCAAAAAAAAATCAATCAACTTTTCATTTCAATGCGCCGTTAACTATATTACTGAAAGTGAATTCGTCGCAAATTCAAATTCCTGTGATATTTGCACATAACGCTTCTCTACTTTTAGCGGCGATTTATCAACATATTATTACCAGTTTGTTAATAAAACATGCTATTACTCTTGGCAACAGGGTTAAATTGGTTTATCGTTGTTTCAAGCAAGAAAATAAGCCTTCGTTTTTTTCGCTTATTCAGCAATCGTAATTCAAATATTTCCCTATGCGAAAGAAAGTCTTCACTCCGCGGGGTGTCCTTGCGTTTTAGAGTTTCAAAGTGATGCCGAAAATGCCGATGATAGAGAAACACCGACACATGTGGCTAATTGTCGCCAGACCCTGACCCCTTTGACAGGCGTCAATTCGTTTATTTTGTTTTGGCATGTCCCATTTCAACCTTTTAGTAATCGCCGATTATTACCCCATTGTCAACAGTTAAATAAAATGCCATCGTCATGGTTTTAATTGAAATACCGCAAAAAATGTAAAATAAGAATAGAATGAAATATTAGCAATCATGAAACATCAAGAAATAGCATAAATTAATGATATTTGCCAAATGCCAATGGTTCATAAACTATTTTTGAGTGCGTCACGAAATATCAATCCATTTCCAAAATAAATATATTTGATGTTCCCGTATTTATAACTTCATAAAACGATTACAATCATTTAAAAACAAGCTCATGTATCGTACTGATTGGGAACGTCTTTCAATGTAAAACTCTTGCTTGTTGCAATTAACTGTTAATAAATTCTAATTTTTATTGCAATGCATCGAGACCTATATTACTGAAAGTGAAATCGTCGCGAATTTGAAATCCCGCGCCCGTGATAGCTGCATTCTGCGCATAGCGCTTCTTCACTTTCAGCGATAATTTAACTATAATAATTTAATTATAATTTAATAACATATTGTTACCAGTTTATTGAAAAGATTTGGAAGACAACGCATGTAACTGCTTTTCGCAGACAGACGATTCCAAACGAGTCTTGGACGAGTTTGCTACCCAAAAATCTCGAAGATTGAACATTATTCTTTAAAAAAAAATTTCCCGAAGATTGAACATTATATTACGATACTTTTTACTCGAAGATTGAACATTATTTTGCAATGCTTTGTTTTCGAAGATTGAATATTATTTTATGACACCTTTTTACGATGCTGCAACATTTGGCAATCCTTTGTTAATGAACCATACATTTCCAATAATTCATTTTGTCTGTTATTTGCTTATGATCCTGGTGCCTTCGCTTGTTAAAGATGCACTACATAACTAAAATTCGTAATTAGCGATAAGCCGATAACCAACGATAACGTATGTGATTAAAAGTATGGATGCGTTGAATGTGGCGAGGCGAGAGCGCGCTTGTGGAATAGTTTTGACGGCAATAGTGTGATACGTCCGTTGCTATTTGTGTCAAGTGAAAGGTAGTACAATTGTATTTAAAAATGTTTAGTGTAGATTGTCACTTCCGTGACCCCCCGCTGGCAGCTAGATCCACTGCCGCGTAACAGCGATAACGAATCGTAAACATAAATAATAAATTAGGACGCTGGGCGAAAGTGATAACGCAAAGAATAAAATTATTGCAAGTAAACGTAACTCTATTAAAAAAAAAAAAAGATTCCAAAGGGGGGGGGGGGTTACGACCCATGTAACCTCCCCCCTGGCTGCGCCCCTGGACTCACACTGATGATACTCGAAAGATATTTAATGATAATAACTGAAAGTCTTTGAACTAGAAAGCATGCCTACATAATATTGGAAAGAAACATATAGATGGACTATGAAATATAGATGGACTATGAAATATAGATTTGCCAATTCACCCTAGAATGATGAATTAATAAACTCACATTTTCTTCGGAATCTAAATCCTTTGAACGTGGAGGTCTTATTGTCCGTCCTGAAGTTTCTCTTCGGGCAAGTGAGGGTGTGCGTGCAAGAATTTTTCCAGCTATATCTGTGGACATGTCATGTTCGATACTTTCCCCAGAAATATCATTGTTATTAAACGAAGAGTCGTGACCCTGGCCTACTTCAGGTGACTCTGTTCTGTGTTCTGGTGACATTGCGGTAGGTATTTTTCCGGCTACAGTGGTTATTACTGGAGTAGTTGTATCGGCTTTTCGTTTTACTCCTTTTTTTGGTTTAGATGGCATCGTAGGTGCTTGATGAACATTCGTAGCCATCATCTGCTGTGCAGCATTATTAATAGCTTGCTGCGTTGGCAGACTTTCTGATTTATTGTTTATAATAGTTTGCGGTTCGTGCTTGTATGGAGGATGCGAATCGTTCGTCGATGTTACAGATTGTTGCTCAGTTGTTGGTTGCGTACTGGAAGGCTGAAAAACGGAACCAAATTAAGCCAAACCAAAAAGACTTGTGTGATTTTCTAGAAAGTACGAACTTTACATTGAAGTACAAGATGGTGAAGCAAAACAAAGTGATGAGACATATACTTACTAGTGCTTCAGCCGTTTGCTTTCTTGTCACAGCACCAGGAACATAAGTACTGGTAGTTTTGCCTTTTCTTCCTTTTTTGACAGGGGCTTCAATCTCATACTCAACTGGTGGCATGTCCTTGATTTTTTGCAAAAAGTTTTTCTCCAATGTTTGGGCCATAAGTACCACATCATCTGTAGGCTGAATAAGAATATTGATGAAACAGTGTTAAAATCAAATGTGCAAGTTAGCAAGCAAATTTATGAAGCAACAGTTCAAATAATATTTATATTTACCTTATTATAAATATAACAATTAGAAAACATGAGGTTGTAGTCTTGAATGCATTCTTTTGCTGACCAGTAGTGATTATTTTCTAGTTTTCTTTTAATAATTCCCATATCCATTGGTGTTTTGATTATATCAAAGTAATCCTGAAATATTTCATTTGTGTTCAGCTGAAGATACTTTATCACACAACGAAAAAATCAAGTTAATCATGCCCGTCTAGATCACATTTGAAATAACAACACAAAACAAAATAATTGGCTATACTAAAGTTTTAGGTAGCAGTAAAATGTAGCCTGCATGGCAGTTTAGAATGGCATATAAGAGTCTATCAGATAATCGATAAAAATAGAACTTGGTCGTAAAAACTTTACAACATACATTTGTTTTACTTACAGGTAGATTTAATTTAACCGGATCGACTGGTGAATGAAAAGGCCAAGCAAAATGGTGTTTCCAAACAGCCTTCAACACATTTTTCTTCAAATATTCCAATTGATTTGTCAGCCGGCCTTTCTTCTGTCCAGAAGGCATGTCCATGCTCAGACGTCTTCCATCTTCATTAGATTGCACAGATGATGGCGTTGACATTGTATCCATATCTCTGACGCTACTCTGAGCATTAGCTTGTGTCACTTCAGCTGCTGACTGAAATATAAAATGAACATATATAAAGGAAATTATGTCAGAAGAATAAGCTTCTGTTTAATTTTCTTTTTTTTTTCATTTTTTTGAATCCAAATTCTAATACGCCGCATGAAATTTAAATACAAATTCATACGGATTGATAGAAGAATTGAATATACAATTAATTACTAGATTGGAAAAGAACAAAAACTAATTGCCGAGTAAGAAAGGCCCAAGACTTTTACCATGCAATGTTGTTAATGTACGGTAGTTTATATTGGCACAGGTGGCATGGCATTATATTATGAGGATTACATCTTTCTAGTAAGTAGCATAACAGGAAGATCTGAGCGACTAGGTAGGTACATTATTTACAGATCTCAGAGAACTCTCAACAATACGATAAAACATGTAATAATATTTAAGTAATCTTACCATTTTCACTGTAGTGTGCTAAAACGTACAGTTAGAAAACGCAACCAATCTACACTGCAATTAGACTGTCAGTGTTGTCAACTCCTTATCACTAAATTTAATTTATTTACTCTGTATCCATTACCTGTGGAATATGAAACAAAAAATATATTTAGAAAAATATTTATGGATTTACACAAAACTAACCATAAAGTAATAATTATTATACCTGTATCCCCAACCATTGCATCAGTTCTATGGGTGAAGAAATACTAAAAGAATTAAGAAATTATGAGTTTAAAGATCACAATATGCCAGTACTGGCTATGGACTAAGTGTCGCTTGGAATAATCATGAATGTTGGAGAAATGTAACACAAAATGGAATAATGGGTTGTTTTTTTAACGAGCCAGCACTCCCAAATTTGATTAATTAACAACTTCAGAACTAAGATATATTGTTTCAGATTCAGCATATTATTGGTACATGGAATTTATACCATAGCCTCATGCTAAATTTGACCTGCTACTGCTAAGGCCCACACAAAAAAATGACAACCCTCTACTATTACACGCTAAGAAACACTGAATACCCTGTAAAACACCTTTTTCTGTCCATAAACTGACTGGAATTTCCTATCATCTGCTACAGCACTCTCAAAAAGATTGACACACCTTCTTACGCATAAATCAAATGAGGCGCTACAAATTGCATAGAACCGTCAAATTTTTAACTAGCCTATTCAACATCTAAAGCACTGAAAACCTCTCAAAGTTCTGTATTATTTTAGGTGTTATGAAACCATGAAAATAGCTGCATTAGGGACTAGGAAACATTGACCATGCAATCAACTAACAGTCTAAACAGACATTGAAAGTAAAAATGAAAGTTGTTACTATGAGCATAAATAAATATTTTCAAAAATTACTTTCATTGGATATAGAACATTCAGGCAGACAAATGAGAGAGAGTCTTATAATAGGTAAGCACATATTGCAAATAATACTGTTACGAGTTCTTCTCAAATGGGATATTATGTCAAAAAACAAAATCCATGTTTTTTGTACACTTATATTCATTCTGAATACTTTCTAAAATGATTATTATCTCCGATAGAATATATTTTGAAATTTGGTCATTTTAAACTGAAAATCTGCACGAAACACTGGGTAATATAAAATTCACCTATTTTCTTAAGAAATAAATAAGGTATGCGAGGTAGATAAGGTATGAGTAAGGAAGTCTACGAATCTTCAATTCTGGAAAATATCTTAAATCAACTTTAAACAAGATCTATACAAATGTATTTTCGTATTTAGGGCAATTTAACCAACTGAAAACCCCCTGACATATTTTTATGCTATGCAGCATGACCTTGTATGATAATAATATTCCACACTTCATTCACAAAGCATATCCGTTCTTACATGATAGTTGAGAAGTATGCGTCTAGCTGGCAGATGTAAAAACTTAATAAGGATATTGTTGACTAAAAAAAAACAGTAACAAAACACCAATAGAAATGTCCAATTTATTTTAAACAGCAGAATAGACAGATGAATTGAAGTGAATCCACCAAATCATTCATAAAAATTCTTATCATAACACCTTTACTTCTTAGATAGCTGAGCAACTTAAAAATTTTTTTATTCAGATTTCTCTGTCAAAGCAAATAGATGGCTGGGTAACACAACAACGAGCTTTCACTATGAACAATGGTATATATAGAGCAATTTACATATATAAGGCTCAATGACTGCGACAAAATCATCATAATTGTGAACATTGGTGATGGTACTGCGCTTTTAAAATAATGAAAACTAAGAAATGGAAAATATTGTGCTGTTCAATCTGGAATACATTCCACATTCGAAATTGTTTTTAGATTGTTTCGGTAAAGGGAATTGCTGTCTGTGGTCAATACTCACAATCTGTGATTGGAACAACTGTAGAAATAGTCTTTCAGTGTTGCCATTTCTGAAGTCTTACTCAGTTTATAACCACATAATACAATATAAAAATTTTGCTCATCTTAATCAGCAATTTTGCCAGCGCATTTCCCCACTCAGAAAATAAACACAAATATTTTTTATTCATTTCAGTTAGATAAATACAAACAGATCAAGGCTTTAGCTTTTCAGACACTGCACAAATGACGAGATTTATTAACAGTCTGAATAGTTTTTGGTAGAGTGGGTCGTACCCGTATACACATACTGCAAGACTAGCAATGCAGACACTGTAATAGCTTTTCCGCTCAACATCAGACATTTCAACAACAAATGTCATATTGTCTATTTATAACATAGTTCACTTATATTCATAGCCACTTATATTCAAAACTTGTACCTTTTGCCAGGGATGGCCATAATCAAATAGACTATTTCGAATACAGTCTAAAGAAATATTTTCGAATCTGGAATTTCGAATACATCCTAAAATGCCCCACATAATTTTTATTCACTTTTCTAAAATCCAGAAACATAGAAATTAGGCTTTAATAATATTATCATTGTAAAGCAGTCATAAATACAAATGGCATGTGTGATATGATTGAAATTGGTGATTTTCTTGCTTCTAAGAAAAGAGATATTTCAGTGTTTAAGTACCTACGAATGGTGGTGTATCTTGACAAGCACAGAAAATAAGCAGCAACTAGGTGCCCAGTGAAATCATACAGTAAAACCAAAGTCCTAACAGCATACACACTTTTTGACACGGCTAATTTTTGTTATAAATTCTGGCTGTTTATCGTCAGCATGAGCGTCATTTAATCCATCGACATGGTTAAGCCATATTATCCCTCTACATAGATATTAAGACCGAATATTGTGTTTCAATTTTCAAGCCAGCGCTTGATTTAAATATTTAATATATGTCAGCTGTTATGCTTTTATTTTCGCTTTTAAATTAATACCGCTAACCTAAACTGAACGATATTATCATTAGTAACGACGCCAGTCTAACGATGAAATCTGCGATATTTAGGAGCTATTATATACGCTGTAAATTGCAAAAAAATGATGTTATGCTCGCTCACTATCAAAACTGAGAAAAAAAAATAAATTACCGTAAATACGACACAATTTTTTAACAGATTTATTGTCGTGGCAGCGCAGACTATCTCGAAATATGCGATAATAATTGAAAAATATTTTTCGTTGTGTTATAGATACTTCTAGTCAGCGCTGATTGAAACCCTTTCATTTAGGCTGTAATTTATTGCCGCGGCCCGGGACGCAAGATTGCGATAAAACATGAACTAATTGTAAAATGTTTTCAATCAAAACTTGGACGGATATTCTTATAAACACTAAAGACGATATTCGAAAGTCGCGATATTCGAATACTAAATTCAAATTGGACATCCCTGCAATTTGTATTATAATATTTTTTTTTCAATCTCAATAATCTCATACTTTTCAGATATTTTAATACATATGTTTAACCCTTCTTGAGATATTGAGGTGTAGTCCGACATAAGTTTTATTTGTCAGGAAAATTAACAGATACATGACATATCTTGAATCTTGTTTGAAGTTCAAACATTAAGATTTTTATTTGGTGTATGCATGTTCGTGTAACATTCGTTGCAGTCTACATAAAATATCCTAAATCAAATAAATTCAACTACGCTTCTGAAATTCAGACTGTTTGAAGATTATAACAAATGGCTTCCAAAATAATTGACAGATGTGCTCTGTTTGGAAAAGTTCCCATAAGTGAATATGACACTGAAAACATATACAAGTAAAAAGAATGATTTCGTCGATTGATGTAACAAATGTCGAACAATATACCTTATCAAGTTTTGAATGGATGGTTTAATTTTAACCAATATATCTTATTGTGTCTCGGATAAAAAGTTATGTTTCATAATTTCCCACATTCACGAAGATAGGAGACAAGAAATCAGATGAACCAGTGACAGAAAAATAGTAAATTCCAAAGATGGTACAGAATTTCAACTGTTCAACCACTTTCAGACTTTGCCCAGGTACGGTATTAAGTTAAGAATGACAATGTTGTGGAAGTCATTTGTCATTACACTCCATCCTGCCTTGAGATAAACAATTCACCGAAATCCAGATATCTGTACAATCCATATGTTTGCAGTCTATCTAGATTCATTCATTTTCGTGACATTTTATCCTTATTTACATGTCTCATGCAACAAAATATGAAAACTGACATAACAGCATACAGGCACAAGCAGGGCAGCAGGTTTGCTTTCTTTCAAGTCCTTGGCTGTTATACTTTCGTACCTGCATCCCACAGTGAAAGCAACAAACTTAAATTACACTAGCAAAGATTCAAAAATGTTCCTCTACTTTATCTGAAAATATTAAAATAAAATTATGAGACCAATGTTCATATTGGCATACAACCTGACACTGACAGAAGGGCAGATTACACACAGACACAAGAAAATCTTAAACATGTTTTGTATTTCATGTACAAGTGTACGATGTAAGTCATCATAAATTCCTTATTAATTCCAGAATACTGGAATAGTTGCAGTCATATTTCAGTATTTCAAATTGCCAAAATAAAACTGACATGTTAACCCTACCAGAAGTTTAATAGAGTCTGACAGTAATATTCTATTTCTGTGTTTTATCAGTTGATACAGTACGAGCAACTTATAGCCCACAATGTTGGTATAAAATTGCTGGAATTTTTAGGTGCGGTCCCGAACATACAAACGCCCACTCTGCACCTGAAATTACATAATTTACGGAGAAACTAAACTAGGCTCATCTGCCTATATTTGAAAAGAATATGAAAAACGGGTAGCCTTTTGATTTTGGCAATTAGCAGATTGCCAATAATGATCCCTTAGGTTATATATAACATTCCTGGCGACATCTGCCATACCTTCTGAAAAGCGAAAAAGCGCGCCGCTATTTGAGAAGCGAGCGTAATGGTCTAGTGATCGCGAGAACGCAGTATCGATTCCAGCTACAAGCCAAGCTGACGCTGAGAACTTACTACTCTGAATAAACTTCACCACATCCGATTTTTGTCGTAAAAAATAGCACAATTCATGTATAAGTTTTATTAGAATCATTTGATACAACTCAAATACGACGATGATTAACTAATTCCTCTAATCAAACGGATAACACCAAGCCTTTTTAATTTGTTGCGGCCGCGTACGAGAATACGACCGAAGCGAAGCTCTATTTATACTGTCTCAAAAATCATTCGCGCGTGATTGGTGAAAAATAATCACGTGATGTAAAGCGCGTCACGAGATTGTTTTTCTCTCGAGTTCGATAACACGTCGCGTCATGATAGTGCGCGTAGCTTTTTTTGCGTAATACCTCCGCCCAAGCCAGATTGCGTGCCCAAACGATTATGAATTTTCTTTGAAAGCTCTTCAGTGCAACCAAACGACGCAAAGGTATATTCCCAACGTGAGCGAGAGCGGACGCGCTCACGTTTACGTTATTGCGTGTCTGAAGGACATTTGTAGTAGGAGAGTTACAACAATAACTAGCGCAAAGGTAAACGCCATAATTACCTTAATCATAAGTTGGGAATCATTTTAATAGCGATGGATGATTTAGGCACGCGACATGCGCTTGCCCACTTGAAAATGCACATATTTGTTCATTAATTACAGTGGGGCCGATATTAGTGCATCGCAGATAAATATGAATTGCTCGTGCCAAAATTGTCATATACTAATTTAACGTTGCCAATTGTCTGCAACAGTTCCTATCCATTCCAAGCGAGACTGGATATTTTCTACTGTCGAATACTCTTTTAACGTTCGTACCAGGGCAAGGTAGGCTGAAGGCCAGGGCCCCCGACATTCAAAATTGATTAATTTTAGGGCGGTTTTAACTTTTAAGTCTTGTTCCTGACTAGATCTGATTTAAAGTTTTATAAAACATATATTAGTTCGAATTTTTGATCAGTTAAGTAAGTCTTTACCCCATTTACCCTTAAAAAGTATGCAAATTAATTAACAGTTTTATTTATCATAATAATATTGCTTCTTTTTTTTTAAGAAAAGGATCGATATATCCTATATATATGGTATATATTATAGCTATGCTAATTTATCTATAAGCAACAACGAATCTGAAAATTATTACATTTTTTACTATGTTCGGATGTTTAATCGTAGACCCGTGTATTTAAAACAAATGGAATGGTAATTTTTATTCTATTCATCACTAATTGGGCCATGTCCCCCACCTCTCGCGACCAGAAACGGGTATTATAGGGTTCTGATTATCCTCTCTACTTGGATGATTAGCGTACGTAACTTTCTCGTAACTACAATTTCGTCTTTCGCGCTATTTAAAAAAAATATTTATGGCGTGAATACAAGGAGACGTTACGAGTAGTAGTAGTAAGGGTGCGCTTTGGCTACCGAAATAAATGTAAATGGCAACTAATTCACTATAGAGAAACTAATATATGATTTACTTGGGTGATTAGCGTATGACGTATGATACACATTTTATATAATCGCGAAAGATCCACTGTAACGTCATATTAGATTTCACGGATCGTCATTGTTAGGCGGGGCGGTTACAAATGGCATAGCCTAGGCCAGAGCTAGGCCGTATGGACTGGACCTCTGAAAGATTCTCCCTATACTCTATCATTGCAAACATTTGGCGCTAACAAACTGGCTCACAAGTTCCAAACTATCATTTTTATTCAAAACATTAAACCACGCACCGCTTACTAGAGATGTACCGATACCACTTTTGTCGCCGATACCGATACCGATACCAGCTAAAAACGCCGATACCGATACTACAAAAAGGCCGATATTACGATACCGATACTATGTAATTATTACTTAATCAGGGGTGCTGTGTAGGGCAGACGGGTTAAAACAATGGTCTTTGAGCGTTGTTCATAGTACACATTATTTCAGATCGAAAAAAAGGATATATCACATAATATGAAATTAATATTTGGTGTTTGCTTTAACAGGTTAATTTACATTGTACAGCAACGCTAGTAATCTCGGTGTTCAATTAGAAAACTAATAAGCCGGGATGTCCAATTTGAATTTAATGAATGTTAATATCGCGACCTTCGAATATCGTTATTCGTGTTTAAAAGAATATCGAATATCACCCACACATTCTAGCGCCGCCGTCCTACGTTCAAATTAAAAGCATTTTACAAATATTTTATTTCGTGGCTAATCGTAATCGTCGACGCCATAAGTCAAAGCCAACAGGAAAGAATATCAATCAGCACCGACAAAAATAAGGCCTACCTATAACCGTCGAGGATGTTTTTTTACTTTACTATTTTATAATATTTTACAATTGCTATCATATATTTTGAGACAGTCTAGGGCTATGCGGTCATGTCAATATATCTATAAAGTAATTGTGTAGTCAAACAAAATTAAAATTAATACCTGCGTAGAAGGATAATTGTGTCGGAATTAAGTTTATCGATGTCGACGGCCTAAATGACACTCGGACTTGACGACAAACAGTCAGAATTTATACCCGTGCCAAAAGTCTATGTGCCGTTAATTTTTCGTAAGTGTCTCCTAAATTGCATTTGCTGTAAATATTTTCGATTTACTGTTTGCCTTATATTGCTTTTAGTTGCATATTCCGCCAAACTTGCCCTTCCTATAATTTTTCTGTGCTTTTATCTTGCTTTCCTCGCGTTTTTATTAGTTGTTAGTAATTATTCCGTGAAAGTTACATTTTCTGTTTTACTGTGTCATAATCGCATACACTTCGAATGTCGCTGTAATTGTATCAGTTGTGACTTATTCCTAGGATTTATTCATTTTATCCCTCATTCAATTATATTTATTCTAACCTGTAGCGCTGTAGGTGTCGCTGCTTGAAGACCTTCTTAGGTCCTTCGCGACTCCGGTCACACAAAAACATGATTCGTACTGTAATTTATTCATTATGTCACTTCATGTTTAAACGTGTTTTTTTATGATGACAAAATAAACGATTGATTGATTGATTGATTGATTGATTAATAAGGACCCCAATTCCACTGTATGATTTAAAACTGGGCGCCTAATTGCTTTTCGTTATGTGCTGTGTTGATATATTTCTTCATAATTACTATGTAATATTAAAAATGTCAATATAAAAATTTGACAGCGAAAATAGCTAAATTAGTTGAGCTAGTTTGGCTGATAAATAGCTAAAAACACGTGAATCCTATTCTCTCGCGGGGGTGGGGACATGTATGGCTCATAGCTCACGATCTCTCCAGACAAAAAATAAATTAAAAAGTAGCATTTCAACAAAATTTTTAAAACATTCTGGACCATATCAAAAAGTAAATATATCGGAAATATCGGCCTTAATCTAACCGATACCGATACATGGCCGATACCGAAAAAATGGCCGATATTACCGATACCCGATACATCTCTACCGCTTACGGGTACTGATAACGAAAGAAGTATCCAAGCGACGGCATGGATTGCAATTGTTACGTCATTACTGACTTATTGCTGATTTGTAATGTTACGGAAATAAACAACGAAATCGATGCTCGGGAAAACGTTCATTATTTTATATTTTCGGCCCTGTAGCCAAACAGAATGAAACACTCAACTTCCAACAAAGTTTTTTGATTATGATCGTATGAAAAATAGTCGCATGCATATTCTTTGCCCCACCCAGGACAAAGCGTCCCACAACCAGTGCGGCAACCAATACCATTTAGTGCGAAAGAGAATGTTACTTTATTTATTATAGCGTTTAACGATCGACATTCTATTGGGCACCCAAAACTATAAAATTGTAGCATATTTTCTTCAATTTAAACAATGTTGATCTATAGCTTTACATGTTCTGCAACACGCTATCAGAAATAGAATCAATATATATAACTTTGTCAGAGGTTTGAGTTAAATTGAATTGTTGCGCGCAGTAAGTACTAACCGAACCAGAAATGCATCCATAATCAGAAATGGAACAGAACAAACCACGATTCCTCTTCCTGTATTCCATAATTGTGTTCCAGATATTGCTATCACATAAAATTCAACGCTGATATATATCCTGCTATCTTATTTCCATGAAATTGTCATCAAATGACTACTTATGCATTGCGGTACTATACCGCATAGGGAGTTAAAACAACCAACTGTTGCGTAAATATTAAGATGTAGAAATGCTCATTTGGATTTGTTTACGTCAATTATAGCTTGAGTAGACCGAATAATCGGAACAACAATTTATAATTATACAACAGGTGCGCTCCGTGAGAAATATTATGCGGGAAATGCGCGCCCGTAGGACCTCATTACCACATCTACTGAGTCAATGGAAATTGCAATATAAACTTACCTCTTTGACTAGACGAGAAGTGCAAGAATCCTTAGATAAGCAAAAGTCAAAATATTGCTCCACGTAAGACACTATATATATGTAATTTGTACAGACGTGTACAATAAGAATTACATACAAGAATTACATTTGGAACATTTCAGAAACATGTAGATAAAATTTTGACAATCTCTTTAGGCATTTCAATTAGATTTGCATATCCGTCCTTACATTTCTAATACTGGATAAGACTTGTAATATTTTTTAGTTCAAAAAATAGGACAGACAGTTTCCACTCCAGTCAATACCGAGTGGCAAGCCTATCTGTAAAAAGATTTTAGTCGGAGCCCACTGACATGACAAGCCGGAGATATAGGTTACCCCAACACAGCAGCAACGCGTACGAGTCGCAAATCAAGCAGTATGTTGTTATTGATCATTTCTCATATAGTGACACAGCTTTTACGCAATGGTTTTCTTAATTAAAGCAGTAAGAACACACTGAAGAATTGCACTGATTGTAAGGGTTGCATGGTATTGAATGGCTCAAACAATAGTCGAATCAGGAGTGCATTGACCAATATTTTGTCCTTCTTCTAATCATCTACCACGCCATTCCTCTGTGACAATGAAATGTTCGCTTCATCACGTGAAAGTTCAGGCACACCGAAACGAAAGAATTTTCTAACTTTTATTGGCAGACATTTGTTGTCAACAATTGGGATAAAGTAATTAGGGTTCGCTTCACTTCCTGATGTGTGGCCTAAAATATATATTTCAAATTGTTGAAGAAAGTTTGTAATAAACAAATTATACGAATTTGTAATATTTTTGAATGTATAAAATACTTGCCTGTCAGAAATGACACCGCCAACCCAACAAGAAGAGAAACAAAACAGCCTACGAACATATGAATATTGAAATTTAGATTCAGTACATCCGAAAGAATGGAACGTCTGAAGATGAACAGGTTACAGATTATTGAAAATAGGAATACTTTGAATAGATTAGTTTCAAATTTTCCAGATATAAGAACTTATTGCTATTCATTAAAATGTACATTGTTTTTGAATTCTATGGACACTTTATCTGTGAAATGTACTACTTTGTCGAGTTTAAGTGAAAAAAGGGCAGAAAGATAAAAAAGAGGAACTTAACTTAAGGAACTTAAAATAATCGAGGTGAGTATCAGTACCAAAACACATATATACTAAAATAATTCAAAGATATAAATTTTAAAGTCAATTTAGACTTGAACGCTGTCATTACATAATTATAAGAATCAACTAACTTTTTTTTTGTTTATTAATAATCTTACAGAATGCTTATGTTTTACTTACCCTTCTTCTGCATTTACCGAAATTGTTTCTGGCATCACCATACTGGTGAAGTTTGAAAATTGTTCTTGATTCGTATTATTTGCTGAACACAGCTCAATAGTTCGAGGAGGAATATTCGCTGAGTATGGATCAATATTCCAAATATGGTTCCCGAAGAAAATAAAAGAAAGCAACGCAACTCCCGAAAATACACCAGCAAATGCTCCCTAGAAAAAAGTATAAAATAGTAATTGGCAAATGAGGTTGTTATAAAACTCATGCACAAGAATAAACAAATATTACGTATTTGTTCGCCCACGGAAAGAAAAATCCTAGAATATAAGCCCCATCCAGTGGTCCCTGTATCAGCCCTGAAAATCCATAGACCAGTTCTAGTGCGTTCGATCGTACAATTGAAATTAAAAGAGCTGTGATGATGCTGACAATGCCGATAGCCAAAACTAAAAAACAACAGAATATAGTGAAAATCAATAACTAAATCATCTGCGCTTATTTGTGAAAAGATTTAGTTACGATGGTGGCATCGGAATATAAAGATCTTGGTTCGAGTTAAACACAGTCTACGACCCACAGTCACAAGTGTGTTGTAAAATATCGTGTGTGCGAATCAGATATATTAAAAACAATCATCCACTCAAAAATGTACCGTAATACCAATTGTTTTTCCGATTATTAATTTGATGGACTCTGATAGATTCGGCCATCGTTTTACAAAACAGTCTTCCAGTAACACAACAGACAACGAGTTGAGGCAAGAAGAAACGGTGCTGTAGAATAAAATGTTTAAATTAGCGATCAGGACTACAGAATCGGAAAAACAATTCCATCCCACAAATAACTCAGGTTGACGTCTGCATAACAATTTTAATAAATTTGGTTGTATGCAAGCTTTCTTATTTAAAATTGACTTCGGACTATAGTCTAATTTTTGTTTTATTCCATGTTAGAAAACTATCCAAGAGTCATCATTACCTATAACATATGAGTATATTAATACATGAAATTATGTATATATAATTTAGTATCTAGTATTTCACGTGCGCCGAATTCAAAAAAACTTTCTTGTTTCCAAATTGACTTGATGCCTATTAAACCATTAAAATGTACCTGAGACTCGCGCTGAATATTGCTGATATGAAAAGTCCAGTCAACCCTGGGATATTTTCAAATAATTTTAACACCAGGTACGGTATACCTTGGTCAATTTTTTGAAGTATTCCCGACATTACAGGATCACAACCTTCAAAGTATGCGTACATTATAAATCCATTTACTGACACCAACAAAGATATCAATATTGTTGGGAAGATGTAGATCAGCAAAGACCTTCAAACATAATTTTAAAATTTTCCAAGTACAATCTGGTATAGGCATTCCAATTTCCAAGACAACGAAACTACATTTATGCTATGTTTGCGGAGACCGGCTCTCCTGCTTACTAAATATTTTAACATTATAATATGGTTCATAGCATATAAATACCTTTTTATGATCATCTTTTATGATAAATCTAAGAGATAAATGACAATATCAAATCCTACAAATGTTCCTATCTTAAATGCTTCTATTTGTAATTTTTCTTTCGCACTCTTCCGGAGGTAATTTATTAAACAAAAGATAGCATCAAATTGTAACTTACAATTGTGCTTGTGTAGTACTTCTACAAGATAAATATCTTTGCATCACGGGCTGTGAAAAACACAATGTGTCCAAAGCAAAAACAAAATTGCCGACGAGTACAGCAGTTGGAGATATTCGGCTAAATATGCCATAATCAAATCTGTGAATAAAATGCATGCAACATCAAACATCCAAGAACTGTATTTTAAACCACAAACCACATGACCCTGATACAAGAGAGCGATGTTTAAATATACGGATACCAAGACCAAATAGAAGCAGTGATCTACCTTCCCTTTTAAATGATCGGTACCGACAAAAATTTCCGACTTTTACGTTGCAAGAGGTCGAAATACCGCTACAAATAATTTGTAACAATTTTCAATAGGTCATCAGTCATCACACGTTTTCGAATACATCACAAAATTTCGAATTAAAAACGGAACACATGGAGCCCCCAGAAAGTTTTGAAATAAGTAATAGCCTTCTAGAAAAAAATACAATCTTATACCACTAAAAATTGATTGTTCCGGTAACAACAACAATAAAAATACCATCAACATAATAACAAAACAAGAGAGCTATGCTCAATATATGGACACGTAGCGCCACCCAATGGCAATAATTTTGATGACGTCATAGCGAAAAAAAAGTAATAGCCTTCTGGAGAAAAAGTTTATCTTTATCCACTGAAAATTTCAAAGCAATTGGTCCAGTATTCGAAGAGAAAAGCGATTTTTTAAAATGATGGAGACAAATAATAACAATAACAACACAAGAGAGCTACGCCCAAATATATGGACACGTCTGGTCGCAGTACAGTACGGTTTACCGTACCGTCAGATCACAGTCTACAAATATATTCACACCAAGCAAAGAAGTACAGTAGGACACAAAATGGCGTCCGATGTCCGCAGAACGTTTAATGACGTCATAGCAAACAAAAACAAATCTCACAGAGCTAACAGAAATATTTAAAATGAATAAAAGTAATAGCCTTCTGGGGAAAAATTTTATCTTCAACCACTAAAAATTTCAAAGCAATTGGTCCAGTATTCGAAGAGAAAAGCGATTTTTTTAAAAATGATGGAGACAAATAATGAAAATAACAATAACAACAAAATTTTGAAACGATCGTTATGTCCACTACGTGTCCAAAAATGATCCATAGGTCCACAAGAGAGCAATGGTCAAATGCATGTCATAGAACAATAACGCCAAAGGTCATATAAAGATATTTTTGCAGATATCACATGAGTGTATCATATAAGTGTTCCCACAAATTAAAATATATCGGGCCCCGTAAGTCTTCTTGTCAGTGGTCAAAAGCGCTACTGATAACAACAAAACGTAATTTAGCAAAATGATAAATATGTACACCTTGTGTCCAATAATGCTACTCACCTCAATTCAGTGTAACGTTCACCCCTTTCCAACGCAGCTCCCATTTCTCCAAACCCACCAATAGTTATTAATCCTTGAATTGTGACAGCAAACATTCCAATAAGCATAATGCTGGACTGGAACACATCACTCCATACGACGGCTTTCATTCCACCCTGAGAGTTGAATTTTCTTCTTTTAACTCGTTTCAAACTTTTTAGTGGTTATCAGGTTGCATTGAAAAGTTAAATATTTGTATAAAACTTGTCGAGAAAAATTCACAAAAGCCACATACCAGAGTCGTGTAAAGCGTGCAAATTCCTCCAGTTAATACGATGCTCAATGTCAATGGGATTGCAGTCACTGCGTTTAACGAAACAGCCGGAAGATATATTATCGTTCCCATGTAAAATACTGTAGCGATGCTATACATGAAACCAGCCAGTCTTGCCAGTTCAGCACTGAACCGAAATTCAAGATACTAGAAAATTAGACAAAAATAGATATTTGGGTAAACTTCTGAATAATAAAATATAGATGCTTGTACCAAATCAAACCCGCCGTCTATATCAGTGGTTCTCAACCACCGGTCCGCTTCATATATTCCAATACAAGAGAGCTATGCTCAAATATATGGACACGTAGCGCCACCCAATGGCAATAATTTTGATGACGTCATAGCGAAAAAAAAGTAATATTTTTCTGGAGAAAAATTTTATCTTTAACCACTGAAAATTTCAAAGCAATTAGTCCAGTATTCGAAGAGAAAAAGCAATTTTTTAAAAATGATGGATACAAATAACAATAACAACAAAATTTTGAAACGATCGTTATGTCCACTAAACGTGTCCAATAATATTCACTCATTGAGTATATATATATATATGTTGGTTTTCCCGCAAAAAAAATCATACACAAAACACAAACAATGAAAACACAGAAGATTGGGAAAATCGGGGAAACTGACAAAACCTTTATAAAGGTTTAATGCATGTAAATATACATGCGCCAGTTTACTCACAATATTAATATATTATAAGCAAATGGCAAAATACAAAGTATTGACGGCATGTCAATTTTGTGACTTTTTTGACTCGTAGTACCGATAGTCGTCTAACAACCAAACTTGGTGAGAGGTCCTCTGCCCATTTCAATCCCTGAACGGCTGGATGTCCGTTAAGTCCATGGCCCATAACGGCGATTAACGTTATAACGTAGGAGTTTGATAGCACATAGTACGGTACCTGATCGAGATCTTCGCAATTTGCACGTTCCGTAATTTGACAGTAGGCCTATAATTTAGCGAGGTTTGATAGTAAAATGAAGGCAAACAAACAGCAAAGTATTATCCAGTTCTTTCAAAAAAAAAAACAGCGGTGAAACTGAAAACCAAGCTAGAGGTGTTAAAATGACAGAGGAAGAGACTGTTACTTCAACTTTACAACATGCCCCGAAACGACCTTGCAGCAAAGTTGATGTTCAAGTCAAGTTTATTTTATCCAACCAGCAAAAAACAAACACATACAATATTAAAAAAAAATAGTAATCATACAATTTTGCTTTGGAAGGGAAGTCGCGGGGAACCAATCCGGTTATCAAGCAGCGACACCCAAGGTTTTAATATCTAGTTGGACACGTAGTGGACATAGCGATCGTATCAATATTATGTTGTTGTTGTTCTTTGACACTATTTGGACACCTACGCTCTCATCTTTTTGTTACAGTTCTGATGTAAACAACATGAATTTTGTAGCCTACCTTATTTTTTTGTTTGATAAGAGGAAATGAATTGAGTTCTTATATGACAAGGAAGAACCGTTCTGCGAACAAATTTTAGGTAGGCCTACTGGTAAGTTACCGTACCGCATATGATTATCGGGGAATCGATATTTTCTTATTTTGCCCTGGTACCGTAATTGATAAGTGACTTGGATCACTTGGTATTTGGTAGCGGGACAAAACAGACTTCTAGTGGCCCGGAGTAGGCTACCTGTCAATCAAGTCATCGATCTAGTCACACTAGAGTGATTTTGGCGTTTAGAGGCCGTTAATATCCGTTCTCGGAGCGGGAAAGCGTTTGCCCGGGTAATGGGAATGTGTTCAAGTGGCATTGGGTGTGGGGGCAGTGCCTCCGCCCCCTCAGTGGTGAGAAAACGTGTGGAAAGCCACGCCTACTTGTTACATAATTCTAAAAAGTCGCTTTTCTCTTTAATTACTGGACCAATTGCTCTGAAATTTTCAGTGCTTGAAGATAAAAGTTTTCTTATAAGGCCATTCATTCACTTCAAACGTGTCCATATATTTGAGCATAGCTCTCTTGTTAAAAGATCAGGTAAATTAATTATAGAAATACTGTTATTGGCGCGAGTACCGTGAGGTTTTGCCGAATTATATAACTAAAATATCTCATTAGAAATAGATAATTATTAGATGCGAGATCCATAGATCGCAGACGAACGGGAAATTCCCCGTTGCGGCTGAATTACTTGGAACCAAAGTGACTACCGGTAGAAGTTTATAGTCACTTTGGAACAAACGTGCTTCATTCCTGAATAGTACCGGTTCTGAGGGGAATTTTGAAGATGACCTAGCCAGCCACTTGGTTACAATATGAAGTTTTGGCGATGCTCAGTGACGAAGAAGGCCAAGTAAAAAAATTCAGTTGACAATATACAATTAAAAATGTAAAAAAAAATTTCTACCGGTACATGACAACGGTGGCTCAGATAGGCTATCATCATGTACACGTCTGACATGTGCAGGTCTTTTAAAATGTGTTTATGCATAAAACAGTGTAACAGGTATCGGAATAAACCCACATTGTATTGATCAGCCCCCAAGCAGGCGCACAGTATGCAAATAGTCATAGATCAAGAAAGTGAATGACATGCCGAAAATATACAATGTACACACTATGGGTTGGAAATTAATAAGAGCATAGATATCCCCAAAACAAGTAAATGAACTGGTAAAGTAGGGCTAAAGTATCAGTAATAGAAGATCATCGATTAGGTGCAGTTAGAAATGAACAAAGCAAAAAACGAAAGGGAGGTCCTATTAGGCAGTATGATAAGAAATATGTGGAGCTAGGTTTCACTATTGCTCCTAGCAGCGAAAAAGTACTTCCCATGTGCCTAGCCTACTTCAAAATTCTTTCAAACGACGCAATGCAACCCGAAATGCTAACAGGACATTTTCACTCACAGTATAGCAACCTCGTGGGAGAGCCTCTAGTAATGTATTTCATTGTACTTTAACTTTTGTCGTAATTGCATTCTTTTGATTATGTTTTGTGTTCATGACATTTTTAGTTAATTTTGAAGGTCCGCCGGTCCGCAAAATTTGTTTTGAAATTTTAACCGTCCTTGAACTGAAAAAGGTTGAGAACCAATGGTCTATATCAGTGTTTTCCAAACTGTGGGTCGCGACCCCGTCGCCTAATTTCTGTCAAACATGAGCACAGAAGTGAATGGGGTTTGAAATTGGAAAGTGGAATTTGTGCTGGTCGGCAAGTACCGTAAAATTATCCAACTTCGGCAATAACGCGACCATATATTGTCCAAACGGCGCCAAAATTGCTCGATTCCTAATATAGCTTTTTTGATCATGTTATTGACCCGCTGGTATGCGAATTGGATTTTTTGCCAGTCTGCAAGAAATTATGTTGGTTTGGTATTTTGTATCAGTGTAGCCGCTTGGTTATGGAATATACAAAGCAAAGTTGCTTTATTTGGCGATCGGTCCTTAATTAGGTGTTTGACAAGTTTGGTATTGATTACCAGGCAGTGTCTTTGCACTTAGGTTTTGATCCGTTGCGAAAGCGCTTCGTTAATTTGCGCACGTGTCCAAAATTTACGAGTCGGCTGACACTGATGGAATATACTGAATAAGATTTAAAATTTATGCATATTTAGAAGCATCTTACTATCTCCGAATTTTACTATTTCCGAAGTATCTTACGCTTCCTTACAATCTACCACATTTTATCAAGTCCGTCTATGTTTTGCCGAAGAACCGCTATAATTCTGATCGAAGAGATTTATAAACTGTGGTTTTCATACGATGCCATGTGTTATCAAATCGTCCGAGGTTTCCCCGTTTTCCCGCGCATTGCCGGACTCGTTCGTATATTTTTGGGCCAGTGCTTACCCTCAACGTCCATTTGCAGTCGATATACAAGTACATTGTTCCCATTGAGGTAATTAAACTGATACACAGTACTGATTTCTGAAGTTGCACAACGTTTCTAGTTGTGGGGTCGCGAGTATCTGTGGGCTTTGATTTTATGAAAATTGGGGTCGCGGAAAAGAAGTTTGGGAACCACTGGTCTATATGACAATCAATAGACTTCTACGGAATAGGCCATTCAAATGGAGCTTGGGGCCATATATCCAAATCCATCCCTACTGCAACTCAGCATGTGACAATCGCGACAAAAGCCAAGCCCTTTATTATTACAGATACAATACATTTACAGCCCCGGATCGGAAATATCCTACCTGAAAAATAGTATTCAGTTGCATCCTACGAAACGCAGGTATGAAGTATATCATGGTGATAAAAGATGTGAATATAGTCAAGAATTCCTCCCACAACACTGCAGTACCGGTAATGTATGCTTCTGCAGGACTGGCGATTACCGTTACGGCTGAACGGAAGGTAACGGCAATTGAAAGACCAACCGCAACCTGGATTAATTTTTTGTATTAGATTATATATATATATATATCTTTATTTTAAGTTAACTAAAATCTTCTTAATTTAAATACATCATCTCTAAGGGTAATTCATCTGTGAATACAATTCATATATGTTTCTACTGTTAGGATAGTATTTATACTTCCCACGTTATAAATTGTCTAAAATAAGTATCCACATTTCATTCGCATTAATAAAACGATAAAAATTGGATTGTTCCACCATACCCTGCCTTCATAGCATTGGCAAATCATTCATTATCATTGTAGTGCCACCCTGAATGTCGAATTCAAGCTAGCGAGTTGTAGGCTACACAATCAAACGTAGAGCACTTCTAGCTATCACTCTACCGTGGCAGTAGAATACACCCGACCACATATAAAAATTGACTTAGAATACCGCGTTCATTTTCCCTCCTCCATAATAATAATTATCTGTTGTAGAATTCTTTCTATCTTTGTATGCATAGTAAATTCCAATAGCACAAGACACAACAATTGAAACTGAAATAAAAATACCAATTAATAGAGGCGGGTGATCAGCTATTTGAGACGGGCAATATTCAGACAAAGGTAGGTGGCTGGAAATGCACTTGCATCTTTTTGTTTTGATGTTTCTAGATGCAATTTGGGCAATAAAATCAGGATATTAATAAAATAAATCTTAAACGTATTTTATTTCTCAATTCATTTGACCTATTTTATGGTATCAATGAAGAATTATTGGAAGATATCACAACCGTGTTACCAATACGACTATGGGTTGGCTATGAAGCCATTTTACTGATTTTCGTAATAGACCAAGCAAATATAAGCAATGTTGTGGTACGGATATACCTACATGCAAAGGTTGCAAGATCAGCCACTCCTAGCATATTCTTTGGGGTATAATCTTCATTATCCATTCGTAAATGCGGGTCTCATATGCCCTCAAAGCGCAAACTTGGTGCAGACAACAATGCTTATAAGTAGCCTACCTAGTACCTACCTACCGATATATATTAAAATGAATGTATATCGCTAATGTTTCGCAGAGAATGTTTATAAAAACAGACGTTGTTATATCTATAGGGAGTACTTTATTATTGTTCTGTTGTGTGGGAACGGCACGGCTTTCTCCACCATCCAAGTACATTCTCTTGAACCGATTAACTAATCTGGTTATCACATGAAAACTGGGTTCAGCAATATGGACTAGGCTTCACGTACCCATAACTACATAGTAAAAAAAAAACTAGAATGTGGCGAGTGCATTGGAACGTCACATCTTTAATATTGTTTCAGATTATAAGTTACGTTTCTTTAAATAACATAGGCGATACTAAAAATCCTTCTATTGCAAGTTCACAGCAATCGAAATTTCACAAAAACGCCCATATGACCGAATACATTGCAAATGAAAAGTATATTTTAGCACTTCATAAACACTACCATGCCCTTGCCGCCGCTCCGTGTTTTTACTGATTTACTGATTGAAAAAGAATTCCGTTGACTATTACGGTAGTTATTAGGGCACGTATAAGCAAAACAACCAACACATATATATATATGTAGGGCGACTTGAAAGATTGATATCCGCGGTGACGAAATATACACGTGTGCCGGGACTGATTTCTACTTTTACCTATTGTTTTATTTGAATATATTATGTTGTATGGTAATATGAGAGGTTAGAGCCATGGTTTCGACTGACTGACTCACCTAAACAAACTTTTGTTAGAACCGATTCGGAAAAAATATTTAATAATACAGTATATTAATTTATATGCGACGGAAGAACACATTTCATACACTAATTCGACAAATTAGTTTATCACTGCAAACGTTTCAGCACTTCAAGTTTTCTAATTTAAGTGTTACATTGCAGAACTCTTTCTTGTTGTGTACTACTTATGAATTTATTCAGTATCTTTAGTGAATTGAAGAATCATAGCAGTGCGCCTACACATACAACAGAGTGTGTTCTTAAGTCGATGCTGCCAACATAGGAAAGTTTGTTAACTGAATATTTGCAGTAGTACTTTTGAATATGACACTGCAAGATATTCAATATTCTGTATTCAACTGGCTTTCGAAAATTACCGACAAGCACGAATCGCATTTTCACGAGCATTCATCAAAGCCCTTCTAAAAGCAATAAAAAGTCTGTATGAGGCGTTGATATATGCTGACTACAAACCTAAACTCATCACATTTTCTTTTTTAAAATCTTTAATTCAAATCCTTTCTAGTCTGTTACATCTTGATAAGCTTTAAACAGCTGCGAGCTTGTTACTGGAGATATTACGTAACACGATAGCTGGAACCTATCCAATCATGTTGCAACCAGTGGTGGGATTCAGCCGGTTTGCATCGGTTCTGTAGAACCGTCTCACGAAATTTTATGAGATTAGCGAACTGGTTAGCATTACCGGTAGATGAAAATACCAAGTGGCAAGCCTATTTGTAGAAAGATCTTAGTCGAAACCCACGGGCATGACGGGCCAGAGATATAGGTTAACCCAACACAGTTGCAACCCGTACAAGTCGCAACTCAAGAAGTAGGTTGTTTCTCACCATTTCTCATATAGTGACACAACTTTTACGCAATGGTTTGCTTAAAGCAGTAAAAACACACTAAAGATTTGCACTGATTGTAACGGTTGCATGGAATTGAACTGCTCAAACAATAGTTGTAGCCAAGAGTACGTTGGCCAATATTTTGTCTTTCTTCTAATCATCTACCACGCCATTCCTCTGTGACGATGAAGTTTTCGCTTCAGAACGTGAAAGTTCAGGCACATCGAAACGGAAGAATTTTCTAATTTTTTATTGGCAGACATTTGTTGTCTAAAATTGGGATAAAGTAATTTGAGTCCGCTTGCTGGTGTGTGGCTTAAAATATATATTTTAAATTGTTGAATAAAGTTTGTAACAAAACAAATTATACGACCTTGTAAAATTTTTGAATGTATAACATACTTGCCTCTCAGAAATATCACCGCCAACCCAGCAGCAAGAGAAACAAAATAGCCTACGAACATATGAATATTGAAATTTAGATTCAGTATATCCGAAAGAATGGAACGTTTGAAGATGAACAGGTTACAGATTATTGAAAATAGGAATACGCTAAATAAATTAGATTTAAATTTTTCAGATCTAAGAACTAATTGATATTCATTGAAATGTACACTGTTTTTGAATTCGTTAAACACTTTATCTTTGAAACTAGATGGTAGGTTTCTTAGGAAATATCTTGCACAAAATCCATATTCTTTTGAGATGAAAAAGCGCTACGAAGCCTGGTATGCTCCAATTTTAACTGAAGGCAAACTTGTGTACTACTGTGTTGATTTTAAGAAAAAAATGTTTTATTATTTTTGATAGGTAGAAAAATAATGAAGAAAAATCTTATATAGGCCTATATACAGTTATACAGGTTTTTGATACACAATTTGAGGATATAAATTATAGGATCAATTAAGACTCGAACGCTGGAAAATCATTAAAAGTATCAACTAATCCTTCGTGTACAATTGTTTGTTATTAATCTTGACGGAATACATAAAAATGCTTATGTTATACTCACCCTTCTTCTGCATTTACCGAAATTGTCTCTGGCATCGCCATAGTGGTGAAGTTTAAAAATTGTTCTGAATTCGTATTATTTGCTGAACACAGCTCACTAGTTCGAGGAGGAATATTTTCTGAGTATGAATCAACATTCCAAATATGGTTCCCAAAGAAAAAAAAAAAGAAAGAAAAGCTAATCCAGAAAGTACACCAGCAAATGCTCCCTAGAAAACAAGAGAGCTATGCTCAAATATATGGACACGTAGCGCCACTCAGTTGCAATAATTTTGATGACGTCATTGCGAAAAAAAAAGTAATAGCCTTCTGGAGAAAAATTTTATCTTTAACCACTGAAAATATCAAAGCAATTGGTCCAGTATTCGAAGAGAAAAGCGATTTTTTAAAAATGGAGACGGAGACAAATAACAATAACAACAAAATTTTGAAACGATCGTTATGGCCACTAAACGTGTCCAATGAGTATAAAATGGTGATTGGCAAATGAGGTTGTTACAAGACTCATGCACACGTATAAATAAATAATACGTATTCGTTCGCTGACGAAAAGAAAAATCCTAGAATATAAGCCCCATCCAGTGGTCCGTTTATTAGTTCCGAAAATCCATAGACCGATCCAAGTGCGTTGGATCGTACAATTGAAATCAAAAGAGCTGTGATGATGCTGACAAAGACGATAGCCAAAACTAAAAAACAACAGAATATAGTGAAAATCAATGCCTGAATAATCTGCGCTTATTTGCGAAAATATGTACTGTAGTTAGAATGGTGGCACCAGAATTTGAAGATCTGGCGTGGCGGTGTGGCTCAACGGGCTAAGCGTTAGGAATACGCTCGCCACCGCACCCCTAATTGCTCTGCGTGGGTTCGCAGGTTCGAATCCCATGCAGGGATGGTTATGTGCGAGAGGATTGCTGGACTCCTCGCCGTCGTTGGGTGGTTCACGTAACCGCTGGTCGGTTACGGCTTCCTCCACCACCAAGTCCATGCTTCCGAAAACAAACAATACAGTAAAAAACTAAATCCCATACCCGACTTGGAATGGTAACCGGACGAGAGGCCGTGGTTCGCCATATGGATAAGCCGTCTTATCGGCTTTCCTCTCCCCCGGGATAAATATGTGAATCCTATCCTATCCTATCCTATCTTGGTTCGAGCTAAATACAGTCTACGACCCACAGAGAGAGAGAGAGAGAGAGAGAGAGAGAGATTTATTTTTTCGTCAACCAAAAATAACAGTCATCGTAATAATAATAAAAATAACAATAAAGAAAAATAAATTAGTTTGGTATAGACGGGAGGGAGCGATATGACCAGACGGTCATCAAAGTCAACTCCCCCCTTCAAGATATTATGTTTTAGATCCACAGTCACAAGTGTGTTGTAAAATATCGTGTGTGCAAATCAGATATATATATTAAAAATTGTCATCCACTCAAAAATGTACCGTAAATCCAATTGTTTTTTCGATTATTAATTTGATGGACTCTGATAGATTCGGCCATCGTTTTACAAAACAGTCTTTCAGTAACACAACAAACAACGAGTTCAGGCAAGAAGTACGGTGCTGTAGAATAAAATGTTTAAATTAGCGATCAAAACTACAGAATTGGAAAAACAATTCCATTTCACAAATAACTCAGGCTGACGTCTGCAAAACAATTTCGATCGCGAAAATTTGGGCGTGTGCAAGCTTTCTTATTTAAAATTGACTTCGGACTATGGCCTAATTTTTGTTTTATTTCATGTTAGAAACTATCCAAGAGTCATAATTTCCTATAACATATGAGAATGCATGTGTGTTGCACGAGAAATTAGGTATATATAATTTAGTATAGAGTATTTCACGTGCGCCGAATTAAAAAAAAACTTCAATGTTTCCAAATTGACTTGATGCCTATTAACCGTTCCGAGCCTGTCAAACCCCCGTGCTACTCGGCATGCTCGCACCGAACCCCATCGTACTGAACGATTGAAATTTGGACCCCAATACTAACTTTATAAATGAGAAGCTAATTTCGTGCAATGTTTTAGAAAATCACATTATGGTCTAACTATAGATACCAATACCCCGTGTGTAAATAGCTCTTGTTTTGTCACAATTCGATTCTCAAACTTCAAACTGCATTGAAAGGCAGATAAAAAATTTGCCAATTGTTTTATTTTACAGAAATAGAGATACGATATGACTCGGCGCCATATCGAGAATGTCTGGAACGGATGATGATAATTTCAAGCAAAGCTCTGCAATGAAGTATTCTTTGTCGCAAATTTATCACCTAGTGAAATTCAAACGCACCCTGATTTTGCATTCATTAACCGCCAATTTTTGATTTTTCCATAAAACTGATTATAAATTTATTAGTACGTTAGAATAGATAATCATAGATAAGTACAAACACTAAAGCGCGCGACATCTGTGAAAATATGAGTTTCCAATAAAACATACTAGAATCTAAAAACATCGACGGGTCCACTAAAACTTATATCTGCGCGAAGCTTTACACACAGCTAAGCTAATTTATTGGATGTTGAACGTTTAAGTTTTATTATCTGCGATCAACTATAGTTATTTCTGTATAATTAGTGGACGAGGTAATGTAAAAGTTCCATAATATAAAATGTTTCAGAGGACCTTCGTCGAACCTCAGGAACAGCTCCACCGAACCCCTTGGGTTCCATCGAACCCAAGTTAAGAACCACTGCATTAGTTGGATACATTCCAAGGAGTGGTATACTTCGCTGTTCAATCCGCATCGTCATACAAAGCTAACGCAGAGGCCAAGATTGTAGTTTATGTCAACAAAAACACGAACGACTCAAACGGCTAGTGAATGTCTCAATCCGCAACTTTGTGTAACATAAGCTGCTTGACCAGCGGATCGTATGACCCGTACATTCAACAGGTCAATGTAAAGTTCCGTCAGAATTTTCAGCTGAGCCTAGAATGGGGAAATGCAGTAACCGACACCCTACAGGGGTCAACGTAACAATTTCAGCTCCCACTCAGACCATGTTTTTGCTGGGGCAGATTTCAATCGTGACTGTAAACATTAACTCGTTTTCGAGTTTTGACGCTCATTTGTCAGTTTCTAGTTATGCGCCATAAATTTAGGTGAAAATAAAAGAGCATATTTTTAATTTTGTTTCTGATAGAGACTTCGTTTGATTACAAACAGGCCTCAATAAACTGAGATAGACAATGTTAATGTTAGCTGTCGGCAATTTTCCTTTCCCAAATTTCTGAAAAACATCCGAACGTCATATTAAAATGCAAATTTTCAAATTTATACGGTCAGTAGCAAATGATTAATCTTACTTTATTCAATATTTGAAGATCAGAAAAGGCCGATTTGGTTCTTCAGATAGGATTTCCAACCTTGATGCATAAGTTCACTTCACAATTGCAATTTTAGACTCAATGCAACGCTACCCTACTTTGCTGACCGATGGCGCTGTTTTTATGAGATTTGTAGAAGTTACGCGTGTTGATTGTCGTTCATGTGTGGCGGCAGTGGCGCTTGTCAGTTTGTTACCTACCGCATATCGTGGGATAATCTGTATCATTTGTGTACGTGTAATTAGGTGTAACTGAACTTTTTAACTGCTGCCTGCTGACCTAGAAAGTTGCAGCATACGGTACCGTTTGTTTTTGTAATGCTGTACTGGGTGCCGGGTGGGTTGGGGAAGTTACGAATGCTGAAATGTGATCTCTTCTTGCAACACTGACTCGGCTCTATCACAATGCTGCGATCCAAGATTATTTTCAAAATGAGAGTTTCCACATTCAGACCTTGTCAGTTCGTTCTAATATTACAGTATTACTGTATTAAGTGCTTAGCAAAGCAAAAAAGTAACCAAAAAGCTCACTAAGCTAAAAATTCATTTTTAAACTTTTTATTTTGTTCAGCAATTCATTCGTTTGATGTTCATTTCTGTTAATGAAAATCTGCTAACTGCTGGAAGGTTTCATGCATAACTGTATATCATAATGAAACATGATATCATTTTGGCCATTCTCCTAAATTCTGAAATTTGCTAGAATTTCTAGCTAACAACAGAACAGGGAATTAACTTACAGCTAGTACTGATATGATATGATTTACATATTTATCCCGGGGGAGAGGAAAGCCGATAAGACAGCTTATCCATATGGCGAACCACGGCCTCTCGTCCGGTTACCATTCCAAGTTGGGTATGGCAGTATGGGATTAGTTTTACTGTATTGTTTGTTTTCGGAAGCATGGACTTGGTGGTGGAGGAAGCCGTAACCGACCAGCGGTTACGTGAACCACCTAACGACGACGAGGAGTCCAGCAATCCTCTCGCACATAACCATCCCTGCATGGGATTCGAACCTGCGAACCCACGCAGAGTGATTAGAGGTGCGGTGGCGAGCGTATTCCTAACGCTTAGCCCGTTGAGCCACACCGCCGCACCGCGCTACTGTAGTAGCATATGTCTGTATGTTGGAATCGCGTACCAGAGATTAGAGATAAATATTTCTATAATACTGTAATATTTTTTAATATCTAAGATATGTCATAATTCTGTTTCATTGATTCCACATTTGCAAATTCAATTCCATTTCGTCCAACTCATTTTTTACAAAGCCAAACTCTTCTGACTGTCTGATGATTTTTTAAATGAATTTATATTATTATTAACTAATATGAATACTGGAATACCTATAATTTTTGTTGTAATTTGATAGATAATTGTAAAATGCCTACTGCTCTAAATGTAACGGCGATGTAAAATATGCCATATGCCCTATATTATTTTTTTTTTCTTCTGAGTACAGGAGTAATTTACAGATGACTTTTCAAGAGATTTATTCATAGTCTGATAGGGATAGCAGGATAGTATTTCATTTATAATCTTATCTTTGAAATTTTTAAATATGCTTTGTTTTTAAATAGTTTTTAATAGTATTGCTAACGTATATATACAATGCCTGAGAATACCCCATCTGGCGATAACAACTCCAACCAGCCAAAGACTGAATCAACTTCAGTTCCACCTGCACCAAGCAACAATGCACCCTCAGACGAAAACAGTGCTGTAAAAGCCTCTACAGCTCCCAAACCAGCATCAACAAGTTCATCGAAGTCTGTACAACCCAAGCCAAACTATACACTCAAATTCACACTTGCTGGTCATACAAAAGCAGTATCTTCTGTTAAATTCAGTCCAGATGGACAATGGCTTGCAAGCTCATGTGAGTTGGTAGTGAGTGTATAGTTGATGTGAACATACAGACTATATCTATTATTTTTAATAGTAACAATACCACCCCATTTTATATTTGATATTTGCCTTGTTTTACACTGTTATAGGTTTGCGATTGTTCGCTATTTCAGTTGACAACAGTGTTTTTATCCGAACATTCATTGACAAATTTAAAAATGTATGATTCAGCTAGAAATTGGAAATTTATTGTCTCTCAGTCTCAACTTGGATCTTGGATCCATCCTTTGATAAAAACTTTGACAGTTTAAGTGATATCCTTTGACAGTTTAAGACACTGTGTTTAAGGTCTTCCATGTTTTCGACTAGATATTGGTATGAACTAAAGTATACCGTATTGATTATTCCAATTCTTGTTGTCTTATAGTGCAAATTTGATTCATATATTATTTATATTTGACACTTATGTTATATACTTTTTATCACAGCTGCAGACAAATTGATCAAAATATGGGGAGCATATGATGGTAAATTTGAAAAGACAATTTCTGGACATAAATTGGTAGGCATGTTTTCTATGTTTCAAATAAGACCTCTTTTAAAATATCTAATTTTTGGAAAGTTTAAGATTTTTTTATTGTTGGATTATTGTACCCTGCCCTCTGTTTTGTTTCAGGGAATATCAGACGTTGCGTGGTCGTCAGATTCTCATTTACTTTGTTCAGCATCGGATGATAAATCATTAAAGATTTGGGACGCTGCCACAGGAAAATGTTCTAAAACTCTCAAAGGACACAGCAATTACGTATTTTGCTGTAATTTTAACCCTCAGTCAAATTTAATCGTATCAGGATCGGTGAGAAGTTTTCGAAAATTTCATTTATATTTGTGTCTTGTGGACCACAGCTAAGATATCCCGAAATCTTGGTCATGCCAAATTCAAGAATGAATCAAACTGCAGTTTATGAATGTGAAGCTCATCTATTGAGTTTTGTTTATGAAACAAGTAATTAGAAGAAATTTTACTAAATGAGTAAAAGGCTGGTAGAACAGAATATTTTTACTGTCCTGCTTTCATCATTACTTATCGATCTTAAGATCGGTAAGTATGTTGATAGGTATTTGTCTGTCTGTCTGTTTGTATGTTTGTCTGTTAGATGAACGCGATATCTCACGAACGCGTGGTTGAATCTGCTCCAAATTGTGCATGTGCATGCATCTTACCTCGGACCAGAAGCCTATAGATTTTGGGTTAATTATGTCGTATAATTAGCGAGTTATTAACTAATTACTGATCTAAGATCGATAAGTCTTCGGTCTCCGACCGATATTCTCGTTCCTATTTTGGGATAAATTATTATTAATTACATATTTTGAAGTAGGGGTATTTGTAAAACTTGTAATTTTTATTTTCTGACATTAATTTATAAATTTTTTGCAGTTTGATGAAAGTGTGAGAATATGGGACGTAAAAACAGGAAAATGTTTGAAAACATTACCAGCACATTCTGATCCTGTATCAGCAGTAAGTATTGCGAGGTATTAATTCAACTCAATCAAATTGAATAAGAAATATGTATGAAAGTAATTTTGTCCAGGTTTCTGATTGCATTATGATTTAGTGAGGTATACTTTTTGTGAAGCACATTTATTAAATGTTTTAGCATAAGACAGTTAACTGTTATTCATTCAACTAATATAACATAAAATACACGATTGAAACATATTCATTGCTGAGGATATTTGGGCATTTATTGTTTTATCTTTGTTAGAGGTCAATTTTGATACTGTTCCATACTCAGGTTCATTTTAATCGTGATGGTGCTTTGATTGTGTCCAGTAGTTATGATGGACTTTGCAGAATATGGGACACTGCATCTGGCCAATGCTTAAAAACTTTGATAGATGATGACAACCCACCAGTCTCCTTTGTTAAATTCTCACCAAATGGAAAATACATTCTTGCTGCAACTTTGGATAAGTATGATAGCTTGAAAGCAAAATTTTACATTCCTTTACAAATCAAATTCAGTATTTGAACTCTGTCAATTAATAAATCAGTCAACACATGGAATTACTTTCGATATGCAATTGTTTCATTTGTTTAATTTTTCCTTTGTTTTTAATTCCAGCACATTAAAATTATGGGACTACACTAAAGGAAAGGTATGTTGGTTCACTTTTATTAGTGTGTCAGTTCAGTGCCACTGTTTTAATAATAGCTGAAATGAATGGGTCTTTGTTCCTTATCAAATATACAAGCACAATAAGTTACCTTTAAATATCAACAAATTCTCCCTGTGAAGATTCACAAAGAAAACTCACCCATGAATGGCAGATTTCCTATTGCGATGTTTAATTGCCTATCTTACCATATCTCATATCAAAAAAATAAAAAACCGTCTTGCTGCACACTAACACAAATATATTTCTATAACGATTCTTCTTCAGACATACATAACAACTACGTATGTCTGAAGAAGTCTGACTTTAGTCAGACAAAACGTTACACAGAAATATATTTGTGTTAGTGTGCAGCAAGACTCTTGAATCACTTAGGATAGTTATCTTTACTCTTGCTACAGCATCCTTGCAATATATGCATACGGATCCACCAGCATAAAATAAGGATGAGTAGTTTTTCTCGCAGAAACCTAATCATTAGCGCAATTTACATATTTTTAGTGCCTAAAAACATACACTGGTCACAAGAATGAGAAATATTGTATATTTGCAAACTTCTCGGTAACTGGTGGAAAATGGATTGTCAGTGGATCAGAGGATAATTTGATATATATATGGAACTTACAGACCAAGGAAATAGTACAGAAGTTACAGGGTCATACAGGTAACCAGTAGACTAGTGAGATGCTAGAATCGATTATCACCTTAAACATATCTATTCTTCAAACAATTTTAGTAACAATAGTTTATCCAAAGTTTTGATATTCATCTGGGTTACCATATATCATTATACATAAACTATAATGCAAACACTGTCAAATCTGCCTGACCTGAAAATTTATCAAGAGTTGCGAATCATGTTTCCAAATCTATGTCTTTTGATGGAACATTGTGCTAAGCGTTAGCGTACCTCTGGTTACGCTGCATAGGTTCCCAGATTCGAATCCCATAGGAGAGAATTATGTGCGAGAGGATTGCTGTACTTTTTGCCGCTGTAGGGTGGTTCACGTAAACGCTAGTTGTTTACAACTTTCTGCACCATCAAGGTCATGCATTTGAAACAAATCACTGGCTAACTAATCCCATACCTGACATGGATTACGGGAGGTCATGGTTCGCCATATGATTAAGCCGTCTCATCAACTTTCCACTCTCCCAGGATAAATATGTAAATCTTATCCTATTCTAAATATGTTTATCACTAAACAGCTAGGATAAAAAAAAATTTTTTTTTTATCTAGATGTTGTGCTGTGTACGGCTTGTCATCCGACTGAAAATATAATTGCCTCAGCAGCTTTGGAAGGAGATAAAACAATCAAATTATGGAAAAGTGACTTCTGAAGAACCTCAAAACTTATTTCATGATGAATTTGCATTGGTTAAAGCTTATCGACATGATGATGGCTTGACCTGCTTTACAGTTTACAGCTGCATCGACGAGAATGAACTGCCTTTTATTGCAGCCTTTTTATTTTAGCGCCAGTAATATTGACTTTTTTATAATGTACAATAGTTTCTTTTTTTGATACAAGGAGGGTTTTTTTCTGAGAAAATTCACCAAGTGGTGGCAATGAAAATTATGATAAGGGCCAAGGCATATAATCATTTCAGTAGAGTAAGTTGCAAATATTCCACGAACTCTTCTGTGTGTGGTGTAAGATGTGTTTTCGCCCGGTTAAAGTTAGACATGACATAGTTTCTTTTTAAGACTCGTGATGTGGAGACTGAATATTATAAGGATTAAATCTTCGTCCGGGTTAAAGGAAACACATTCTGGTTAGGATTTCTTTCTACACCTTTTTCTTGTGGCTGTACCTCTCGCTCAATTTTTTTGAGTTTCCGCGAATACATGCCAGTTAAGGTGATCAAAGGAGAGGAGCGATCAAGAACTTGCTTGGAGAGCAAAGAAGGAATCCTTCGATTCCGAATGAGCCAGCATAGAAGGAGAACGTAACGAAATGTATATAGAAAGGCGAGTGGATAAAACAAACACTGCGATGTCACTCACGATCACGTGGAGAGATTGTTAAAATAAATTTCCATTGAGAGAGCCCCAACCTCGCAAAATCAAAACGGAGGTCGCCATGCCAGATGGAATAAAAACCGTGTTCCGTGAATACAACGACTAACATACCAAGTAAAACAAGACTAAACCGGATTGCGGATGACAGCCTTGACGTAGGCCGTCAAGCTGGGCAGTGATCCCATGAACATTTGGATGAAATGTATTTCATATGGCTGACGGACAACTCGACTACACGGACAACTCACCAGAGACAACTCGACTACCTAGAGGCCTGGTGAGTTGTCCGTCTTTTGGCATTTTCTACGGTGGTGTTTTAGGTCTATAGAAATGCGTTTTTGATATTTTTATTGCTCAAATGTTGGGAAAAATACATAAATATGCTCTAGAAAGCATTTTTATTTGTATAAGTGGCTTATTTTGATCATGTTGTATGAATACAAATACAGTCTACAGACGAAATTGGAGTAACGTTGGCGAAGTTAGACTGTTGATTTATAGGACTGTGTTCGTTTAATGTTTTGAACTTTAATAGTATTAAATGTTTTGAATGAACAACTTTAAATATATTGAAACCTTTATACTTCACAGTAACATCTAAATATTTATGAATGTGAGCTCAGTCTATGGTTGCAGTAGTCTAAACTCGCCTACGGCAGTCGCCCGACAGGCCGTCAACTCACTCACTAGTCGAGCAAACGCTCTGCGACGTGACGTCATCGATGCTCGAGGTTAGGACAACTCGACTACCCAGCAACCAGGGGCAGACAACTCACCAGTCGAGCAATCGCTCTGCGATATCGATGCTCGAGGAAAAGACATCGCTTTGCAAAACGCAGACTCAAGAGTTGCATAGCATTTACTTAGTGCCGACTGATATTAGTTGTAAGCCAACTCACCACCTGAGTAGTCTACCAGCCGACGACTAGGTTCCATCTGCTGGGATACAACAATCGGGTTGGAGTCATGATGGGTGTCATGGGCCTGGTAGCAGTCCAGGCGCTTCCACTCAAACGTTACGCCCCTTTTTTTTAATAGCCTGTACTGTTCCCTTGTCATTGCCACATCTGAATTATTAAAACATTAGCGATGAAACCAATTTCGACAGACGTCACAGATGAGTCCCTCCTGCTTCGTGGAAACACTGTATAAGTATAAGTTTATTTCGACTCCATAATCAGCATAACAATACATTTGACAGATAAATATTTCTTTGGATGTCTTGAAGCTTTCAATGAATAATCCACTAGATAGTGAAAGATTAAATATATATGTCAGGATATCAATAATATGTTCTGGAACATATTTCAATATTTTGAATGGAATACCATCGATTCCAAAACTTGACTTGGGCTTCATATCGCGTATGATATTTTTTATTTCTAATGACGTAGTTGGCCTTAAGAACATGGATGAGGATTCTTGCTTCCCAAGATATGAAATGTAATTTTTGTCACAGCCAGCTGGTTGTGGCATACAGTCGAGCAGGCTTTGTGCCACTTGGGAAAAGTGTTCATTAAATTTATTTGCAATTTGTGTATTACTGCAATCAAGTCCAATCAAAGGACAAGAATTTGTTTTATTTTTACCAATAAGTTCATTGTTTTCTACAATGCCTTGATGTTGCCTTTGTGAGAAGCAAATTTAGATTTGTAATAATTTGATTTCTTTTTGTGGAGCAATCGAGTATAAAGGTTTTTGCATTCATTGAACTGTAATTTGTGCTTTTCATTTATGTTTTTATTGTTTATTAATTTCTTATAAAGTTTTTGGTACCCTAGGTATTGGGCTGATTCCCGAGCATTCGGAATCAAGAGTAATCTGCCAGTCGACGGCTTCTAGGTTCCATCTGCTTGGATGGAACAACTGGGTTGGAGTCGTGATGGGTGTCCTGGGCCTGGTAGCAGTCAAGGCACTCACACTCAAACGTAACGTTCTGTCTTTTTAATAGTCTTTACTGTTCCCTTGTCATTACCACATCTGAATTATTGAAACATTTGCGATGGAACCAATTTTGACAGACGCTGAAAAGCACTGTCGCTTCCTCCTGCAACAAAAGAAAAATTTGTAACATACAATACAGGGTGATGGAATAGCCTACTGTGTAATTAGTACGGACTCACCAGTTCCATTCGCGTTGGTGCGATAAACTGTGTATGAGTAGCCACCCCTCTCTTAAAGCTTCGCTTTACCTCTTTGCGCCATGTCGTCCTAGATGGTGAATGACGTTTCTTCGACGCAGCAATTCTCTCGGGTTAGTAGCCTCAATTAAATATTCATTAACCACGAATGGAATAATTTATTAAAAATGTTAGTTTATTCTAGTCTAGATTGGTTAACAAATAATCCATAGAAATAGTCAACTCACCCTAGTTATCGGGCTGATTTTCGAGCATTATCTAATCTCCGTGCATCTAATCTGATGCACGGAGATTAGAAAAGGTGCCAGATCGGCGATAATTATTTGTGGACTCTCTTCTCGTAGGTGTTCAGGAATCTACGGGCCGCAGTATTGCAAAGAGTAAGTATGTAACGCAACAAACTTCCCCGTAACGTTTAGTACTTAAATAAAATTTATTATTCGTAACAAAAAGTAGACGAAATCTTTTATCCATTGAATTTCCCCACAACGTTTAGTATTCAAATGAAATTCATTATTCATAACAAAAAGTAAACAAAATCTGTTGTCCATACTTCGGTCCAGTTTTCTTCCAGGCGTAGCGACAGCGCCTATCTGTACGTGGATTTCTTCTGCAAAAAAGAAATTCCAACTCTAAGACTGAAATCTTGTCGTGGTGAGTTGGCTTACAACTAATATCAGTCGGCACTAAGTAAATGCTGTACAAGTAGAACTTTCGAGCATGCGTTTTGCAAAGCAATCGCTCTGTAGCCGGGTTGTCTTCTCCTCGAGCATCGATAACGCAGAGCGATTGCTCGACTGGTGAATTGACTGCCTGTCGATCGACTGCCGTAGGCGAGTTTAGACTACTGCAACCATAGACTACTGAGCTCACATTCACAAATATTTAAGTGTTACTGAGAAGTATAAAGGTTTTAATATATTTAAAGGTGCTCAAAACATTTAATACCAATAAAGTTCAAAAAATTAAACGAACACAGACCTATATGTCAACAGTCTAACTTCGCTAACTTTACTCCAATTTCGTCTGTAGACTGTATTTGTATTCATACAACATGATCAAAATAAGCCACTTATACAAATAAAAATGCTTTCTAGAGCATATTTATGTATTTTTCTCAACATTTGAGCACTAAAAATATCAAAAAGCATTTCTATAGACCTAAAACACCACCGTAGAAAATGCCAAAAGACGGACAACTCACCAGGCCTCTAGGTAGTCGAGTTGTCTCTGGTGAGTTGTCCCTGTAGTCGAGTTGTCCGCCTCCCTTTCATATGAACTTTAGGAACAAATAAAAGCAATAATATACTTCTAGAGACAACAACAATTTTCAACCTATGAAATTCAAAAAAATAATTGGTTCAGTCGTTGAAGGTCGATTCTACATAACTTCAACACATTGATAATAAAACGATCCATAGGTTGACTTGAATTGATTTCGTGTCCAAAAACGATTTTAGGTTTATTTCTGGTCTAAGAAGCTTTTTTTCGGATGATAAAATATGTGATGCATTGTTCCGAAGTGACTAAACAATCATATTACGTAATCCAAAGTGCACTTCACTTTCTGGCAAATAATATACTGTATAACACTTTCCAGACTGAGCCGTGTTATACAAAAATAGATGCCACACGCATATTTTGAAAAATATGTTTTTGGAACAATATTAGAAACTTACATTCGAATCCCTACACTCTGCCGGATAATATCCGAAATATGACAAAGCGTTTTGTGAGTTCATTCAAAAGGCGAAGCCATCTTGGTTAATAGCGTACCGTACCGGTACCTGTACTTGTTCGGTTGAGCTTATTGGGGTGGGGTGGGATTTTTTTTTCGTTGTTAGTTAGTGGCATGGGATATTCAGTTGAGCAATTCACGTAAACGAAAATAGCTTACCGTAATCGGCCAACATTTACGGTACCGGTATCCGACTTCTAAACAATGAAAATGTTTTTGTTTCGTCACTCACAGTCCTATTAATTATGGTTCGTTTATTGCATTGCTGGTACCGGTACTGGTTGTGTATATTTCCTGTCTCAGGTTATCATGTAACAAACAAATAGCCCAGCAAATTCCAGAATTCTCCATTTCTGTATTCTGAAAACATTTTAAAATAAAAATACAGTAATACAGTAATAGGATAGGATAGGATAGGATTTACATATTTATTTATTTATTTATATAATATTTTCAATTTTATAATATTAAATTTGTTGTAATACTTGAAAATACATCATGTTTGACGAAGTGATTTACACAAAGACTAGTAAATCGAATGAATTTTGTAATACATATTTCAGTATTCCAGTTCGGCACAGTTCTTCGATTCCAAAAATAGCCCCCAGCCCCCCACATTGAAAGACATCAATTATAACAGTGACTGCAAAACTCTCCTTGGCACAGTTTTTTTTATACGTCATCATTGAATTCATTGAAAAAATAATCCGATTTACATCAGGAAAAAAATGTTACCGTAGCATTCGAAAGTTTTTATCAAAAAAATCTGTCATAAAAACTTGTACTATCCGCCATTCGAAAAAGAATGTTAATAAAAATGCCATCGATTAAAGTTGGAGATATGTTTTATTTTAGTAAATTTTTGTTGTTTTCGTAGTGAAATCATGTACTGTACTACTTATCTTCTTCAGACGTTCGATTCTGGTTACCGTATATAACTGTTACATAAATTCATTCATCCAGTCAAGTGGAGAATTCCGAGAGTCTTATCATATTCCATAATTAAATATTTCTTAGTTTTGCACTGTAATATGTTGTCTTCATTATGTTCAACATTCAATTTATATTATTTTCAGTAATTTTGTATAAATTAGAATAATTGAAGCAGTTCATTATGGCAGCAGGACCATACAATTATTCCTATATCTTCAAATACATTATTATAGGTAAGAGCTGGAAATTATACATTTTTAAGTCTTTTTTACTGAAAATATTTGATTTGATATTGTTTAAATAAAATTCGTTTGTTTTCTGGATGGAGAGATACATTTGAACAATTACATATTCCCCGCCCCCCTCTGCTTTCATACACCTGATATATATTTAACTTAAAAGAATAGGCCTACTGGAATTAGATGTACTGAGAAATGATTTATAAATTCATCTTATGATTATCAATATTTCCGTATATCATATATTGTTATGTCTAAAGATGCTAAGATTTGAAGGAAAGATCCATTTTTGTGCAATAGTAACATGATAACAATAGAGGCTCTAGTGGGATTTTTTAACTGTTCAAATACTACTAATCGAAATTACATTGTTGGATATCTTTCATGACAAAGGTGTATACGTGGTCAAGTTTGTTGTGTAGTTTTTAAATATCATCGCTTTGTATACCAAGTGAAATATTTTAAAAGCCATAAATGGGGCTACATTACTTCATATGATACTTGAAATATTCTCTAGTTTGATTCAAATGTGTCCAGTACTTGGATATTTCCAATAATTGAATGAGGAGTTGAATGACTAATATATCAATTTTAATCGTCAATTATTATAAAATTTATTGCTTGTTCAACATTATCTCTATATTTTCCTTTCATGATAAATTTCCATAACGTGTATAAATATGAATGAATATGATACTAAACATATACTAAAATTTATAATCCTTTACAGGTGATATGGGTGTTGGAAAGTCATGCTTACTGCATCAATTTACAGAGAAAAAATGTAAGATCCGCTTGTTTATTTTTAAGCATTGTGTTGTATGCTGTTTTGAATGATTTTATAGTCATATTAAATCCTATTGTATAATAGCACCTGCCCTAGACTGGAACATTGTATTGTGTATCTAACAGAATGATGTAATTATTGACATAGAGTTTTACTGAAACTTTTTAACTTTTAACTTTTTTTTCGAATTCAATTGTGTCAAATTAGTTCTACCATTTTTAGTCTTTTGCTGCCTATTCATCATATTTAAAGTGTCTTGTAGGTGAATAATCAGAAAAATATCCAACTGTACTATTATTATTAGATGTGAGCCACATACCTCTGTAATCATTGTTTCAATAGAGGATAGAGATTGCATGGATTTCTTTAAAATTCATTCAGATGTTGACTTTGTTAAGATTACCACTGAACTATACAATTAAACATTTATTAACTCTTCATTTACAGTCATGGCTGATTGTCCACACACAATAGGTGTAGAGTTTGGAACAAGGATAATTGAAGTTTCCGGACAGAAAATTAAATTACAGATCTGGGACACGGCAGGACAAGAAAGATTCAGGTAAATCTATATAAATCCACTGCAAAGACCAAAATTTAGAGCTCTAGAGGTTATGCACCAATATGGAAGTAACTAAGTTTGTTCGCCTACTTTACATCAAGTTGTATAAAGGGACTGAAATAAATGGGAAGGAGATATATTCACTTGGCTAACACAGACAATCTCGAAGTCATAATGAAACTAAAATAGTCTCAGTTCAACCGGAAAGCTCGTGGAAAATCAGAATCAAATTATGGCCTAACCCCAACCTGGTACATATACTACCGGAGTACCAAAATTGTTACGTTATTTTTTAATTAAGCAAAGAATATTCAGTTTCCTTTAGGAGACATCCCAGGTCTCCTATTTTAATATTTGTTGGCATTAGCATAATAATTTCTTCATTTTGTAAACCTGAGGTTGGTGTTGAAAATGCAATTTAAAAGGAGTTTAATATGTTTATGGTCTTCTTGCAATCTCTTTCATCAACTCTGGTTATAAAAATCAATACTATTGCAACTTGCAAGCATGCAATGTCGCTTGATTATAGATTTTTGGTGCCATGAAGGCAAGCCACATTCTCACTTATTGTGATTAGTTCAGCAATGTATACTGTTTTATAAAGATAGATCAATTTATAACCTAAAATAACCTTATACATTTGTTTCACTCTTAATTCCTAATGATTGCACAACAATATAAAAATGTATGAAAAGCTAATGTTGAATAGGCATGAGTGGAACTGATTTAAATATCTTTGCCTCTGTTTTGAATTGGTTAGGATGTGAGAAATCATAGTTTTTTATATGATCTTGCTGCTCTTTCTTGTTAATAATTTTCAGATTATAGAGGTAATAATACCCCAGTCTGATTCTATGTAGGATTATAAAGTCAATGAACATTAGGCTGAGAGAGCTTAGAGCAGGGGTCGGGAACCTTTTTGGTCAAGAGAGCCCTAAAATATACATATTTTCAATTGCATTTCCGTAAGAGCCATAATAACATTTCTTCACTTAATCAGGCCTGAAACGTTTACTCAAAAGTCAACACATTCCATGTCAATATACATTTAATCTGACTTCTGATGCTGCATGTTGTCGCTGCGGGCCTTGAACGGTTGCTCACATGCAGCCCAAGTTGAAATCTACGATACTCATCACCCTTTTTCGTTTAGGCATCTCCGTAGTATTTTAAAACTCTATCGCTTTGTGATGTCACAATATATGTTTCAGAATCCCCATGTTTTGTCACAATGCCTGTCTGGTAATTCTCTTACATAACATAGACATGCGCTGGGCCCGCGTTGTCAAACGTATTGGGAATTTTTTGCCAAATTTGGCCATAAAATAGTTTGAAGTCTAGTAACAATAGTAAAAGCTTAATCTTAGATTAATAGATTTTTCTGGGAGCCATATGCCGTCACCAAAAGAGCCATATATGGCTCGCGAGCCATGGGTACCCGAGCCCTGGCTTAGAGGAAGCTAAAGAGAAAACTTGTTGGCTGTAATTCTGATCTATTTAGTTCAAGAATCTTTCCTTGCTCTATGCCTTTGCGCAGGTGGATCCGTGTGCGTATAACGCACACCGATCCACCTGCGCAAAGGCATAGAGCAAGCAAAGGTAGTTAGTTTCACGCAACCCCAACTGTTAGTTCTTAGTTGTAATACTGATTTGTACAATTTATAAACCAATCCAACACTCATTTTCGACATCGGGTTTTTATATTTAAAATATTTTCACTGAATTTTTCTCTACAGAGCTGTTACAAGAAGTTATTATCGAGGTGCAGCAGGTGCATTGATGGTTTATGATATTACGCGTAGAAGCACTTATAATCATCTGAGCAGTTGGTTAACGGATGCAAGAAATTTGACAAACCCCAACACTGTAAGTTCTATGCTTCATTTGTTTTTATTTTCATTCTTTACTCAATGGTATAAAGCAGTGATTCTCAACCGCGGCTCAACTATCCTTTCTGCGGCTTTCATTATCCTTTTCATTGAAAATAAATCAATGACTTGAAATTGAAAGACTGAACTCCAATAGTTGAATTGATGTCATCATGGCTGTTAGGCCGTTTTGAGTGCAACTTTGCAACCTTTCATTGTGATTTCATAGTGTTTTTCCTCAATGTTGATCCTGCATTCCAGTACACTGAATTCAATGTTTCTTGTAATCACATTCAGGCTATTCGGTGCACTATGCAGATTAGGTATTTTCGAACAATCTGTTAGTTTGTCAAAACAAAATGTCTAGAACACCTTCAAAGTAGCTCGCACTCTTATAAATATAATCGAGCGTTTTAGTTTAATTGGAAAGAGGTATTTTCAAATTGAATAGACTAGATCATTGGTTCCCAACCGCCTGTCCGCGGACCGGTGCCGGTCCGCGAAGCTTTTTTGCCGGTCCGGGAGAAATTTCGGTGTTTTGCTGTTATTATGCCATCTAAATCGCTGTACCGAAGATGAGGTTGCGTTGGTTTATTACGCAATTTCTTTTCCGCCGTCATATTACGACATCTTGGCGCCGAGTAATCATACTTTTCACCTTTCGGCTCTGATTCATCTTGAATGCGCTCCGACCTCTTTACCGAAGACGAAGTTGCGTTGGTTTATTACGCAATTTCTCTTCCGCCGTCATTTTGTGACGTCTTTCGCGACATCTTAGCTCCGAGTAATCACACCTTTTGCTTTTTCGGCTCCGATTCATCGTGAATGCGCTCCATCAAATCTCACAAGATTCAGAAACCCCAAAATTGGCAGGCGTGCTTTTTCTGTTCTGCATGCTTTTCCTGATTAATATGACCATCCAAATAAAACGTTATGCATATTTCCAGAAAACAGTCAAGAAAAGTATAATACTCCAGTAAAATATGTCAGGTGGTCACGGGGCGCGCAGAAAAGCATGGGCCGCTTAGATCTTTTCCAGTATCTTGAGCAGACAAAGTAGGATTTTGAGCCTGTTGTTTAGTTACCGACGACTTTGTCATTGTAATGTAAATTCATTTCGTTTGAAGCATCGATCAACTGCAGAGGGATTAATATGATAAACCAGATGGAAAAGAAAAAGCTTGATTCGAATTTTGATTCTACTTTACAGTCCAGATTTAAAAAAGACACACTGTCACAATTTTAGATATATATATCTTGATCACGAATAGCCTACCCTTCGCTAAGTAATCGTGCAATCAAACGTTGTCCGTATTTTCAACGAGTTACTTATATTTTTATTACTTATATATAAAAATATTTTCATCACTAGCTTTAATTAAAGCGAAGCAAGGAAATTGGCTGCACGCCGCTGCAGAGCTACGTGTTGCAGAAACTTCCTTGAGGCATCGTTTGCAATTCTATATTGGAAACTAAACAGCAGCGAAATTCTCACTAGACTTGATTGCGTTTGTACATAATTTGGCATGTACATGTTTTTTATGTGAGATGTTTTATGTGTGCCTTTCTTGCGCATAATGGGTACCCAGCACTGCATTTCATTACGCAAATATATGGTATTTTTTATGTTTCACCCATTTCAATTTTTGGCCGGCACAATATTTGATAGTTTTTCTTTGTGTGAGGTCTTTTTAAGTGTGCCTTTTTAGTCTAGAATCATTAAGTGCCCAACATTACATATATTATCTGTTCCGGTCATTTCAATTTTTTGCCGGTCTGCGAGTACATTTAATTTAATTTTACCGGTCCGCCAGGATAGAAAGGCTGGGAACCACTGGTCTAGCACACCTTCAAAAAAGCTCCCACTCTTTATAAATATAATCGAGCGTTTTAATTTAATTGGAAAGAAGTATTTTCAAATTGAATAGACTAGATAACATTATGAAAATAAGAAGATATTGTTATGTAGTTATGGATATTATTCTATATTGCTATTGAATGCTTCCACCACGATTGCAGCTCGGTTTTTCAGACTTCGGGATTAAAAGACAAAGCAAACGTCATGTTTAGCCCTAAATCAGTTTTTACCCTGAGTTTTGTTGATGTTGTCATTTTAAAATACATACTGTATTTGAGTTTTGTTTTGATGGTATTTATGCGTTGTTTTTTATAGCTCTGACATTGAAAAAGGTTGTGAACCCCTGGTATAGAGTATGGACATTACTTTACTTTCTATTGTAGCCCAATGTTAAGTAGGTCTTGGACAATATCTAAATATCTTAAATTAAGAGTTTGGAAAAAATTTGTCATTGAAATATTGAAAACTATATTGATAGAACTGATAAAAACATCTTCTGTCTTATTGATATACCCGTAACAAGTGACTGAAAGCAATTTGATAATTGATTTATTTATCCTCACTTAACGCTTGCCTCGATGAATCAGAATTGAATATTTGCTCAAAGTGATGTGTCATGTCAAGTCTTGCACAGTAATCTATGTCACAATAATGATATAAATTTAAAACATGTCTGTTGATCAGTGAAAGTCATTCTATGGTGATATATTGTCAATCATATACCAGGGTTACCATTTTAAAACCATTGATTTTTTTAAAACTTATTGAAGATTGACAGTGTTCATTAATATTAAAAGCTTAATTACCGTACGAATGCGTGAACCCTAAAAGAAATGCAACAGGATTTAAATTTGTTTTTGGGACTTGTGAGTCGTTAATCCAAATATATATTGCTATAACTTATGGCACAAAAAATCACCTTATATATGTGGTCAAACACACAAAGAGATTTATTTGACTGTATAAATAGGTGTCGAGTTCTTCTTAATGGAAGTATTTGTTGTTTTTGGGTTGGGGACTGTAACTGCGGACCAGCTACGTTGCTTTTTTCTTAGCGGAATTAACGATGCCATACTCAACTAAACTCATAATTTGTTCAATATTTTATGTTGTAATCTAAACCAACTACTCTTTGTAATTTCAGGTCATATTTTTAATCGGAAACAAAGGGGATTTGGATGCTCAACGTGATGTAACATATGAAGAAGCAAAACAATTTGCAGATGAGAATGGACTTCTCTTTCTAGAAGCAAGTGCAAAAACGTACGCAACATTATTAAACCTGAATATGTTATTATGATCAATGTCATAAACTATCTTAGTCAATTTTGTCAGTTTTAGTATTTTACATTGGGATATGAATAGTTTCCCTCATATCTGTGGTAAGGCCCATAATATTCATACAGAATCAAAATATTGGAAATCTTTTTATATTCAATGCCCCCTTCATCACGATGGTCTCTGTTGATATGCGTTATGGTCGTTGTTTGCTTGGTTTTCTTGTAACATATTAATGATCTTCACGTCTTTATTTATCAGAGGTGAAAATGTTGAAGATGCATTCCTTGAAACTGCCAAGAAGATTTATCAAAATATTCAAGATGGAAGGTATCTAATTATCATCTTATTTTATTGAGAATTTTGTATTTTAGGATTTAGCGTTCTCGGTATTATCTAAGATTTATTGCCATGCTCATTTCTGGCCAATGTATTTTATTCTTATCTCCTTGATATTCGAAATTTCTATTTTTATAATTTCCTATTTATTTTAATTACGGTAGATCAATATTTGAAGCCAAAATCATTGTATATTTTCTGCGTAACTGCTTCTTATGGTTTTTGTACAATTTTACTGAAACTGAAAAATTTCAACAAATATTGCACAAATGTCTACTATGTCAATATATTCACCTATATTCTAAATTGCTTTATTATATAAACAAGAGAGCTATGCTCAAATATATAGACACGTAGCGCCACCCAATGGCAATAATTTTGATGACGTCATAGCGAAAAAAAAAGTAATAGCCTTCTGGAGAAAAATTTTATCTTCAACCACTGAAAATTTCAAAGCAATTGGTCCAGTATTCGAAGAGAAAAGCGATTTTTTTAAAATGGAGACGGACACAAATAACAATAGCAACAAAATTTTGAAACGATCGTTATGTCCACTTTGTGTCCAACAAGACAGCAAAGTTTATATACTATGATCAGAAAGTCAAATGACCAATATGGCCAATTTCAGCAAAATTCCAGCCAAATATCTACTATACTTAGTGTATTATAAAGGTGCTTTGGGCTGGTTAGAAATAACAATGGCTCCAGCTGCAGTGCCGCAGTATAAATTTAGCTGTGGCTCCGGTTCCAAGGCCGGTTCAGCTGCGGCTCCATACCATCAATGTTTTTTGGTATTACCACTACGATGAAACATCACAAGTTGTGAAATCTATTTTCAAAGTTTTAGATATACAAATTCAACTTTTGAATTTATAAGCTGAAAAAGATACATTTTATTATTTATATAGCGTATTACAAAATTATAAATTATGAAAAATAATTGGATGGTTAGGAGCTGCAACCACTAAAATTTCGGACTGCTACAGCTTCATTTGTTATAGTAAGCTTGGCGCCAGCTCCGTCTCTACCAAAATGTCACGGCTTGTGCCTTCTACTCCCTTGCCTGGGTTACAGTTACCAACTGTATACCAACAGATATTGGGGTGGAAATCGGACAGGACTAATAAAAATTTCGAAAATTACCAACCTTCTTCTATTTTTCATTAATGGAAATTTGAAATCGATCGATCCATATGGTTTACAGCGATATTTACACAACAAAAAGCAATTTTAACAGACGGTCTGCTTTGTGTTTGAAAATACAGTAGATATTAGCAAAGTAAAATGGTTTAATATACTGTAATTTCAATATTGGAATTGTCAGAAAACTTCTTCGTAGAACAACGTTTTTAAATTCTCTTATATAAATCCATAATAATTTTTCATAGTTTGGACTTGAACGCTGCTGAATCAGGAGTTCAACATAAACCTACAAACCGACCTGGTCCAAACCTCGCCAATGATCAACAACAAAAAGATAACAACTGCAATTGTTAATGTACCTCTTTCAATATCCAACCAAAATAATAATGAGATGAACTCGCCCGTTTTCCAGATTTTATGTAATTGCTAAAGACAGATCTGCTGACTTCAGGGCTGAATGCCATTTGTGCAAAAAATTCTTATTCAATTTTTCTATGTATTCCTCTAAAATTGTTATGAAAATCTTATATGTGGTGGCTCTTTCAGTCAATACAGAGAAGCAATCTTGCTTTATTATCACATGGGTATAAATAAGCTTTATCGATAAGTTATTCTCTGTGCATGGCAGGTATTGATTTTTTTGAAAACTGTTGTTAGGTTCATATATTAAATCCCAATTACAATTACATGTTCTTAATCCACTTTTTCCAATATTTGAGTTAAAATGGCAACTCGATTGGCGAATTTGAACTCAAATGATATCCTGACTGCTGTGTTTTATATGAAAATAATTTGGTTCATATAGTTTCTCTTTATGGAGAATCTTGTTCCAAAATATTACATCTATACCCAGTAATAGCCGTTGTGGGTTGGAATTGATAATAAATAATACAGTATACCTACTTGAAAATTCCCATTGAATCATCAAATCTATTAATTACGGTAGTTGATGCTTATCTTTTTTGCCCCTAGATGGGACTGCATATCTGTATATTTATATATGTGTACATAATATTATTATTGATAATCCGAACTTTATCAAGATTTTATAACAATAGGCTAAGATAATTGTGTTCTGCATTGTTGAGTCATAATCTCGTAAACGTATTGTTTGAATGAGATGTATAAGTGGTTGGAAGAAATGTTTTTTTTCACTATTAATTAACGAAGCGTAGTTTAGCTCATCAAGTGCATCGGTCTTTTTAGTGGTAATAGTCCATGGTACGTTGTTGTCTCTAAGTAACCTTTGTCTCAATATTTTTTGCTTCAAGGTTGGGGTTAGTTCCTTAGTGCATATGAGAAATGTAATAAGGATATTTATTTAATCATTTATTGCTATATTTCTGCTTGTTTTCCAGCTTGGATCAAAGTTATACTCATAATTATTGTAAGCATTATTGCAATTTTGGTTTGTCCAACTTAGATTGCTTATTTTCTGTGTAGATGCTTGTGGCACTTATCATTTTATCGAGTTAATATAGTTGAATCCCCATCGCTGAACATGCCATGAATTAATTTGATTGTTTATTGTTTCCATAGGGATTGCTACGATGCATTGAAGATATATACTGAATAGGATAATTCTCCCATTTTTTGAGCAATCAATTGGTTGTCATTTATGCTCATTTTGTGGTATATAGGACATGATTTTTAGTATTCCTAATGCAATCTTATTTGGATCTGATTAAAAACTACAGGTAAAGTTAACTCACCTATTTCAAACTCTGTCAATTGATTTCTCTTCAATCTGCTATTCATAGGTTACTGAGGCATTTTATTGAGAGTAATTTACAAATTTCCTGTTTCGATCTGCTAAATCGGCCTATTCCAAAATGTCAAACAATGATTATACTTGTATGTATTTTATCATAGGGCGTTTTCTTAAGCTTGCTTTTGGTTTGCATATTTAGATATGTTGTCTTTTCTACCACTATTTACCCTTGCGAGTGTTGTGTTGAAAATCATGAAGAAATTACTACAGACATGTGCACAATTGTGATGCTCTATTTACGGTTATGAAACGCTGTGCAATATTTTACATAAAGCCGCATGTTGACTGAAATCCGAAATTGCACTCATAATATGGCATAAATTTTTTTTGACTTCTCTGATGCTTATGGTATTTGTGACATCATAATGCTGGTAATAACTATTGTCTGAAAGCTTCTTATTAGCAATGTTATTTGGACTCAAATACGAAGATCTTTTCGTGCAGCTCGATATTAGTCTTTTGTCATCCTTTTCTGTGTTCATAAAATTCTATTCTATAAAAATCAACACCTCTCGCCTGATTGTTCCTGTTATAAAATAAAACAATAAATTACGAACTTATTAAAAAATTGTTCGTTTTTGTGTTTATTTATTTATTAAACGGTGGTTTTTCATCGTATTCTAGTTAAAAAAACAGTGCATTTTAAACTCAAATTTGGCCGTAGCAGTGTGCTGAAAATATTATTTTTCTAAAAGCTAATGCACACATTAACACACAATGAAGAAGTCAAAGGCAGTCAGTGTAATTCATTTAAAATCTCTTCGCAATTTAGTTTTCTATTTTGTTCTTGTCATAAATTGTTAGTCGCGTTTTCTTCATCTTTATAAGCTGAGTTCCTTTCCTTCCATCACCCATCGGTAATTACTTCTTCGTCGTCTCAGTCTAACGATGGCACTGTCGATTCCAGTTGCTACGCGTTTGTCTCTAATGTCATCACTCAGACGCAGTCTGGCCAAATGAAGAAGAGCAATGTTGCGGCTTGTGGCTTTCAGTGACTGCATCAATCCAACGTTTCCCTGTTAATGAACGATTTCAAGAATGGAGTTAGTATTTCAACATTAGCTATATTGTTTTTTATATGGCATGATTTTATGGGAATTTAAACACTTTAACCGTTAGGTCATCGAGCCACCATAAATTTTTCATCTAAATTCTATGGCACGGCTATTGGCGCATTCACTGAACATTCTTGCTATTCAACCACGAATTAAGTTACTACATAGGATCAGAGGTAGGATTTAATGTTTTAATTGATTATGTGGTATCGAATTGCTAAACACTCGACTGTAGCAGAGTGGTTTATTGGTTTAAATTCCTAATACCCACTTGAGACTGGCGCAGTTTTATTAAACATCATTAGATCTAATGATACATGAGTAATTGGCTAAAAATAAGTTTAGCCATTTACCGGTATCTCAAATTAAAAAAATTGACAATTACATTCATCAACTCTAATTTTCATTTCACACATATGATGATTTTTTGACGAAGAAAATAAGATCATATTGCGATTCCACAATATAACAGACCAATTGCTCGCAACCGATATTTGAAATTATACAGTAAACTTGTAATATCTCGATATTTACATCTATCAAATTGTGAGCTTCTGGCAGTTGTGTTCCTGGATGGCGTTGATAAATTTTGACCATCGGACGGTCAAGACGTTCTCTGCACATCAGATCATTATGTGCTACAGGTCCGAGTGTGTATCCTTGTGCTTTGTCTGTCAAGTCATAATGTCTCTGGGATCGGTGGATTGATGCTCTGTTCTCTCCATGATTAACTTGTAGATGTTGCTGCAAGAGGTAGGAAAAAATTGAAAAAAACCTTTGAGGCAGGCATTAAATAAGTGTGTATTATACATGGGTGAATAAAGTTATAGAGAAGTGTTTCATATGCAATATCTCTATAGATAACATATTTTTTCGAGCTCCATTATGGCACAATAAGTTTTTGACGAGAAGTTTTTTGACATAACAATGTTGAGTACAAATAACATATAATTTCTATATAAAATGCTTCTATTTCTACAATTAGTGATTTATTCTTAAATCGCTTGATTTGGGCATACGTGACATGACTGCTATTCATTGATTTAAAAGTTTCCGGTTTCTACTACCTTTTCAAATTGCGTTCCTAATATATACTAGAAATTTTTTGGATCATAATTGATGTCAGTTGAACCATCAGCTTCACAAGTACAATTTATTCAGAACATTGAATGATAAAACATGACATGAAAAAATAGCTAAAAAAAGACTTACTTGAAAAATGATAACCCCCTAACCATAAAAAAGATTTTGTTACAAATATGAACAACTGAATGAAAATTTTATAATATAAAGCCATCCTGACTATCAAAGTGTACAAGCGTCTCTATTATAAACACACTAGACGACTCCACCCGATTGTATACACAGCTATTGTTGTTAAATACTTTAAAATAACTATTGATACCATGTATTGGGTATTATGTTTCATCCCAAAAGCCATTATTCATTCACATTTAAATACCTAATATCACATTGTTATAAATGGGCACTTTGCGGCCAAATTTTGTAAGAGTGAGTGGAATTTTAGTAATTGTATTTAACAATGAGGTTTATATACCGTAAGTGTCGTTGTTTCAGCGATCTTCTGTGTCATTCCGTTATTTACAGTAAGATGCATATCCCTCTGCTCGGAAACACATCTGTCAATCGTATCCCTGATCTCACGACGAAGAGAAGCCGAACTTGCTCGAGCATCTTGAGCAGAGTGTACAGCCTCTGCCGATTCTGGTGTGTATGGCCCAATCGGATCGGGCTCTGGAGTTTCTGGTCGTTCGTAAGCTCTGAGTTTGATATAAATTACCATGTTATCAAGGTGAACCTTGCTTGCAAATCGGCAGAAAAATCAGACAAACACAGCAACTTTTGCTCATGAAAGATATTATGATATAGAATCATGAAATGACCTTTTATCTGGGATATATGTTTCAAGACGTTATTTCTGAGTATAGAAAAATTAGTTGATTGATGTCTTACCCAATCAAGGATATGATCACAATGCATTAGCGCGTAAAAACTATTCAATTTATTATTAAAAGACTTACGAAGTTCGGCCATTGTTGTCATCTGTTGTAGAAACTCTTCCTGATGATGGACGAGCAGATGACACAGCGTGTGTGATTAAATCAAGAACACGATTGCGTTCCATTATTGTGTCTGACAACCTTCGTCTAGCGCTTGCCAAAATCTAAAATATGTGATTGTGAATTTCATATAAAACTCAAAATGTATTTCTGACACCAACCAATATCTTACTTGTAATTGTTTCTGTGTTGCTCTCAATTCACCTTCCAAGGTTCTTTTGATATGTAATAGACATAATCTTTCTTTCATCAAAAGCTGATCAGCTCCATCAAAGTCCTAGAAAGAATAAGGTTTTATTGTTAACAGACAATTATGAATAGGCACAGCCCTTGGATAATTTTGATAATATTTGATTGGTATCAAGCAATTAGGTACATCTTAAATTTAACTTCTTTACTAATATTACTGTTTTCTGTTCAGAAACCTCCTATAAATCAGGCATTTGTTTATTGCTTGCAAACTAAAACATTTGAGAAATATTTTTCAGGCAAATTAAATTTACGAAATTTCATTTTCTTGCAAAATAAGGCATTACTTTAGAGAGAGATATCAACATGAATATGTTTCAGATTCACAATGGATGAAATTGTTTTCATGCAACCAAAGCTTATCAATTTGAACATAATTTTTTCATCCATTCCTCATCATCAAAATCTATCCGCTTCGTTGTCATTTTATACAAAAATTATCACAAGAATATTGAAAAACTTTAAACTTTGTGTATAATATTACCTTCTCTCTGCTTGGTCGAGATTTCCTTATTGAAATGCTTTGCTTGTTTAGCAAGATATCTTTTCTAATGTGCTCTAAATTTTTCTCTAGTGCTTCTTTGCCTCTTAAGAGTGACTTAATTTCTTCATTTGTTTCAAGAAGGCTTTCACGGAGCTTTACAACTACTAGACGTGTTTGTCGGACATAACTATGTACTTTTGTGTTGCTCTGTTGAGCACAATTGTCACGCAGAGTTGGCAGAGGATCAAGCTGACGCCCAAGGTCAATTCCTTTATCACTCTTTTGCATAACGTTTTGCGACACTTTAATATTTTTGATTGCAGCATCTCGCCAGCAGTCTGGTCCAATTGTTGCTGTGGCCAGGGGCAGTGTTTCCCAAGTTCCTGTTGCCATTTCAACTGTTAGTGCTCAATCTTGTGTTTGAGGCAAAAATCATCCACGAAAAAACGAGGAGGCTTGTATTTCACGTCTTTAGATTTCAAAGATATTATTTACATTACTGCAATACCTTTACCTAATTATCTGTTCCACAGTTCTAACTGTTGAAACGGCTTTGAAAAGAAAAATATTATATAAAAACATTATCAATTTGTAATTGAAGCCTATAATTTGAAAATCGTGACCAAACTGATTATCTGTAAATAATTCAGCAAAGTATTAAAAAACCTTGAATGCAATAACTTATCATACTTTGTAGCATTGATGTATTTTGGTTAACAGTTTACCTAAACCAGTTGTAAGCAAGTTACATTAGCAGAAAATTAATTCTATAACTTGGTCATGTATTGGTACCATTTTCTGTGGTAACACTTACAGCTATGATTACTGGGTCGATGCAACCTAAACTATTATTTGGTAATATGCTGATATATTCAGTCACGTAATTCTCTTCCATTGCTTGTATATTTCGAAATAGTTCAGCTGTTAATTGATTCATTTTCTAATTCGCCTACTGACTGACTGAATTAAAATACCTTTACAAAGCTGTGTTTATCCATTCACATATGACGTTTAATGTCAACAGATGAATCGAATACACTATTTACATATATATCTAATTATGTTTATCAAATAAGCTCTAGAACTTAGCGATTAGAAAGAAAAAAATTACACAAAAGAGTAAAGGGCAGAAGTTGCGCCTGTAAGGGCATTGTTGCTAGCGTCTTTCTGTTGCTAGGAAACCTTGTTATTTCAAGAGCTGCGAGTGCCTCGAGTGGTCGATCCGCTTCGATTCGAATGAATCGAGTGACACGTTGTTCGATGTTTTGAATACACAAGAGTACATATAATAATGTAATTGAGTCAAGCCAAACTTGAATCAACCAATGTTTGCGAACAAAACAAAACAATTATTTTCTTGTCGGCCACCAAGCGCAGTTGCAATTTTGGGTAAAAACCAACAAGCATTTTCGTGTCCAGTTGAGTCGATTTGCAAAAATATACAAAAATCGTTTGAAAATAAGTTTTTTTTCATATTTATATCGGAGAGAAAAATAAAAAGACGGTTTGAAATTATGACGAACCACGATCTCGTTCGGTTACCAGTTCGCGTCAGGTGTGGGATTAGTTAGCGAGTTATTGTTTCAGATAGGTTGATTTGATGGCGGGGGAAGCCGTAACCGACCAGTAGTTAGGTAAACCACCCTATGACAGCGAGAATTCTAGAAATTCTCTCGCACAAGATCATGCTGCAAGAGATTCGAACCTCCGAATCCCCGCATGGTAAGTAGAGGTATGCGCCAACCGCCCGGCCTAAAAAACTCATCACTGCACGAGAGCTCGCCCTCGTAGATGAACTGCTCAATCTGTATTTGACACGTATATATAAATCATGTATACAATCCACTCATATCAATATCTTTGCTATATATTCAACTGTACTACATATTTGAAAATGTTGGGGAAAAAATCAAGATCATGTGGTGTTTGTTTAATCTCAATATATCAAGGGACAAAATGATTGAACAGCTTCCTATTCAAACTCTGGGCCATCTGGATAAGATGTTTCTAAATTCGAAATGCTTCAGAGCGGTGGTTCTCAAACGGAAGGGCGCGACTCACAAAGGGGGCGTAGGCCATTTTTTAAGGGGGCGTGAAGCTAATTAAAAATAAAAATATTTGTTGGATTTGATTTTGCCCGCCCTATTTTGGATATTCAAATTTCAAAACTTTTCATTTATTTCATTATTTACTTTCCATCCACGTATTTTCAACATTTGAATAAAAAAACATACATTCGCCTTACTATCTGTTATTTGTAGCTTATTGTTAGCTAGATATTTTTCAGGTGGAGCGCGAAACTTGACAAATTCTAAAAATGGGGCGCGGCTTGAAAAGTTCTGGAGTTCTGCTCTAGAGCTTAGTGGTGTATGTAATGTCAAAATTACAATCAGTATCTGGAAAAGTACGTCAATGTAGGTAGTACCAGGGTACCCGAGACGTAATGACAAGAATATAGTTGTTGCCATATTTTGCTTAGTTATCAACATATTTCTTACTTAATACAACCCGACGACTTTTTATCGAAAAGAAACAAAAACGTGATAAAAATCGGAACTGCTATACAATTTAACATCTCAAACGCAGTACTTTCAATTTATGCATATTGGACTAGGTCCCTATTTGCACCCAGTGGGCCATGACCCACTTCTGGGCCACAATAACATTTTCAGGGGGCCCAAACCTATTGAAAATTGGGTGATTATTCCTATTTTACCTAATAAAGTGGAAGTGTCTATCTTTGCAAAAAGATTTTTTTCCATTGCCTGAGAATATTTAATGGACCACAGATTTTTGTGTGCAAAAGAGCGGCCATGAGAGAAAAAAGTTTGACATCCACTGGACTAGATGTATAAGCATAGATGTATGAATAGATGTTCAATTACATTGTAAATATATCATTTGAAAAGATAAAGGCCTTTAACTTATAAGTTATTAGCAATATTTGTGATCCAAATGTAACTCAAATTTTTCTGACATATAGCTCAAAGGTGAGTTCTGTCGTCATTTTGTCGTTTGTTGCGTTAATTGAATCTAATAATTCGCTAATCTCTTCTGCTAAATTAGGCAAAAATGAAATAATCTAAACCACTACTATTTCACTGTCATCATAAGTCAAAGGATTAAAATAATCCAGGAGTTATGGTTTCAATATTTCATAAATTCTGTCTGTGTTCCGAGTAACATCTATTTTCATAATACCATATGAGTGTTGATGGCAAAGAGACTATTTGGTTTAAACATTGTCGTCTGATCTCATCAGTCGGTGCCTCATCCGTCTTTACAACTACTTATGACAAAAATAGATTTTGATGACGTCAAAACTAGAAAGGTGAATAATGTACCAAAATATTAGTTTAATTGAACACTATTCTTGTTACCAGAAAACGGCGCCTGTTTACATAAATAAAATTGTGAGTCAAGGTCAATAAACTAACTAATGAATCAGAACAAGTTGTCACTTGCCCCACCTTAAATAATAGTGGCGGCGTTAAAACAGATTTTGCACATGCCGCTTTGAAAAAATACAATGTCGCAGCACGTGCTGACGCACGTCAAAGTCAGTAAGCCCGCTGCGATAAACCGGTTGTTTGATACTAACGAACCTAAAGTCGCAATGAATAGGCTTAAATGAGCATTGGTAAATGTCAGGTAGACATTTATAGCGTCATAGGTTGATTTTGATTTTCAAATAAACTGAATACTTATTTCTATAACACAAAATTAGCACACAAATGTACCCTAAAATAGATTACTTTTGGATGCTTCGCTTGAAGCAAAAATTTGAATACAAATACATTTTCTTAAAAGTGATTATAACAAGTCAAAGGTCAATTTTGGACCAGCGTATCTGAATATTTAAATGACGTCTTTGCGCCTGATTAATGACGCATGCTAAATCTTATGTATAATTAAAAAACGACAAGATAAAAGATAAAGATATAGGCTACAAAATGTTCAATGTGAATTTCAATTATATATAGCAGTATTGAACCCTTTTTCAACATTAGAAATCTCTCTGCACCTCACACAGGTAGAGCAATTTTCTTCGAATTTTTATGGACAAAGGGTGCATTTATAGTTTTGGGATAGTATTATTGATTTTGCTTTCAAAAGACAATTTTTGATTATATTATTAAATATTGAAACGAAAAAAAAAATTACCATCTAGACTTGTGTATTTTAACTCAAAATATTTTTAAATATCACAGAGATGGATGTCGAGTATCAATTTATTGTTTAATCAACTATAATTGCGATTTTTCGATTTAAATTTCAAATGGAAAAAGCTGATAAACGTCTCTTTCAGCATGACAGGCAGATATACATATCTTATTTAAAGCAGGCTGCCTTCCTTCAAAAAGTTCCTTTTTTATATTTATTGTATTTTGTGTCATGTCAAATCGTGCCCCCTAACATTTTAAATGTATCGGTAATGGTCGATTTTGATACGTGCTTCGTATTAACAGTAATTTCAAGACCAAATATTGTTTAATCCGAAAAAGCCTATTTTCTGACAGGCATATCAATATAAGTGACGCTCCACATTTCTTGTTGTTTTCGATTTTATATTATTCCATAAATAAGCTAGATTTATTCCGCCGACATTTTAAATTGTTTATATATTTGGTTTTACATTTGTCAGCTATTAACTCCCATGCTTATGATTTCCACGAAACCGCAACATTTTGAATTACAAGAACGTTTGTTATGTGTTTAGTAGTTGACTGTCTTGAACACTTTATTTTCATTATTTTTTATTAAAAATCGCTGTGGAAAAAAAACCAACACTGCGATAAATTGCTGATTCATATACAGAATAGCAGAAATAGATAAAAATATGTTGTTTTGTTATCTTTCCATCGGTATTCGAGGGACCAGTCATACAACCCACACGGGTTGATATTTTGTTTCATGTCAGCATGCGGGTCATAAAAGTTTGATTTTCGTGATGTTTCTTTATTCGTTGATCTGCGTTGTGCCTTCTTCGGTGGTATCACATAAATTAACATGGTCGTTAACTCGTTAAGGGATTAAAAATCATTAATAGGATTTCTTTGAATCTTGTTACTGATATACGTGTTCATGAGAGCGTTAAAACTAATACAAATCACTCTATGTTTGTTGTGGCCTCGTCGATTTAAGCGAACGATAGCGATTGCTTCACGGTTTTATTAACAACAAATTATGATAGTGACAAAGTTACCAGGGCCAAATAATATTACGGGTTTAGCCATGCCTGATTATTACATGATTACATGATTTACTCCAGAAAATACTATACCAACTAAACATACTATTGCTGTAAATAGATAATGGTAGAATCGAGGTATGGAATAGTATCTTTATCATTCGCGATTTTTTGCGAAAAACAATTTGTTAACGAAATATTTTTCAGAATACTTTTTTTTTTTGCGTGTATTGAGTATATCTGGACAAACATTTTTTAAAGTGACTTAAAATAAGATGTGTTGATACACATTTGGTCATCTAGATATCCGGGGATATGTTGACTCGGATGCAAATATTGTTTAACGGGAGACCTGGATGTATTCAAATTCACGCAAGATTACGTTTCATGTTGAGGTATCCATTTATGAACGATTAGCAACTTTGACTTTTCATCGGACACCGACTGAACCCAACTCGGAATATTTACTATTTTGTGCTATTATTTTAAACCAATGGCCCAATATCCTACGTGGCATTTATATTTAAATGAATGATGTCTGACGACAATTTGATAATACCTCGTCAAAATGTTTATTCGGCTAAACAGCAGATTATGATCATTGACATGACCTCAAACTTTGATTGAAAATCTGATAAAGTTCGTTACGTGTCAAATACGTTGTCCAATTCATAATTAAACTTTGCAATGAGTTTTACCAAATGCCGTAGCTGCTGGGCACCAAAGGCAGAATTGGTAAAAGATTGTGGTGTAATTACAAAACTAATAAAGTCTTTATTCACGGGAATAAAAACCAGCGTAACCTACAGTCACATAAACCCGTTGTCGGTATTTCGAAATGCAAATTTTGAATATAAGTTACAATTGGAAAATACTGTGCCCGAAACATTATTCAATGTTGGACGAATTGCTGCTGTATGGCATCCATTTCCACACATGAAAGTGTTCATACAGTGAGAACTATCGTAACAGATATACATATATAATAATAAATGTTTTTGGGGTTGATTCAATCGCGATGTATCGCAAGCCTTTGTAGCTTGGTGCTTTTTGATCCTCTGAGCTGCAAAATCATTAGCGAAAATGTCATTTATTGTTTTACAGGCACGATATACAACTGAATACAGATCATCACAGAGCGGGACTATTTTTTTCGTTGAGCCCAAATTTTCTACCAGCATTATTTGTTGTTTAGATCAGAGCTGAGTTCGTAAGAACTAAGCATTTATTTCTATCTCGATTACCGCACATCATATAATATATATATTAATTTATTATGTTTATGTAACTTATTACAGATTAAAACTTTTGTACAAACATGTATGTATATGATCCAATATTTTTATGCCAATCCTGCATGGCAGTTAGAAAAAAATTAAACTTGTTTAAAATCGATGAAAGTATGTAATTTGTTACAAATATAATGACTAAAATGCTTGTTGAATACCAGATTATCGTTGGATTATGACGTAAACCCGAGAGAAAGATTTCCAACTTGTTTTGCTCAAGAAATATGTGAACTTACCCTAATCCGAACGAAATGGATTCAATTAAGGCGATGGTTGCTGAGTGGATTCTGATCTTTTTTCCGACTAGTATAGCAACTTATAACCAACATCTCAACCGATATTACCTTCCATTTGCGAACATGCTGTATCCAGAGCATATCATGCAATAACAAATATACAATAATAGCCGAAAGCATTATTGCCGACGACGCATGCCATATAAACGAAAAACAGTGGTGCGTGAGAAGCTGGAGTAATAATTTATGGAAGAATCACGTCACAAATCGATAGTTGCAGGTAAGTTAGGAAGAGGAATTCTGTTTAGTGTCGAAATTCAGGAAATTAATTTGGATTATAAATTTAGGTAGAATTCTGGATATTCTTTGTGAAGTATGCGGAGACAGGAGTTCTGGTAAACATTATGGAATATATGCATGTGATGGATGTAGCGGATTCTTTAAAAGGAGCATAAGAAAGAACAGAAATTATGAATGCAAGGTTCGTTTTGTGACTAGGGAATATTTCACCTTGGGTATTTATAGACCCCAAGATCGGTCATGTTATGTATAGATAAGAATTTTGTTGAATGTCTAATTCACCATTGAAAGTATTGCATAAGATAATTTATCAGAGTCAAAATTAGAAAACATCTTTAGAAAAAAAGTTCTTATTTAGTTATGATATTGTTGAAAGTAAAAATTACTTGGTAAGTTCTGGTGTACAAAACCAGAAAAGGCATTTTTGTGGCATATTACATTTTACTCTGATTTTGTAATATCATCAAAGGAACTACCTGATAAGTATTGCCATTTTTGCGATATTTGTACGAATTTCGAAGAAATCACCATCCGCGTATATTTTCCGATATTCTCCAGCAATCGCCCGCTACATTATATTAAACCTCGGTGTTCGCATGAACCGCCATTTTGTTCTAGACTGTGTAATTCAGTGAATGGCAATCATTGAAATAACTAACTTAAAGTAAATTTAGCAGTCGGCAGAGGCACGAAGAAGGAACGATATTGTATGATATAGTTTTGTATATAACATTATAAAGCATTCACTGATTTGAAACCGATAAAGCTTTATACTTTATCCAACAGAGCGGGCTACGCGTGTCGCGTGTCCCACTTGTCCAGTTTACCCGCTAGTTCCTCAAGTAACACGCTTGTACCACCTATACCCCGCTTTGTACCACATGTACAATTCGCACTGAATATGTGGCTCGTAGCTTTTGTACGAGTATGCAAAGTAGGGAGTGGAACAACTGGAACAAATCGTGGATGACATATTTTAAATACCTGTCTGAGTGAGTGATCTGATAATTTTTCTGTGTAATTGAATAAATGAAGAATATATCTTGGTTGATAATTTTCATTAGAGCAAATATTTTTATGTGATATGATTAATCGCTGTTTCGCTGTTTAACAAAAAACCTGATAGCAACAACTCCCGGTAGAATAAGAGTATTGAGAATTCGACATTCAGTTTTGCCAGCCCCATCGCGCATGATTTTATACAAATCAATAATGATACTTGTCATACGATGCCTGTGTATTTGCATAAGAAGTATATATGCAGAATGTTTTTGTTTAAAGTTCAGAGAATAGAAGAATATTTCAAATATTAAATAATAAACGATTTACACACTTTTGTTTTTTACCTATACTAGGATGGATTTTTATATTATGTAGAATAAGGATTTTATTATTCTTATATAATTATCAAAATTCGTAGTCGATTTTTATTGGTGCGCTTTTCGAAGATTTATATCTCGAAAACGATGTCAATTTTATTCAAACCGCCAAACTCTAAAAATCTTAAAAATTTTCGGTAGAATCAGATTTCTTAAAATAATGTTTTTGTTGCAACCCTGCCTCTAAAGAGATTTGATGACGATGTTACATTTTTTTTTATTTATGTATGGTGATAGTGAGTTCAAAGGTTAACCCCAACTTATAAGACGAGCTACTGGTTAAGCCCGTGAGTGAAGACATGACACAAGCGTATATCAATCACTACGAACAGTTGCAAGCAACGCTAAAGGGCAGCCTGAAAGGGAATTCCACAAAGCGGAAATATTTTGGTAAAACGTCTAGAATAGAAACTCAAAGCGAAAGCCTCTCCTACATCTTGATAAGAACTAGTGCTAATCTAGTGTAACAACCAAACGCCTTTTGGGGATAAACATGAGTAAAAAGTTCAAATTGAATTCATACTATTTTCATATCTGCAATGTTTCCCTCGACTATTTTATGAATTTAAAAGTTGCCATTCCACAAAACTAACCAGTAGCGATTGCGATCTTTACTTTGAGCAGTGTTTACATATTTTGTCGACCTTGTTTTATTTCCTTGTATATGGTATAAACGTACCTACACACCGCTATCAGCATTGTCGGATTGTTTGATAATACAGGTATCTATGTATATCGAATCGGAAACATGGGATGGATAAATTTCAGAATGCCAATCGGAAATATTTCTCAATCGCGAAGTCAAACATTTCGTTTGTGGTGTTACACCTAGGATATAACGTTTATAAATTTGTAACCAATGCAATATATTGTTTTGATCGAGGTATAGTCGGGGGTCCGCTAAATGATTGTAACAGAATTATTCCGACATTATCCCTAATTTTGATTACAGAAATATTAGCATTGGTCAATTACAAACTCAGGAATTCTGCATTGTATAGACTTAAAAGAAAAGATAGCGGAAATGAATTGAATGTGGTATATGTTTGGAACATGCGATATCATTCAATTTGAATAGTTTCAATTCGCGTTTAAAGAATAAAACAATCATGGAGATTTTGAAATCAAAGATATATCTGTAGTATCTTTAGCAAAATGTAATTAAAAAGTGATTATAATATCGACAACAAATAATCGACCCGAAAATTATGAATTTGTCACGTTTTGGCGTTAATCAGCGCGGAAATCTGAAAACCTCACTCAAATTTTTTGTCCGATATTTCTGTTGCGTTAATACAACGAATCATATACTGTAATATGACTTATAAGTAAAATATCAAAGAAATATCTTTATACATATCAGAGTAACGTTAGTTACAAACGGAGTGAAAGATTCCAATAAGTTCTATAATCTATGACAACACAGAATAATAATAAATATCTTTATCGATAACAATATGTTAGTTGTGAGCATCGTCTCGACAATGAAGTCTTTTAAATCTTTTTTTATTATTATTATTTTATATTCTGCTTTAGCCGTGAATGTCAAAAATTGAATGCAAGTATGGTTGTTAGGGGAATTATAATGAACGAATCTTGATGATAAGCATACTTTTTTGCCAAACAATGTCCTAATTGCATGAAGTCAGTTGGGGGCGTAAAATAACGAGGTTAAAATTTTGTTATTTTTCTGGTTCCGCACCATATCTCAATGTTTAATGCCCACCTGACCAGGATCAGAGAATTATAATAATAAATGGTATTTTGATTCATTCATCTTATTTTCTTACAAATAAAGGGACCGGAAAAAGGTCGTTGCGCAATAGACAAAATCCACAGGAACCAATGCCGTGCATGTCGTCTTCAAAGATGCCTCGGAGTTTCAATGAGAAAGGACGCAGTTCAAAATGAGAGAGGACCAAGGATGTCAAAAATGAAGCGAAAAACAACAGATCACGAATATTATTATTGCCAAGACACAGATTTTATCAGACGTAAGTCGACTGACTTTTTTATCCCACAAGTAATAAATATTTGTATGTTTACTGATACCGTGGTACGCGTTGTACGCACGGCCGTGATGAAATTTTCTGATTAATTGCGCATTTTTCGAAGAATTAATATCCATGTTTTTTATTTTATTATTGAAGCTAAATCTGTTTTTATTTATTAGATAACCCTAAGATTGGCAGGAATGAAAAATTGCGTGAAGAATTGACGACCGAATCTCTTTATCTTCGTTCTTCATCTTTGCAAAGTGACTTACATAAAAAAGTAAATGTCAACGACACGTTAACGTTATTGTCTGATGAATGTTGGGCTAAGTCTGACATTTCCAGGTACATTCAATTTTAATATACCTGATTAGCTTCTATGTTGCATAACGCACGCTATTGGATAGAAAAAAGTCTTCCTCTGCGACTCCATGAATAGCGATAAATTTACGGGATGAATATAATAAGCGAATTTATATCGCTACAAATATAAATTTTGCAAAAAACAACATAGCTTCGTATAACAAATCGGATATAATAAAAAATTTAGTATCACAGACTTTTCATATTTCCAAACCAATATAACTAAATTATTGCTACATCCACAAATAAATTAACTGCTTTCTGCTAACTGTGTGCGACTATACCAGCGATTCGATAAGCCAAATTGTCTCGATGTTGGTGATTGGATTCGTTTTTTGATCGTTTACAAGAGTGAGTTGACCTCTACAACATTTTTTTGGCATTTGTGCCCTTAACGATACAAAAATATAAATAAGATAATATTTCATAATCTGTGAATGTAAATTTGTTTTTAGAAAATAATAATAGTTTTCTTCAACGCTGAACTCGAATTTTAAATAACATCAAGTTTCTAACCTCATGTTTTTCAATTCGAAATAGAATTTTGTCATTTTTTTGCAATTTCTACTCTTATTTTATATAAAAATATTACGATATATAATGCTTGTACTTGGAAGTTGTATTGTACTGTAATAATATGATGTACGTATATTTTAAGGAGCGTTTAAATTTATTTCATCTTGGTCAGCGCTTACATATATATTTATGTTTCAGACCAGGATTCTTTCTAATTCCATCTCAACGGCAAACTGGTGGTTATGACAGTACTAAAGCATCTTTTACTTTGCTACAACAGTCATCCATATCGTTATGCGAAATGGCTGCTCGCGCCTTATTTTCTACCGCTAAATCAATTAAGACACTGTTATCTCACAAAGAAAATGAGGTAAAAACCATGAAATTATCAATTTTGTAGCTGCTGGGAAAAGAAAACTGTTGAAATGTCGGCGTCAAAACTCGCAAAAAAAAAACGAAAGTCATATTATTGATATTCAAATAAAAAGGGATCTCTTGTACGAAGGCCCCGCCAAAAAAACACACCCGCTAAACCTCAAAACGAAAAATTATTAATTCTACAGTTAGAATGAGGGTTGGGAATGAAGATAGCGTAAAATTTCCAAATCATTTCTAACCCTAACTGAATAATTACTTATTTGTTAATTTGAAATGTGGCTAGGGTGTCTTTCTCAAATCTTTACATTTTCGCATTAGCAGGGGCTTTGTACGAAAGATTCAAAAAAAATTGGAGTGAGCAAAAATTTTTTTCACTTTACATCTTTATCATGCGAATCAATTTCAAACTTGTAAAATTTGAGCCATCAGTAGTCAAAACAATCAATTTTTAAGTTATTGTTTAACTGAATAATGTTAAGTTAAATGTTACCATTTTCAGGTTATATTCAATCAAATAAAATGGCCGTCAATTCTGTTGCTTGAGCTCGGTCATAATTGCACGATGACTCATTTTCAGGAAGTGCTTGGAGCGGCGATGTTCAACGCGTCCGATTTGTTTGTAAAGCTGGCAAATCCGATAAATATGGATACTGGTAATCATCACATATCTTTATCCTTTGGTTAAATTCAAAATGTCATGTAGAAATTCTAAATTGAGAAAAACAACCAAATATCGAGCGGGATATTAATAGAAATATATTTTTGTGCAGCGTTATAAGTCATATATAATTAAACCAAACGTTTTAAGCGTCCGCGTAAAGTATGGAACACAATATATAGTCCTAAACAATGAACTATCATCCGGTTACCAGTCCATGTCAGATAGGGGATTAGTTAACCAGTTATTTGTTTCAGATACATGTACTTGATGATGGAGGAATCCGTAAACCAACAGCGGTTACGTGAATACAGCGGCAAGGAGTCCAAGCAATCTTCTTGCATATAATTATCCCACGAACCCAAGCAACGTAATCAGAGGTGATGCGTATTCCTAACTCTTAGCACGTCGCCGAGATAACACTCACATCTAACTCGTCTTATTTATATATCAATTGACTTTATTTCTCCCACAATGGTTTTTATGTGAGTTGAAAATTCTGAGTGAAGCGTTTATGATCAGCATAAAATTCGTATTTCTGACAGATTTTGAAGACTACAGATTAGAGGTTCAATCAATCCACGAAGCGTCGCTGCGCATTCATCGCGTGCTGACGGAAGTCTCAAAAACAAAATTAATTGAAAGTGAATTTGATCAACTTCGTGAATATTTACTGCGGGGATCGAAAGGTAAAAGTAAAGATATTTTGAAAATTTGGTTTTGAAGATGGCTATGCAGTATACTGACAAGGTGTTGTTGGCAAACCAGTATACAGAGTAAATTTTTAAATCGTGTAAACGCCCTGGAGAATAAATTAAAATGAGTTGAAATTTGATAAAGCTTTCAAGTAGGCCAACATCCAGTAATAAATATTATTATTACTACCAGAATTTCTCCGGGAGAAAAAGAAAAATGTGAGCCTATGTTGCGGATCATCCACATTTACAAAACAGGAAACATTCTACGGAAGAAGGTAAACATAAAGAAATATTATTAATTTCGTTTGTAAATGTCAATCCATGTAAAGCCGCCAAGCTCAATAAATCAGGATTAAATACCAAAAAGTGGTTTAGCAGATTGAACGCCGAGCAAATATGAGAATTCAAACAATCGCTTCTCACAAGTCTAATAAATCAATGAAATTTCCAGTCGATTAATATGTATTATTATTTTACGCCTGGCAAGCAATTAATCTAAGATGATATTCGAGGTAATGGTATATATATATAGGTAATGGGTCAAGTATGCCTAAAAAAAGGTAAATAATACAATCTATTTTAAAAAGTGTGAATATATATGATGTAAAAAATTACTTTGTTTCGTTTCAGAGAACTACTTTGCAATTTATCAAGAAGTCTCGAAAGCGTGAATCCAATTGATGCAGAAAAAGTGTTTTTTAGAAAAACAATCGGAATATCAAATGTTGCCCAAATTTTAACCGACATTTTGAAGGACAGTTAACTCAATTTCAAGCTTTTAGGGGTTCGCTGAAAATCTAACATTTTCATTTTGTTGATACAAGAGTCGTGAATTAGTTCACAAATTATAATTTTGTCAAGTAATTCTAGTCTGTACGTTATCGTAGATTGTGGAAAATATCATCAGATGGCATTGACGCTATAATGGAACGTAGCGACTCTTATCCGTTTTTATCGATGACGTAAAATACGCTGTGATGGGTCCCAGAGCGTCTAAACGCATGCCGTTGCATATTCTCATGAAGGGTGAATGCCAGACGTAAATGATAATCATGTTGAAGTGAGTTTGATAGGCATGTCATGTCAAAATACATTATTGGAGTCATGTAAGAGAGGATTATATTTATATGTTGGTTGGTTTTCTTTGAGTAGTGGAAAGATAGCTTAAATTCAGAGAATCAATTTTTAATAAATGTTGAGTATTTAAGTAAAGTTTACCTAACCATATGACCTTCAGTAACTATAATATTGGGTGGTAAGGTGTGGAATAGAATATTTGAAAACAGCTCAGATAGAAATTTTTTGCTGGCACGTGAAGGATCAGAATAAATGATCCTGTTAAAAATATGTTGGTTCTAATATTCTATAAAACAGATTAAAATTGTTTTCTCTAAACGCATAACAAACACATTTTACCCAACATGTAGTCTATATGATATAACACCTCAATTTTCCGGGCTTCAACCATGTGCATAGTTGGTGTCACGAACACACCTTTCTAACCTGCGAAACTCATCATATATCTGTGTAGTACCTGATAGTATGAGGTGTTAATTTCAGTTGATTACAAATGTAGATTTTGGTGTTAATGAAGGTTATAATCGTTTTGATACGTTGCTGTCATTAACGGTGTTCGAATACTGTCGATTCATTCATGTAATTTTATTCAAATTGAATCTACACCAGACGAGTAAATTATACCTCGAGGGAGGTTGTTTTCAGAAACTTGGGATTTTGGGATTATGGATTTGCATTTCAAAGGAATTAATGTGTGGAGAAATATAAAGTTCATCGCCAAGTTTACCTCCACCTGAGTTTTTCAAAGTAAATTCTCATTTGTAATGAAGTTATTGTGACGTTTTTACATCCACAATTAGTTCAAAAACATTGATAGCATAATTTAGCGGCAATGAAAGTCATTGCGAGCCAGCAGGGTAAAAGAAAAAATACAAATGATGAAATCAGGTCGCAGGCTATCGAAGTTTTTATATCTGAAATAGAACCCGCGGATATAGCGAGTTTGGAAGAAGTTAATATAATATGTGAAGATGATGTCATAATTCGGCAGAACCGCGAAAAACTTTCCGGTCTCAGCGATTACTTTCGAGCTCTTTTACTGGGAAACTTCCGAGAGACGACGCAAAAAAATATTTGCTTGAACTATGTGGATGCAGAACTCCTAAGACACCTGCTGGAATTTTATGAAAAGTATCAAAGCAGGTAAATATATATACTATATCTAATGCACTATGAACTCCATCTGTACTCAATAATGTATCATGTAGGCTACATTAGTATAGGTTGATTTTATGTCAATATTATAGAAATCTCAAAACACGATCTGATGGTATCCAGGTTTATGGCTGACTATTGATTGTAAACCTCTGCTAAATGAGTTCTAATTGTGCGAATGTAAGCATATTATTTACAAAACGAACTTAACTCACATCTATTCAGCAACGTATTTCAGTATAATTGAGTGTAAAAAAGAACTTTGATTAGGTTACATATTATCCATAATTTAGCAGTAACGTACGTCACAGTTTCCATATTGTAGATATCTATCAGGAAAACAAAACACATCCTTAACATTTTCCATTACATTTATTATCAGAAAACAAAGGGAATACGATGACAACTTCTCTCGAGTTTTTATAAAGGATTTCCGAACAGCATGGTTACTTATAGAAATAGCAGATATGCTCGGGTTGGAAGAAGCAGCGATCGAATGTGATAAATACGTTATCCAAACATTGGAAACGAATACTTGCATCGAAGTCTGCAGTTTAGCGGAACAATTTTCAAGATTTAGCATTGAACTGGAGGCCGTTAGAAAATGGATAGTGGATGAGAGAATTACAAACAATCCATTCACCAATGGAACGCATTGTAATGAAATGTGCTCCAATAAATCTTGTATGTGCCAGTATGTTGAAAAATATCACCAAGTGCACACGTTTTACGTTTTGGGTGGGTATTTTTACGAACACTTCCGAGAATGTGATTCTATAGAAGCAAACGCACTTATATCAGAAGGTGATACTCCGTATCATGGAGCACACCATTCGACTGAACTGAAAAGTGGATTCAGTGCGGGACAGTGCTTTCCAGGCCCTCACAATGAGGAATGCAGAGTTGCAGCTTTAGATACTGATATCTACGTAACAGGAGGATTTGACGAGAAAGCAAAAGCGCTAGCGCAAGTATGGAAATACAACACAAGACTGGATGAGTGGAAAAGAGTATCAGACTTGAGACATGCTAGGTAAGTAAACTAGTCATTCTTACCATTCCCACCTTCGTAATGACGATTGCGAATGCGTAAAATGGGCGTCCTAATCTTACTAAGTCCGACTTAACCGGGTAGGTTTGATATAGCTCGATATATATCGATTGTCGATAGCTACAGAGTAACGTGTGATAATGACAATGATGCACAATCACAATGGCGTTGAATAAAAGAACTGAATCCAAACTAGATTATAAATAGTACTAAAAACAACGCGAAAATCACCTCCGTGCAATCAGGGCCATTGCTTGATTGGATAAATATAGGCTTTATTTCAACTCCTGTGAAGTGGAGATCCAAAAGTCTGTTGAAATGTTTTGAACGAAAGCCAAGTGCCAAAGAAAAAGTAAGCTGTTTTTCATCACATCGAATCATATCACAAAAAGAAAGGATTTATGTCGGAAACGACTGTATAAATTCTACACAACGGCGATTGAGCCTTTCTGGCAAAACGTAGGTAGATAAAAGGATCCAGTTATGACACAAATCCATGAATTAGTCATAGCTAGTCCTGGCCAGATTTTCCTTTGTTCAAATTGACATTATGAATTATTCTACGACCCTCCAAATACAAATATGATAAGTGAACAGTCAGGATTCATCACTGGTATACTATAGAATCACTCCAATTCATTCAGTATAGACATGGTATGATAGTTTTGTCTCAAACCATTTCGCCTAATTTTGGCAGATTTTACCACTGTATTGCTTCTGTTGGAGAATATTTATATGTGTGTGGGGGATACGACGATAATTTTGTTTTGAGCAGTTTGGAAAGGTATCATCCACATTACAATGAATGGGTTGATATGTCTGATATGTTGACAGGTAAGCTTCTATTGTTTTATTTGTCAAGATCGGATAAGAATTGAGAATCCTTTTTTTTCGACATGCCTGCCTATCCCAACGCGACGATACTCGCACTACAAAAAACTGATAAAATACAGTGCCACGTTCTTCTTGGTTATTCGGAGTTCATGTCTCAATTTGAAATGTAATAAAATTGAGTAATACTGAAACAACTGGCTATCGTGATACTGATCACCTTCGAATACCTATAACTGTGAAGAACGTAAATAAATGTGTTTTGAAGATATAGGCCTACATTTTTTAAAATAAATTTGTGCCATCGGCAACTAGTTTTTTAGTCGCCATGCGTCAACAAATTTTTTTTTGAACTTGAAACTAAAATCGCATGTTACATTACATATAGTGAAAACAATTCAACAATTGCAGGTGTTGGAAATGCAGCTTTTTCGAACGACGAGTACGGCATATATGTACTCTGTGGGCAATATGGATACAAGGAAGTTCAAACCACTAATGTTGTCCAATATTATTCGATATCGGCGGATCAGTGGACGCTGTTGACGCGTTATGACTCTCCAGGTAAATCCCTTGATAGCTGCCCTTGGGTAGCCCTCTCCAGGTAGCTGCCCTTGATCACTATTTTAGTTCTAATAATACATCCCAGCCCTTCTTTGTCTACGGTAATTGAAGTAAAGCTCAATCGCCGTTTCGCGCTCAGTCTAAAGTACGATTAATAATGTTACAGTGCAAACTAAATGTTTAAAATGACGTGAATCCATATTATTAAAATCTTGAGGCTAATAATAACTATTTCGTTTTTCATATAAGATTCTAGTTTTGTTCAATAGCGATTTTGCATCATTATATTTCATTGGTCGCTAGTTGTATAAGCAATTATCGATACTCGGCAATCACTCTGCAGTGATATTTCGCCGTTTTAGTACCACATGCATATATATGACTATGTGTGTTTGGTTCCATATAAAAACATTGGCGTCGTCATGAAAAGTTGGCGTGAAGTTCACCCGACTTTCTATTTTTGTTTAGTTTTCTACCCGCATTCTGAATATGGACTCTCAAGTCTGATGTTGGATGGTAAGATTCATGTTCTTGGAGGTCAAACCGAAAGATGCGATGTTTACGATGTGGATAAAGATGAATGGAAAAGGTAAAGTACGAAACCTAAATGTTGACTCCAGCAGCTAGCTTATAATACACATCAGTCCCAGTTAGGGTCGTCAGTACGAATTAACTGATTTATATAGGTAATCACCATATCAATCAACCAGTGTCAGGGTGAGCGCGGTATGAAGACTTTAAATCGTTTAAAGTGATTTCTCGATGCACTATGTCGCTTGTTGGTCTCATTGTGTATTACAAGAAATGAAAACTTTGGTAATAATAAAAAGTAATTGGAGTAAAACAAACAAGATATACCGAGAAATGACTTGAAAATTGAAATTGTAACGGGACTTTATGAACACTCTGGTATATTTTCACTTTTCTCTGTAGCGTTCCTCGGTGAAAGTTAAAAAGCTTGAATCGGTAAAAGTTTTGACGCAATAATTGTTTTGGTAGGATTTCAGACATGATTTGTCGGCGAATGGAAGCTGCAGTTATCTCGTACAACGGAAGAATTTACGCAGCTGGCGGATACGATTACAAAACCGGTAAGAAATGATGATATTTTATTATGATAATCCAATTTTACATGCGAACAGAAAGTTCGGTTTAGCTTGTTCCTGGTGATTGGTGACCATTGAAAAGAGAAAATATATACTAGTAGGCCTACATGTGGGTTTCGATGTTTTCGTTGTGACCAAAATTATTGAAAAACGAAGAACTTTGTAATTCTTAAGTTAATTTCACATTACCAAAAATTCAGAAACTCGAAGTCATACTCTCACTACTTGACTTTGTTGCAGGACAATATCATGATACCATAGAAGAATACGACCCAGAGAAAAACAAATGGCGAACTCTTCAGCAAAGAATGCCAAGACCCGCACGTTCTATTGGATTCTGTCATGTATTTGACGTCAAAAAATAGCATAAAAACTTCACACATTTTTTTTATTGATCAATTTTATGCAATCCCCCTTAAATGCCTACACATACATATTATACTTTGTTGAAACATAAGATTTTTTGCACATTTGAAACAGGGTATTAAAGTTAGGGGAGTCGAGAAGAGCATTTCAGCAGTTATAGTTTAGGCCCGATGATGTTTCCCAGGTTATTTGAAATAATTAGCGGAAGCAGTAACTAAGGAGCAAATAGCTTCAATTGATATGTCACAACCACTTCTACGACAATAAACAAAGGGGAAACGTACTAAAATTAATATTTCTGACCGCTTGGCAAATCTCTAGTTAGGTATGGCAACTTTCACTCATTATGAAGTGTACCAAAAACGAACTCCTCCGATACGTTGTGACACACTCAGAACTAGACACTCATGGCTAACGTGACAGGATTTTGATATTTATCCCGTTGGATCGGAAATCCCACAAGGCGGCTTTTAACACGAGGCGACACACCGCCTCTCGCCCGGTTACCGGTCCATGGTGGGTATGCAATTAGTCATCCACTTATTATTACTTGTGGCGGAGAAGGCCCTAACCCGCAAACGGTTACCATCTTATGGCGTGTGGGAAGTACAGCAATCCCCAGCACATTGAAATAGGAAAGTTTGACCACATATCAATCCTTTTCCTTACAAGCGAATGCATATAACTTTCCTGTGCCGTACAATAACCAATCCCACAGTAAACGTCAAACACTCTACTTATATCTGGATATATTGAAAAAAAAGATAAAACCAGAATATTATTACCGTGTACATATTGCACAAAATAAAAGAAGCATATACTTTTGAACTAAGTGTGTGACATTATTAATTAAATAAAATTAGTTAGATTTTGCAGTGGAGTAAAGAGAATTAACTGTGCCCTGATGTATTGCAAATGATTAAACAGTTAGGTTTAGAAGCAGTTACGTGATTAAACTAAGCAATCAGACATATGCAACCTATTACATAGTCCATACACATCCGGGTTACATTTTACATATGTCATGTATATTTTGATGACAAGGACTGGGCATTTTGAATCCAATAGTTAATTATTCGGATCGGTAAGCAAACAGTACGAGTGATAGATTCTATGATTTTAGTAATTTATGTGTCTGGAGGATTCATTACAACAAAAAATCACATACAATGACATATCTCCTAAGTATTCAAGATTCGTTTCAAAAAAAATAATCAATTCCCTCCAGGTATTTGAAAATGCCCAGCCCTTTTGACGACGCTGTAAATGATACTGTTAATAGTAAGGTATTTGGTTCTGATAATACTGAATCATATCATAAGTTCTGCTCCATTTACTGAGGAAACAATCTCGAATAATTTTTACCATATACTGGGCAGCTTCTTTTGATGAGGCTGATGGTGCAAATCTTGTTCTAAGAAGTTTGATTGTATTTCCCCGAAAGCAAGGTAGACTTGTATCAAGCATCAGTGCAACAAGAGATACAATGTCTTCACGATATGGACGAATCGTCAGATAAGCTCGCACACAAAGTTCCATAAACCACTGGAAAAATGAATCATTATTGATATTATTTCTGGCTTTGTGACAACCAAACTCAGATTCTTTAATGCTGGATGACTACCCATTGCACAGTTTACACAAAATTTCATGCATTTGAATAGCAGTACAATTTGAATAGAGCTCTTCTAGTATTTTGTAGAGTTGCCCCTTGGCTGTAAATGGTCAATGGATGTGGAAAGACAGAATAGTGCAGGCGGGTCTGACCCAAGATGGATAGTGTCGTGTGTCGGGTTTTAATAATTTGAGCCCAGAATCACCAATATGAATGCATTTTCTTTCTATCACGATTTATTTCAACTATGAATTATATATAAAATATAAATTTTATCTTAATTTTTGAAAAATGGAATTTTTCTATTTATAAGTCAGAAATGTTAGCTATACCAGAGAAAGTCAATAATGGGGTAAAAGTAACAAAAAATCACCTGGAATGGAGGAGCATCCATCTTTCCACCCATGATCATTACCATCTCTTCAGTCAATTTGATATCAGGTTCCCAACCTAAATTACCACCAGGACTACTTTCAAACATGAATCCAAAATCAATATGCAATAAATGTCCTTCTTTATCAAGCATGATGTTACCATTGTGTCGATCCTGCATAAAAAATAATAAAAAGAAGTTTTAGCAACTGTTACCAGAGGGCCGACTATGACCAATTCCATTGGTGATCTATGATGTAGTGTAGAATGAATATTTATTCTGGAAAAGTGATTTAACATTGCCCGGGAATACCAATGCAAACGTGTAGATGCATGGCATGCTTTGTGGATGCAATAACCGATAAGCCGTTAAGTCAAGTCTGAATTTCAGACTTTCAGCTGTGATAATCCAAGTTGAAATTGTTTTAAAGAAGCATTAGTTGCAAATGTCAAAATATTCGATACCAAATTTGATTTTCACAGAATTTGGAACAGCAGTCACAGAACCTAAAGTTGTAAGTCAAACTTTAAATAACTGAAAGTTTGGAGCCGGATTAAATTTTCCCTGATCATATTGCCCTGTACTCATTGAGTGCTTCCAATCACATTCATTTTAACATCCCAGTATATTTAAAACTCCAAAACAAATACCCCACAAACCTTAATCTGAAGTAAAAATAAGACGACACTGTAAGCTGCAACACTTTTAATAAAATTTCTTCGAGCTCTCTGAAATTCTGCTGAATTTTCATTTCCATATTCATTACGGAAGTATTCATACCTAATAGTATAAAGCAAAATCAGAAAATAATCTATAGACTCATTAATCCATAGTGGAAAAAATAAATGAGAGGGCTTTAAGTTTTTTGCTATCATCAACACTTGTCAAGGTCCGTGCTTTACTTTTTATTTTAGATCGTTATATGGTGACAACCAGATGGATGCAAGACATTAAATACCAAAGCTTACATTCCAATTGCAGTTTGCCTTCCTAGTTGATCTCTGCTTTTACTATCAGGAATACATTCAATTACTCCACATCCTGGTGACGTAGCTACAACTCGATAAGGAAACAAATACAAGTCCAAGCCGACCTATTGTAATAAAATTTAAAAAAATAAAATCATTTTCTCCATAAAGTGGAAGCACTAAGAGAAGTTATTAAATGGAATTAAAAGGCCTTGACTATATGAAATATTTTCTCCTTCACAAGAAAACAGGTTTTAGAAAAGGAGGAGTGCATTCAAAGCTCAAATTTACATCCTTGTGTAATTATGGTTTGGGAAGCTGTTTCTTAATTAGCACAGAAGTCATTTGAGTAGAAAAATAAAAAACAAAAAATGGCCACTTTCAATTGTCAACAAAAGCAATTTTATGAAAGCACCACAATACCTGTTTAAATATATTTTGAAAAAGTTCGATGATTTGTAAAGCGAGCATGTCTTGTCTACAATCATCACCAACTTTGAAAATAGCTGCTTTCCACACAAGATTCCCATCATTTTTAGATTCCTTTTCTGTTTTATGCTGAAAATACATTTCATGAAATCTCAATGTATGAATTCGTACATTGTCATTTCAACAGAGCTGTGCTCAAACATATTCACACCAAGGTAACGCATCAGTACATTTATAATGAAGCCACGGAGCACAGAGATTGCTGAAGAGATTGGCGGTTAAGCAACACCGAATGAGCAATAAAAAGGGTTTCTCTGTAAGTAAAATAAACAATTTTTATAACATGGGAAGTATAGATAGATTACCCCTAGGGCCTTTTTCTCAATTTCATTGATTCCACATTCTTTGACAAGAAACTTTGCTAAATAAGGTGCTTTTGCCGCACTTTGTAGAGGAATTCCAGATTTTCTGTCGATATCAACAACCAGTGCTTCTGGGTTACTCGGAAGGTAACTTTCAGCTGATACCTGTATCGTTAAATATAGTATTTATGGAAACCAATCTATGAATAATTGACAAGTTAAACCTTCCACTAATATTTGCTAGTTGATGAAGTGGTTAAATGTACAATTAAAATTCGAAATTAAACAGTTTCTCAATATCGAGATATTTATTTAACGCTGGGGTTCCCAAAGTTGATTGACCGCTGGCCAAAATTGGAAGCGGAATGATATTTGCGGGGCTGGAAAGTGGAGCGCCCGCTAGGGGCCAATACTGGTAGCGTTATGTAAAATAAAGGTACCGGTATAATTGAATTGTAAAATGTGCCTAAACTTTGATAATGAAGTAACATTTGCCGGTTATTTCGAGTAACTTCTGAAGGACTTCAAAAAAAATTCATCTCTGTAGTTATATGCTGATACCACAGCTATTCAAAGTATTTATTTTAAAATTCATTTTACCTGAATATTAGCAAGCGCTTCGAGACAAGCTTGTTTTCTTTCTGGTCCTTTAGGATAAGGTTTAATAATTCCCGACACATTTGTAACTTCATCAAAAAAATTAAACTCATGATTGTAGAAATCACGAGCCGGTCCTGACAGATTATCGATGATTGTTCTGATCAATCCTTCAAGAGTGTCACCAATATCTGGATCCTAAAGATGTTGAAAAAATCCAGATAGAAGTGTTTATCTTTCATGTACGCAGTCTGGGACTCGTTCAATACTAGGTGCGTTCATTTCAAATAGTTTGGTAGTTTAGAACATGGGTGTGCAACCTTTAATACAGGAGGGTCAGATAGAAAATAACTGGGTAAAACTGTGGGCCGCACCTTAACATAGGCTATCTAGTAGTTGCAGGCACAAAAATTTTGGTTATTGATCTTGTGACATACGTGGTTCACACAAGCTCGCTGTTGGAAAAACTTGAATTACTCGCATGTACCAAATTAGATTAAAAACTCGTTTCGCGGGCGCTCAACATTCAAAATTGGCACTTCTCCGTGGGCCGCACAATTTTTCCTTGAGGGCCGGGGGCCACAGGTTGCAAACCCCCGGTTTGGAACAAGAGTCGCCAGGACCTTCTACTTTGACACTAATCCAAATAGGAACAGATTTGATGTTTGTTTGAACAAATTATTTCAATATCAAAAATTAACAACATGATGCAAGCAACCTAATTGGTCAGCTGCGGCCACTAAACTAGAAACTCTCAATGTGGTTTGACATATGAATCATAGCTAACCATGTATAATAAAAGCTGTAGCTCTCAGTACCTATATTTGAACCAACCATGAAAAAAAAGGCCAAGCCATCATTTCCCGTACAGTGTATACTGGTTATTATATAGTAAAACATATTACAACGGATTCTTAATTATGAGATAACGAAATACCTTATTTTGAGAGTCTTCATCCAGATAGACATTTGTTTTCATATTCCATATAATTTGATGAGCCAGTATCTGTGATTTCTTTGCAGCCCACACTAAGTATTCTTTGACATATCCCATGGTGTCATATCTAAAGAAATTCATTTATTACAAAATACATAAAATATAGGAACAAGCAGGCAAAATGTATAATATAGTCAAAGCTAATGCAAAATCATTCACACCGGATGTCATAAACAATTGCACCGAATGTCATATGTGAATACCAAATGTGCTGTGAATAAGAACGGCAAAATTTGGGTGAAATGTAAGACTTCTACCAATGTTAGAACTGAAAATTTGGAAATGACTGCCGTATTGGTTGCGGAAAAAAACGATTCTCTACACCAGGGGTCGGCAACCTATGGCCCGCGGGCCGGATCCGGCTCGCGGAGTAGTGCAATCCAACCCGCGATGCTTCCCTGAATTATAGCAACAAAACATTTGTTTTGACGATTATATTCTTCATGTAACAGAATTTATTGGGAGATACGTGTAGACTAAATTATATATAATATAACCTAACAAGTATATAATTCACAATTACTCATTTAATGAGCCTATAATTAGACAAATGGCAGCAAAACGCAGAAAAGTTGATGCAAAGTGCTGGGGGTTCAAGGTAACCGAAAATATTCAAATGGAATTTTTTGAGATGCAATGCAATCGAGAGATGTATCGCTGCTTGATTTTTATTATAAAAAGTATCATCCGATCGGTTTTCAACTTTCTAAAAATATCTGCGGCCCGCCAATGACTTGCAACCCCAATTTTGGCCCGCGAGCGACAAAAAGTTGCCGACCCCTGCTCTACACTCAAACAGGAGCAATAATTCATAGGTACTCATGGTGTTCAATACCATAGTTATTTTGATAATGAAGTGTTATTAACATATATGTACATTCTTACCTTACAGCTTGGACCAATTGAGGAATATAGAATAAGATAGCTTCAGGTGGAAAACCTCTTAAAACCTTGACTGCGTATTGTGCTGTATAAGGATGTGGGCTGAATAACCTGCATAAGAAAATAGATGGACGAAAATTTCATATATGTTAATTAGTCAAATAAGGGCAGTTGAGATCTGTTTTGGCATTATTTTGGAGTCATATCTTCAAACTGCCCTGAATCGAGTGTCAAAATTTCAGACTTCATATAATGACACTCGAAGTCAAACTTTCTGACGAAAATTCAAAGTGCATTATGTTGAATAAGCATTCCAAACAGACAAATATAGAAGACTTATGTTTTTGTAATCAAATTAAGTTTTTGTGATCAAAATATGTTTTTCTTTGAATTGGAAGCCGGAATCAGTGCCAAATCTGGAGTCAGGAACCATAGTCGGAGTCAAATTTTTTTTCAAGGAGAAATTAAAGTTAATTCTTGAATGAGTTTGCAGTATGAGTGTCAAATCTCACCTTGAAAAATAAGATAGTGCTGTGCTAGGTGTTCCAAGTGACCATGTCAAAGCATGAACGAGTTCTTGAGAATCACTCTCCAACGACTGATTTGAGACTAGGTATTTCATACCTTCTGGACAACATTCTATCGTCTGAAATGTTGAAACATAATAAATTCAAGTGATATAATATTGGGATTATTCGAGACTTGAAAAATGCGAATATTTTTAATCTTAGTGAGCAAAGCTGGCTAAAACTTATTATTTACCATTTCAAATACCGTACATCTTGATATTTTTAAATATGAAATATTCTACATTGGGTTATATTTATTGAGTTGGAATTCAAAAACATAGGACAGTTAGGATAACAATGCTTTGATTGAATTTCTATTCTTTATAGTTTCCAGAAATTGAGTGAATCCTTCTTAGTTATACCGGTAAACTTCAATTACTCATGATGATAACCTAAATTATTACCAAAATCACGATACGAAAACATTCATTTTGCATTAAATTATTAATACTTGATTCTTTTTGGACACCTCTAACAGTGAGTAAATAACTATCAATCAAATTAGACCGCAATAAGATGTTACTTACGGCTGGATTTTTTCGAACCAAGTTTGTCACAGCACGAACAATAACTTCAGAATTTCTCAGTCTGTCTGGTAAATAAACAGCGAGTATAGGTGACACATGCCATGCATGTTGTACAAGATCTTTCAACTGTCTGTCAGAAATTTCCTAAAATGCATGTTATAAATATTTTATTACAAAAATGATAGAAATAAGATATAGAGTGTATGATAACAGCAACTAAAGAAGAGACTTGAAAACATCCTAATCACAACCAGAGTAATCCAGATTACAGAAATAAATTGTTTGCAAACGTGTCCAAAGAGTCAAAGTTGGTTGGAAAAATTTTGGTATTGAAATACACCAAGGCAATAATTTCAGTATAAATCCGAGGTTCTTAAAATGCTCAAGCACACTATGCATTTATTTAATCACGGAGATTGCAAATACTCAAGCTTGTTCTAGACGTGGTCATATGAGAAATAAATTCACTTACACTTTGGGGAACACTGATCTGATTATTCAGACTTAATAAGAGACTCATATCGCAAAACAAATGAGAGTTTGAGAGCCAAAGCAAAAAAGAGCAATATAGATATGTGGAGGTCAAAGTGCAATCGAAATTGAAAGATTGGAATATACTGTTCATAACAACACTTCAAAAAAAGTGGAAATAGAATGAAGATGTGATTTTTTTTTTATTTCATTCAGCAATTATTTAGTGACTACGTAAAGACATTTTGAGTAGACGCATGTGTGATTAAATCATGCCAAGTTTGCAGACGTCCACCATGCTAGAATTAATGACATTGTAAAGTATGTTTAAAAGTATAGATATCGAAACTACTGGATTATCAGAAAAGACTACTCAAAGTAAAAAGAAGATGACATTGAACGTCATGATTTTGCTGTATAACAGCATTTCAAATTTTTCATGTGAATGAAATTTTTTCATAAAATGGGTCCGCATTCTTTCAAAATACTACTGAGTGAAAGAAATCATGCAGAATACACAGAAGAAAATTAATAGTGTTGTAATCATTTTAAGTCATTCCACTAAATACAGAAGCATTTTTCATCACACATGGATCAATATAACCTTAAAAAATGTACTATGAATTATGCCATATGGAACAAGAAAAATGGTTGGATGGACGATATTGCACTTCCATTATGACTCCACCTAATTCTATATCTTATTTTGATACACCTTTGGAGGTAAAAATAGTTTATTTTTATATTGCAAACAAGGCTTTCGGAGCCCTGGCTCCAGTGAATCAAAGTGGTCAGCTCTTACAATGCTAAAGGTCACCGACCTGTGCTCTATGTAAACAGTCATAATATAAAGGAGGCTACTATATTTTCGAGAGAACCGGGATTTTTCTTGTTCGGTATGCCTATCCAACATATAAAAACCTGGATAAAGTGGTAAGCATAGAGTTGGAACCTGCTATACCAGCACCAGCATATTCAACGGTTTAACCTTTTTGAAGATATCACAATCAGAAGTTGAATTTAGAATTTTAAACATTCAAGATATAAAACTTAAACTAAATAAAGTTGCAGGAATTTTCATGAATGCAAAACTGGACGTTTTAAAGTCAGATTAGACATTTCTCCCACTCCTCAGCCCAATGAACATGCCACGAGCAACTGAAAATGGTACGATAATAATAACAGCGAAGAGTGGAATAATTAAGTTTACAATGTTTAGATGTATTGTACAATACATTCCTCATGCAATATAGTACTATGTAATATGTGTGCATTCGTCTACATACAACATTATTTAACGACGTCATCGGTCCCTCAAGTCGACGAGCAGCAGATTGTCTACGTAACATAGAAGCCCCCTGATATGAAATGCATAAGTGTCAGTAATATTTTAAATCTTAGGAATATGTTTTTGCTAAAGGAAAAACAGGTTATGGAAAGTGCAGTGAATGATTGCATATGATCATAATGAGTTTTCAGCCAGTAAAAAAATCACAAAACTTTTTTTAAGGAAAAAGTGATTATACAGTTTTGCTTGGAACGGGAATCTGAGAAACGAAGCTGGTTACAAGCATCCACTCCCAAAAAAAAGATGATTATAATATTTTTGAAAAATTTCAGGATACCTCTGCATAAAAATGTTTATTTTATTGATAACATACTAGTTAAAAAATTCATTGCAATATAATTTGAAAAAAAACTTATATTTCATACACAACAAGAAGAATTAAAACAAGATTCAGCATAAAAAAAATTGTCTGTCTATTTATCAGAGTGAAAAATGTCTTTTTACATTGGGCCTGGTACTGTACATCATATGAAACACAATAGAACCCATGATTTTTAGCTGTCTAACAAGTATTAGGTAAAAATTTAGTCCGTAATATTTTTGGGTTTCGAAACTATTTAGGTTATTCATTCAATCCAAGAAAACAAAATAAACTTAACAAATTAGTTTATGTTTTTGTGAACTTGCAAATATAAGTTGAACATGAAAACAGAACAAGTTTTGTGCTCAGATGACGAGAAACAAAGATGAAACAATTAAAAACATAAAAATTTGTATTGGTATTCAATTGGAATTATTGGATTTCTTGTGATTCTATTAATTTTATATTATTGCCAGGAAAATAGTTCCATCTGAAACCAAAGCTGAGTGTTTTTGCCAGGTGCAGTCACAGCTAAATTCTCCAAGTTATAACAGTTATGCAAACATACCACAGCATTACAATACAACCTTCCACCACCTAATGGATGTTTGCCCGAATATTGACCCCAGAAAAATCGTTCATATCTTTCTATACTTCATCAATGCAAAATTTTTTAACGCTGATGCGGCTGTCATTAAAAAACACAGCTAATTTCGGGGGCTTATTTTATCACATCTTTTCGGGGTCCATTTTTCATTACCGCAACGAAACGAAAACCTCAACATAGTTAAAATGACAGCAGAGTTTTCTCATTTAAAACTAACAATAACACGCAAAACTACGAAAACAGGTCATGTTCATGCTTGGAAATCATTAGTGAAAAAGTGTCAAAGCTGCTTAAATTTTAACTGTTACGTCACTTTGGGAAATATTACAGAAATAAACAATGGGGTCAATGCGCAGGGAAACATCCATGACACAACATAACAAGTTCACAAAAAAAAAAGTTCCAAAAAACTAAAATACACAACCATTAAACATAATATCTACCTGTGTTCTCCATGCTGACACAGTTGATTCCCATTCAATCATGCTATCAGGATTAGCAGTAGGATTGTACCATGTTATTAAATGTTCCAATTCAGCAGTTAATAGATACATGAGCAGAGATCTTCGTTTAATATAATCTTTGGTTATTTGTTTGACATTCTGAAAATAAATGAAAAACATATCAATCTATATTTCATATTAATTTTAACTTCCCATTAATATATATATAGAGAAAGTAACAGACCTTCTTAGTCTTCTTTGACCCTTTTGCGCTTGGAGCTGCGACAGAACGTCTAGAAATAGAATTTCTATAACCAGGATAAGGTGTCCCATCCGTAGTTCCCCATCCTTGTGACACAGTCAAACTTGATAATGAAAGCACATCAGGAATGGAGTCTAAATGAAAACAATCGTCAGAAATATCATTTTTAAACCTGGGCCTTCAACGTGTATGTATGACAATGTAACTCTTCTCAAAGTACGTGTGTGAGATAGTTTAGAGCGTCGCCAAATATTAATTTATTTTTTTAAAGTTACTACTTATTATTAACCCACAAGGTCGCAATCAAGCTATTACCTGAAGCAGCACCTTTTCCCGAAAATGATGCAGATGGATGCATAGCAGCAAGTCCTGCACTGCTTCCCAGACTACCAGTACCAGCTCTTGCATCCATTATTGCATCACCTAAATAAAACATTTTTAATGAGCTGTTACATTTTTAATGAGCTGTTAATATTAAGTTAAACAAGAGAGCAATCCTCAGATATATGGATATGAAGGTGGAAACATTGAACGCTACCACAAGGTTTGTGGAAAATGCAGCATTGTGATGCAACCAAAAAATCCGGGGTGAAATATCAGGTGTCAAAGAGTCAAAGACTAGAGAAATTGGAAAAAAAATGTGACATCCTTCTAGAGCAGTGGTTCTCAAATGGTGGACGTGAAGCTAATTAAAAATAAAAATATTTGTTAGATTTGATCTTGCCCGCTTATGCGTTATTTATGTACCATCCAAGTGTTTTTTGAATAAAACATACTTTCGCCTCACTATCTGTTATTTGCAGCTTATTGTTAGCTAGCTATTTTGGAGGTGGGGCACGAGACTCGACAAATTCTAAAAACGGGACACGGCTTAAAAAGTTCTAGAGACGCCTTATAATGTTTAGGTACTCAAAATTTGAAATGGATTGGTCCATTAATTGGGGGGAAAGGATATATTTCACAAAATAATTAAAAATCATTTATTGAAAAGAGACTGCCCAAGATATTTCTTACATTTACGCATGGAAAATTTGAAATTGATTGATTTATTAGTCGTACAGGAGAATTTTATTCCACAACAACAAAACTACAGTTAGCAGAAAGTTAACTTCGTTACTTCGGGTCTAATAAATATCTCACAAAAACAATTTACCGCCAAGGTATTTCTTATCTGCATGTACAGAATGCCATAACTTCATTGTATTGTTGATATCAGCCCTAAGTTGAGATGATTCTTGAGTTGGAAACTGACGTCGACAGCTGTAAAAGTTTATGATGATTTTGTTTTGAAGTGTATCCTTGAAGCTAAATATGCTAGAATCACAGATAAATCTTCATAACAAGTTTAGTAACTCTATACGAATGTAATAATTTGGGCAGCTACTGGTGAAAGAATAAATTTTGTTCTTTTCTAAAACAGAGTTATCCTCGATACGGCTGCTTGTTCAAAGCCAATTTTATACTTCAAATACTTGATCATCATTTCTTGATCTTTTTATCCCTTAACATTTATCTATTAATATTTCGGAGACTTTATTCATTAACAGGTCTCCTTTAACACTGCACAAGTGTAGTGCGTGTGAAAAATAGGAAATTGTGCATTTGAAAACTAAACACTACAAAACTATTTTCTACTCTTCATAACATTTGTAACATTCATAACACTTACCAGAAATAGTCAAACATTGCGCAATACACTCTCTCCCGAAGTATATTTCTTTCCAATACTCCTACAGTGACATCACTATTTTGCAAACTCATAAATCCTAAAGTTAACAGACGACTTCTTGCCCCGACAGCAGCAATATGGCTATATACAGAAAAAATATATTTCAAAATAGAAAGATTATTTTTATTACAAAACAGAGCTTTATTATATAGTGCATCATAACAAAATTAAAAAAGAGTTCTCAGCCTAATTGTAAAGTGTTTAAATTTTCTGTTAAGAATCAGGGTCATCTTGGTTACTTGCACATTCGTTAACTTCTCACATATTAAACATAGAATTAACTCCTAGAGGGACAAAACTGAATGATATACTAATACTAAATTGACCAGGGGCCCAAATAAGAAGCGGACGGATATTTGAGGGCTGGGAAAGAGAAGTGCCGGGGGCGAAAAGAAGGGGCCGATACTGGTACCAGACTACCGATATGTATAATTAAGATACCCTTATAATTTAACTGTTACGAATATACTCATGCCTGAACTGTGATAATGACATAACAATGGGAGGTATTTAGAAAGCAAAGAAAAACAAAGTGTTAGACTATTTTAACCAAGTTCGGCAGGCCATATTAAATCGTTTCGCGGGCCGCGGTTTGGGAACCACTGTTTTAAAATATAAATCGATGTGTATATCCATTCAATAAGTTTGAAATCAAAAATCCAAAAAATTAATTTGGACAGTTGAAATAAAAAGTTCAAAATTGCATGAACGTATGTGTGAGACTTGACCGCTCAAAAAAAAAAATTATTTCAAAAATCAACAATTCAAAAATTTAATAATCAATTCAGACATAAGTTTCTTCCATATCCTAAATACTCACCGTGACATATTATTTTGTTTTCCAGGTATAAACATTGGAAGAGAATTATTCAACAACATGACGATGACTCTTGCTTGTGCGGTGCTACTGTATTTAACCATTTCAAATCTTTGCTGAAGAAACTATTACAAAAATAATCGAAAAATATGATTTATGTAATACATTTTGAAACCTGGATTTTATTATTTTTTTTGTCAGCTAGGTTCAACATTACAAATTTAGGGATACTAAAAATAAATAATTACATCAGAATACAGAATTTCAAATATTGTTTAATTTCTCTGATATTTTTCATATGGTAAAAATTTACATATATCACAATAATATATGGAAATAAATTAATTCAATATGCATATGATAATTAATACAATGCAATAAGAGAAAGGAATAAATTTGAAAGTAAAATTTAAAATTTTCACCATCTAACTCGATGTGTAACAATTGGACAGCAAAAAGCATACAAAACGCTGAAAAACTGACTCAATGCATCGTAAATATGATTTGTTTGACGCCAAAACAATGGGATCATACAAGCTGGCACACAAACAGCCGTCAATAAGTCGCAAAATGATCCAATTTTAAACTATTAGTTCCTTATATAAAAATATTTTATGACAGGGCTGAGTTACATGCTTCCTTTCTTCTAATTATCTAATAATTTAGTAATATATCAAAATTTAAAATACCTCTATCCAGTGCAAATGTGGCAACACATAAGGTGGTCTGGGTTTGGGAACATTATCTTCAGAAACCGCCAGAGGATCTCCCTCATTTTCATCTTTGCAAAACATTCCAAGTTTTTGTTCTCTTGTTGCCTGTCAATATATTATTAAAAAGATCACAAGCCAATACTGGTACTGAAAGATCGGTGGAAAAGCTGTACGGAGTAGGTCGAGTAATATGAAGGAAAATGTTCTCCGTTGATTAAAATAGAATTTGAAACCTTCTGGTTTTGAGACCCATTGCCATGGGCCTGACTGCATTTGGGCTGACACCAAAAAAACAACTTTGTGGACTTTGTGTCCAACAACTTCACCGACATTTAATAATAAAATCCATGTATTACAATTCCCATACCTCCCATGCTGATGCCATTTCTCCCATGAAATCCATTTCCAAATCAGATCTTGAAGAAAGAAGCCATTGCCAACAATCTATACACGTTTCCATTATGGAAGACAGAAATCTGAAATAATAGTGAATGAATTACCAAAAGCTATTTCTTTTAATAAATAAATGCATCAGCAATGTCTACCTGTCCACAGAAGCCCAGCATATGACATGTAACATTTTTCTGTCTCTGTATTTTTCATCTTTACAGCTAACCAGAAGAGCTGTAGCTTGATGGACACTAATCTGAATGTCAAAAAAATATGAGCTGATGTTTATCTTTACATCATGTGTCACAGAAGTTGAACCGAAATAAAAAAACTAATGACCAACGCTTGACCCTATAAAAATTACAGGGAGTTCTCTGGTTATGACGGTCACGACTTACGCTGTTTCGAGGTTACGAATGCGCACTCCATAACGCTATTTCGAGGTTACAAGCGCGTACTCTGGTTACGACAGTCGCGACTTACGCTGTTTCGAGGTTACGAATGCGCACTACATAACGCTACTTCGAGGTTACAAACGCGCACTCCATAACGCTGTTTCAAGGTTACGATCGCACTCCATAAAAAATATAAAAGATAATTCTGTACTGTACAGTATTTGCTTTTATTCGTGTGATATGGAATTGTTTTCTGTTTTTTTAATGAAGTACTTTTTGCATTATTTGAGTAATTTATGTACTGTACAGTATAATGTTCCGACTTGCACTGAAATTCGGGTTACACTGCGTCTCGAGAACAGAACAATGTCATAAGTCGAGGAATCCCTGTATTTCTATAGCAAACTATTGCAAAGTTCAAGTGCATATAATTACAGTAACATAAGACAAATTTCCAACATAACTCTAGTTTTATTCCATTTTTAAAGTACCATTTTCCCAGCTACATTCAAATCAAGGTTCCGGAAAACCAAGTCACTGTTATGCAAGAAGCTACAAATTGTTGAAATTCATTCTATATTTTTCGATGAAAACATTCATCAAATTTAAACATTAAATTCAAATAACAAAAAAATTTTACCTTTATCTTTGCATCATCCATATTCTTGATTGCAGATTTATAATTGTTGAAGATAGTTTCAGATAACATCAATTTTGAATCGTTTTCATTCGATAACTTTCCCATCATCTGAATAATTGAAAAAATTGAGAATCATTGTCAGCAAAAATAGCATCGCCATGGGATATTGAAATAATCCTACTCCAAAAATGTAATCAAGTTATATGCCTTCTGCATCCTGAGCCAATATCCAATTAAGTAGGAGTGATCATTATCAGATTAGTATAAAGTGAGTTCCAAAGTATTTAAGAAATCAAGTTTAGAATAGGAAATAATTTCTGCAACTAAACTGATCATTGAGTTATTTGAGTTTTAGGTGCTCCTGAAGTATGTGCACCAAGATGTCGCATAACCTGAACCCTAACCTGGTACACATTCTATGTTCAGGTTGTGCGCCATCTTGGTGCACATACTTCAGGAGGTCAGAGTTTTACCCAAATTTTGAAAACACAACTAAAATTGACAAATAACTAGTGTTTACAACCATGCCTAAAAATCTATCTGAGTGAAATTTGTTTGAGCGGCTGATAAAATATTAATTTGACACCTTCGGCAGCTTTTTGCTTAGGCAATATTGCAGAACAAAAGAAGAAATTCAACGTTTGAGGAAACATCCATTCTGTAATGGGTACACCTTGGGCAAGATGTTTCAGAGCATTTGAGAATTTTGAATCAATGTTTGCGTTTAATTTTTATAAGTGTCTTACACGTTTGGTCCAGAAAGACAATATCGCACCTAGTCACATGAATATATCACTCCATAAACCTGAATTTTTCTAATCTTAGAGATTTGTACTGACCTCTCCATAATACTTGCTTCGTTTAATCATCGCTGTAGCAAACATAGAATTATGTTGTTTTCCAACAGCTGCTTCTGATAATGTTCTAATTGCTAATGAGAGACCAATGTGACTTGATGAATCTGCGTTACCATCAAAATCGATCAAACCAGAATCATAGTTGATAAGGTAGTCCTGAAAAATAGGAACAAAAAATGCAAAAATTTTGAAAATTTCTCAATAATAAGGTATGTTGATATTAATATCAACTATAACTATATCTTTTTTCGTCAATTTATTTAAATATCACGATTACTCGAACTGTGAAAAATTGTTAAATAATTACTTTTTGTTTGCATACAAGATTATTTTTGGTGATTTATCATTTCATACCTCTTGTTGTTATCATCATCTCGGCCAAGGCTCTAGACAAGAAGCAAGGAAGACACAAGAAGTTGTGAGGACTGAATATTTTAGTATAATCCATATAAAAAACATTCATTCGAATAAAAAAAATTTCATAATATTTCAGTTGGATGCTTCATCCATAATATTGTTCCATTCCAAGTTAAAAAATTTTCGCCATAAACCAAACTTATCACATTATATTATAAGGATCAAAGAAGAAAGTAAACAACAAGAAAGGCCCTGAAGTTCATACACAATATCCTAACACCACTATAATTCTCAATGCACTGATATCAAATCATTTTGAAAATTCTTGGTGTTATATCTGCAGAAATCACACCTGAAGATGACTGGTAGTTGATGATGGAGCCCATCTTACAGCTTCATTTAAAATTCCACCACAATGTTGTTTAAAATCTTTGATAATTTTTTCTCGCAATTTCAACGAGTCTTGAAGTTGAAATGTAAATCTTGAACCAGGAATACAAAGAGGAGGAATTTCACTGAATAAATCCTGAATACGAAAGAAGAAAATCAGATATAATGATTAAATAGGGTACGGATTATCGATGATTTATAGCATAGATTAAAAAGGGAGGTAAAGTTCAAATTATCTGAAAAAAATTATTTTTTAGAAATTGGAATATTATATTTCATAGGTTGATTTTAGAATTCAGATAATTGAGGATCAAAACTTATTATTTTAACTTAAATTCAGTTCATACCATATTACACTAATATGAAAAAAATTACTAGACATTTTTAAAATATAGAAATTTTAATAGATACACAAATACAAGTTTTATAATGAAAAAAATAAAAAAAAGAGGCTTTTTCCATAACTTTAATTTTGCTTTTTGTGTCTATCAAGTATTTCGCCATCTCTGTATATACATTAGGTATACTTGATATAATAATGATTTACTAAAATGAAAATCAAAGATGAATTTAGACAATTAACACTTACATTCCCGGATGTTTGAGACAACAATTGAAGCAAGTCCAACATATAAAACAAAACTTTCTTGTTCCAAAGTACATGAGGAAATCTTTCAACCAAGAGAGACAAATACCTATATAAAATAAAAAGCATTGATTGCCGAGTTATATCTCGAATATAAAAAAGTTTAAATTTTGACGAGTGTCTCAAAAATGTTGTGTCCCACTTGTCCCATGTGTCCGCCCAGAGACATGAGACAAGCGGAGCTCGACATTTTCGAGACACCGAATTTTGACTAATAAAAATATTACCTATCCGCTGTCCTTCTAATTCTTGTTTGCGGACTGTTGAATTTAACAAAAAGAAATTGAGCGTTGTCTACAAGAATATCTTCACATTCTTTGTGCTTCCTCTGAAATCAAAATTCAATTCACAAGAATTTGGATATTTAAATATTATTAAAAAAGATGGGGAAGTCTAAAAAATGAATGGAGTATTAAAGTATTCATAAAATGAAATATTTAAAACCACATATTTTTTCAGGTATTGATTGACCCTTACATAGTAAATAATTTGCACTGGGTGAAAAAAAAACCATAACATTTTTTCCAAAAGCATATTTTTTCAGATATTGACAGATTTATCAGTAATATATCCACAGGCTTCTTGGTATCTAATTAATAAAATGCTCGAAAGATCAACAAAAATCATTTCATATTGGCCACCTCCAGTTTCTGGTACCAGGAGAAACTACAAAGTTACCAAAGATTAATGATAATCAAGCTTGATATAATATAGTACAGAGGACTAATTTACAAATAATTGGTTTTAAACTGCTTACCAACTGGTCCAGATATAATTTGAACATGTAATCAGACACAGCATGAATGCATTTAAACATTTCTGATTTATCTTTTCTGACTGTTGGATCTTCCAAATATTGAAATAAACAATCAATTGTGTACGTTGCTGCATTTTTAACTCTAAATACCACAAAAAGTACAGTATTAAATACAAGTAATGCAATATCATGGGTCGATATTAAGATGCATGTTGTAAAATACTTCATATCTGTCCGCATTTAGAACTAACATTTTTATATGCCTATCACTTCGAACACGGATGCATACAAATAGCCACTGTTATGTATTCGGAGTCACCTTCTTATGAAAGGGACGCAATCTATCTGCTTCACCTAATTTATATCGCCCTAGATGAGGTGGTGTCCATGGGATTTGAACCCAAGGTTTGTAAGATGTGATGCCAACATATATAATAACATATAAAATGATCAAATCTGTCACACTTATCATTGAGGGATGGGTGCAACTGGGGATATTAGACAAATCTTAGCATATGAATTAAATGTGTACAACAGTACATATTGTAAAAAAATTGCCATTGTTTGAACACTAATACATTCAAATTATCTTCCTGATGCATCATAATCCAATTACAGAAAATAAAAGTTGTGAATTCAAAAAGTTTGGAGGCACCACTGGGATAATACGATTAGCCCAAATATTAGGCTACTGAAAGAGTTTGGGTCATGAAACTTCATAAATTCATAAACTAAAAAGGGTTGAGGTAGCTTACCTCAACCTTTCAAGTTTAAACACAGATAGAAGATAAGCACAATATCCAAATTCCATTTGATTTACAAGAGCTGTGATATCAGTTGGATTTCCAAGTAATTTTAAAATCTGTGCACGAATCTCTATTAATTCATTCTGAAAAATAAAAAGGAACAGACTATTGAGATATTGATTAGGCTATGGTAGGAAAATGACAGCAAGACAAAAACTCAATCACAAGGTGAAGCACGGACTCTCGACTGGCGTAAATATTCTCGTAAATTTATTTGTTTAACATGACATAATTCAGGAATCTATTCAATATTTCATTTTTCTTTAAAGTATTCGAAAGATGCATTCTTCGTATCAACCACCAGTTGTCCCCAGTACATTATCATCTCTGACATGATTCATGAAGAAAAACCAAAATATGGCAAGAGAGATGTGTTTCTGCTAACTAGACCAAAAATAATATAAAAATTCTATTACCTGAGTAACAGCATAATTTTTCCAGTGCTGAATTATACTTGATTCTGAAGTAACGGATCTCACCAGGAAATGTGAGGTAATGGTGACTTTGTTGATATAAGACAAACTGCTTGAAACCAATCCAAATGGCCAATAATTTGATGTCACTGAGTGAGAAAATAGAATAAATATAAACAAAAAATGAACGCCAAAAAAAAAAATTACAAAAACAGTACAAAAACCGATGCAAGAACTGGGTTTATAAAATAGGCAAGGGAGACATACATTGAGCTAAACTGTGTATGCCCAAATCCAGACTTATTTGTTGTCAAAAATTCTACTGGAACACAGGATTTTAAAATCTATCTACCTTAAAGATGAACTTCACCCTGAAATTAAAAATAAATGCAACAAAAGAACAAAATTTCATTCTATATAATACAAGTTTTACAAAAATCGTGGGCATTCTAGTTATTTACAAAATTCTTAAATTCAAATTTTTACCATAAAATATTTTACAGCACACAAATACGCCCCAACTTTGACACATCTGTTTGGTAACGATTGGCCCACCAATTAAAGCAGTCTTCTACAAAGTTCAATATGAATATTAGAGTAAAATTATTCATGTGGATTCTAAGCAATCACACCAATTTGAAACAACAAAAAATAATATCATAACATGAAAGTACCCAGCATGTTCATCTGTAAATTCGAAGACAACACAATTAGCCAGAAGTCACGGAATAGTTTGGATAATCTTGGTTTTGGTGATGTAATAGGTGGAAGACGACTCATCAACTGAATGAAAAATATCACCATTATTGGATATGACGGAGTTTTGGTTTTAGTAAAAATTTTCCTGATAAATTATTGTCATTTGAGCTGGGTGTTTAATAAAAGCATAAGATTAATAAGTCTGACAGTATAATATTTGAATATTCTATTATACTTAGTAAAATACGAAAAAATTATGCATTTACCTCAAAAATTATCTAAATTCTCAAAATGGGCAAATTCAGTTTAAGGCAAATTCTCATAACATTCTGCATATCAAAATGATCTATTGTAGTGCTTTATAGACCAATCAATTCCTATTAACTTCTAAAAGATGTTTCAAAGCTAGATACTCACCACTGCAATCACAGGCAACAACATGCCAAGGTTATCAGCGTTCTGTATTCTCCAGTTTGATTCAGAATAACTTGCTGTTGTTAAATATTTATCTTTAGTAGGTTGGATATTTTTCTTTCTTTCCAGACCAGTTTGAACAAAGAGTTGAAGAAGATGGACCAATAGATCTTGTAATACATTACTGATTCCTATAAAAAGATAATGTAATTTGAGAAAATGATTTAAAATAAAGAAAATAGAGACTTTGAATAGAGCTATGCAAATTGATTAAAATAAAAACTGTATTGGGAAAGTAGACTAACCGTTGTCTTGTGCAGATTTTGCAGTCTCCTTTGTATCACAGATTGCATTCCTTGGTCCAGATTTACCAATGTGAAAAGCAATGTTGGCCAATGCATTTGTAATTGCAGGAGAAATATGCCTAAATCAAAGCAATACAGAAGAAGCTTTTTTAGGAAAATTCACTCATGCACTCACTCAAAAGTAATTATCACTGAAAAAAGCTATGCGATATCACTGAAATAAAAAAAGCTACTGAAATTATATAGAATTAGATTGGTGCATTAGTTGCCAGTAAATCCCTATTAATCTGAAACTTGAAGCTGTTTAAGTCACTACAATAAGGGAAAAGCCCTTGAGGTAGCAAAATATTAGTTTGAAGATTTAGGAAGAATCTTTATCTGGAGGGTACCCTGACAACCGACAGAGTACGACAGCAGAAAACTTTTCTCAGAAGGACAATTTCATTATTAGTTTGAGTTCTATTTAAAATTATTGATGTCTGAAAAAGATGTAAATCAATACTCAACTGAAACGATTCAAAATCAAAATTGATTGCCAGTAAAAATCCATGATAGCTCAAAATGATTTTCATAAATATACAACTTACTTTACTTCTCCAGGACTGCCTGGTGATTCTGGGACGTTATCAAGAACACATAGCTGCAATAGCATGTTGAGGATTTCTTCATATTGCTTATCCTGAAGGTAATTTTAATCTGATCAGAAATACAACATTTGCTTGATAGACCACAATGTCCAAAGTATTGAGTTTGACAAAAAATTAATTTTATATCACAAAAAACTGTTATCACGAAGTTAAACATACATTATGTTAAACTAAGCTGAATTCGAAATTTCCAGCTAACGCAACCAAAATGAAACAGATTAGAGAAAAAGATATTATAATCTATTATATAACATTGAAAAATATTTGAACATATATTCGTTTACAACAGTATTTAAAACAAAATGCAAATCATTATTCATTCATACCTCCCCAAGAACAGCAATACATGCAAATTGATCGACAATTAAATCATCTAATGATGAAGGAGGTGAATGTAGCCGACGTTGAAGAGTCGCAACAACCTGATATGTAAATAAACCAATTATTACTTGAAAGATAAAGAAAAACTTTTTCTAGTCTAGCATTGAAATTGAAATTCACCTGTGGAGTGATGTTAGTTATCCATTCTCTTGATGCAACTGCAACTCGGCTCATAACTTCCACACAATGCATACTGACAATCTGTGAGGTGCTGAAAACAGAAAAAAACTTTGATAATTGTAACAGAAATTTTGAATGCTAAATAATCATATACCATCTAATAGAAACCTGAATCCTGGTGCAGTGTAACAAATTTTTTTTCTATACAATTTAACAGATTCCAATACTACAGAATATTAAATTTCAATTGAGAAAAATCTCATTCCTGATAGCAATAAATTCAAATTTTGATTAGATTAAAATTTAAGTGTTGGCTTTTCTGATAAAACTGCTTACGGTAATTTTCTTTTTATTTTATAATTGTTTGGCAAGGTTGATTATGAAGCAAGCTTTCGTACAAGTGTATGTGAGGTAATTGTATAATGTTTGTGTTTCATGCGTGACAATAATAAAAAATAACCAGCAAATTTGCAAAGACTAATATATAACTCAAACATAAGAATACAGGGTGCTACCTACTATTTTTTGGAATAGCTCCTTCACCATTCATAATATGTGACAGTAAACACGGAAAGGTCAAAAATACAATTTTTGAGTAAGTCTTGGCTACAGCACACCAAACATAGTTCGCTTCAGCTATTAAGCGTAAAATCTACCTCAAGGTAGTGCTATCGCGTGAGGTATTAGGCACAATATAGTGATAAACGAATGGCATGTAAAAAGATTGAGCAAAATGTATACCTGCTGTTGACATCCAGAGAAAATATCTTATTTGATAGCGCTGATATGAAAGCAGGAACACATTCTGGATCATCTTTTATGCCAACTGCAAGAGCTCTGAATACGAAAGAATATGATAAAAAACATACCCACTCAAATTACATTGACAACAAAAGGCTAGGTAATGTCACACTTTATTTCAACAGCTTACCGACATACACTCTGAATTGCAACATCCTTGATCAATGTATAAGGATCTTCATTGTGTTCGATATTTGATATTTTTGTGAAAACTTTGTTGGCAGATGTGAGACTTGATACTGTTGATAACATAAAGAACCAAGTTTATTACAACACGAAAATCCTAAAAAAAAATTCAAATTTTTCAGATCAAAGTTACCCCAAAGACAAATACTACAAAATTATGGCTGAGGGTGCTATGAATAAAAAAAAATATATTTATATTTAATAAAATCACGTAGTCAAAGTAAATTCTGTTATGGCAAATAAAGCTATAGAAGGATTTGTATTCTACGCCATGTAAAATTCATTTAAATGAATATGGGCCTTTTCATGATAACAATATCTCCCTGTGTGTGAGTTAAATTAATTAGTAATTACAACACAAAATAAAGTTGATCATCATATCGTTGTGAAGAGAAAATAGCTTTGGGTACATTCAATATCTCAAACAAGCTTGGGTATTGCATAGAGTCATACATGAAATAAATGGCATTGTAATTATATTTATAAAAGAAATTTTATATTCAGATCTCTCATAAAATCTATTTGGGGTCATCACAGATTTTAATTTTGAGATATCACCCAGTGGTTTCCAACCTTTTTGGTGGAGCGGAACTCTAATAAAACATTCCATATGCTCGAGAAACCCCTGTGCAATTGATATATTTGATTATATTTGTTATCATGAAATATGCCGATCAAAAAATGTTATATAACAATTCAACGCGGAGCACCTGATGTTTTTTTAGAGGACACGAGCGAACACACACTTATTAGGTGATTATATTATACCTGTGTACTCGATTATATAAAAACGAGAATACCGGTTGGAAACCGAAGACTTATCGATCGATAGTTAGGGGATCCCCCAAAACAGAAACTGCAGTTTCGATTCATCCGCTCTTGTAACTTGCGCACTGCGCATCGCACACACACACTCGGCGGGTCTCAAAATTCTCTCGCCTTACATAAATCTAGATCACTATATCAATAATTGATTGATAACTCGCTAATTATACCACATAATTCGCCCAAAATCAATAGGTTTCTGGTCCGAGATAAGATGAATGCACATGCAAAATTTGGAGCAGATTTAACCTCGCATTCGCGAGATATCGCGGTCATCTAACAGACAGACAGACAGACAGACAGACATACATACAGACATACAGACAAATACCTATCAATATACTTACCGATCTTAAGATCGATAAGTAACAATATACATATATTAATATAGACTCTTTGATTCGAATGTGTAAACTTGAGGAACCCCTGGATTGTACATGAGGAACCCTAGGGGTCCATGGAACCCCGGTTAAAAATGACCGCTCTAACTGAATTTTAATTTTGTTGGATACCCCAAACACTCAAATGAATCATAGCTTGGCAACCAGTAATGTAAGAAAATGCCCAACGCCAAAATTCGATATATAGTAGTGTAAAATACATACCAGGTGACAGTGGATCTTTTTTCTTCTTTCTTGGAATAGTACCGGATACACCAGTAACCGATGTGATTCCAGAATCTACGGAATCTTTGAGTTTCTTTAATTTAATTAGCACAGGTGCAGGGTTGACAAAAAATTCTCTCAATGTATCAATAACCTGTTTGAAATGTTGATTGGATGCCTCCACTACATCACCGAGGCCCTAAAAACATTTTCTATATTTAGACATTCAAAATTACAAGTTACTTATTAACGGAATAGTAATACATTTAATATTTGATAGTTTATCATTTTTTGGAGTGGAATTTAATGTTTATAAAATGTTTTATAGCTTTTATTCAGAAGAGAACTCTGGACAAGTGGTCCAGGCATGAAATGGTTCTGCCTTGGTAAGCCTTGTTTGATTAAGCCCTGTAAGCCCCATTATATTAATACACCCTCAGTGAAGTCTACAACATGGAGTCTGACCCCATATGGTAAATTTTGAAACTTTCTCTGACACTTGCAAGGGCCCGGTATATCACCCCAAATTTCAATGGCATACATAATGTACTGGCAAATTTTCATAATATTTGTGTTAACATCCAGCTGGAATTTAACTGACATTGTGGTGAAAATATCAGTCATTTGACCGTCATGTCCATAAAATTTGAGCATTATGGTTGAAATTACCTTACTTGCAAGGCAGATATAATTTTGTCATTCCTTCCAACAAGCAATTCGTTCCGATATAGTTATATGAAGTAAAAACATGTCAATTAGCCGAACATGAGCAATGATGTTGAGAAGCACCTACAGGTACTCCTGAAGTATGCCACCAAGATGTCGCATAACCTGAACCCTAACCTAGTACACAACCTGAGTTCAGGTTGTGCGCCATCTTGATGCGCATACTTCAGGAGGTCCCACCTACCTCTAGGCATCTCAGTAACAAAGGAACATGAGCTAGGAACAACCTCGTTGATTCAGAAGTTTGAAGGCGATCAGTCATTTTTACGAATATCCTCTGACATTGTTTGTATTCTTTACATCCTAATAATATTACATCAAGACATGCTGCACACGCTCGACACTGAAAAAAAAGACTCCAATTTGAATCGTGGAAACTCGTTCAAACTATAAAAGATCCATAAGAAGGTGGAATGAATGTCACAAATTCAGACAGCAGTTGTTCACTTAATTTGAATCGATTGAAATTTTCAATCAGGAATATAGATTTTCTGTTCACGCTTTCACTCAGAACAAAGCCTTGTACAAGTAAGCATTGATGATATTTTGGAAACGGTTTTGAAACGAACAGAAATTTTCGGGTTCGGCATTGCCTACTTAATTTATTATTCCTGAGTAAGGTGGCACAGAATATGAACCCGATATTTATTACTTGTGTCCTTGGCAAATTAGTCCTAGGTCACATGCTTTAACAACTAAAGAAGCCATCCCACCCATAGCGTGTGTACCAGGTTAGTGTTAGGCCATAATTTGATTTTGATTTTCCTCATTTTAGTTCTATTACGAGTTCGGACGTCTGTGTTAGCCAAGTTAACATACCCCCTGCTCATAGATTTCAGTCACTTTACACAACTTGATGTAAAGTAGGCCTCCATATTGGTACACACACTTCTGGAGCGCCAAAAGTACAATATGCCAACTATCATAACTACGCCACATAGGAGGAGTTTCAGTCTTTAATTTAATTCTGTCTTAAAATTGCCTTAACTTGTTATCTTGGTTGAATTTGATACAATATTTATAGGCCTATTTGATCCATATGACCCACCTTATATCCCTCACAATGCTACAATGATAAATTGAAACTTACCATTAAGACAAGAAGGTCTAGTTTTTTAGCAGAAAGCGTTTCTTTCTCTTTAAGCAGGAAGACAATTTTGGAATAGGTACTAGTGAAAACACTCTCTGATAGTTTTGAAGCTTCTTCATGCAGTGGTGATCCTTGCACTGGAAAAAAAAAGTATAAACTGTAAATGTGACATTGAGATTGAAAATAATTTCTAAAAATGAATTTGATTCAAAAGTTTTAAATTCAAGATCTAGTTAATATACAGGAGTCAGCACACCAGTTTTGGTCATTTCCAAAATATAGGCCTTCAAATTATGGGTAATTTTAATGCTTTGTCTAGTCAGAAGCGTTAAAAATCTCATAAAAATCATTCTATACAACGGTTAGATAGAATTGCCAGCTAATTATCAATCAGCACGTATTGGACATTGCATTTCAGCTAGATGTCAAGATGAAACAGATATTTCAATACATGCATGGTTTGAATTAAAAATTATTTTGCAATTTTAAATTGATATGATGATACAGCTTTTTCATTTAGGTGCAAGTCTGACTTGAGACAAAAATTCATTATGATATTTTTTTTTCGAAATATTCCAGTTGTTGAATTGACCTAAAGATGGCATTTATAGAATTAGAATAATTGAGATCCATCCATGACAATCAATAAGAATTCAATAAAATGCCTGGGTGGTGAAAATCAATGAGAGGCATGCAAGAAGTTGCTTTAAAGCAATGTAAGTTTCCCTGACAAACAGGAAATTTCCTAAAACTTATCATTGATCATTTTTAAATGCATATATGATATCCAGGGGGTTTTCGTGAAAACTAAACTTCTTGAAAAAAAAACAGGCATTGATCATTGATTTAGTATATCAAAAGTTTAGAAGCACAGCTTATTAAAAAAGGACAAATAGCTAACGAAGCTACAAAAACGAGCCAATATTTGCAACCATGCCATGAAAATCTATCTGAGTGAAATAAGTGTCTGAAAGGCTGCCGAAATATCAATTGTCAAGTCACCTTGACATCTTTCTGATAGCCAACGTTACGAAATTAAACATGAAAATCAATGCTCAGGAAAATATTCATTAACATCTACCAACCTGATATTAATTCAAGAAATCCCTCGTAAAATTCATTGAGATAAAATAACACTTGAGAGAAGATTCATAAATATATCCAGAAGTTCCATCGTCATGACTGAATACATGTTTTGCAATGGAATCCAAATGTGATAACACTCGGGCTTCAAGATTGTGGAAATCTATGAACGGAAAAGTGAAACAGACTGTTAATATTGAGATTTTGAAAACATTATCATCTGCATTAACCAAGAATAACAATCCCCCCACCAAAAAAAAAACATTATTCCCACTTATTTTGGCAGAGATTTATGAAACTTTAAAAATTAAATTTCAGTCAAACTTCTTTGGCCAAAGAATGAGAAAAAAATGAAATGAAATGGCATTCAAATCTCATATAAACATAATATGATTATATTCACTTCAGCAGGGACTGACATAGACAACTAATAAGAGTACAAAAATATTGATTTGGCCAGGTCCAACCAAAACATAAATAAAAAAAATCCTCGAAAATTTATCTATTTATTAATAAGTAAGGAACCATATTACCTTATGAATATTACAACAGTTGTCACTTTACAGGCAATGAAGTAGACACAGAACAGAAGTGTTTATTAATTATTGATTAATATGGGAAATATTCCTGAGAGATTTTATGAGATGCTACATTATGATTAATCAATAAATTTTCATAAGAGGTGATACAAAAGCATATTATGGGATGAATGTGTACACTATAAGGCAGCAGTTTTATTTTCTATGAATTATTCTTATTGAAATCACTTTATCACAGAATATATCATAAGTCAAAACAAAGTCCATAAATATACGACCCACAAATATAAACCCTGAATTTTTGTGTGGTCGAATCTCATGCCACATCATCCGAGTGTAATATATATATCTGGGCAATGCAGAAGCGAAACATTTCCAGCCCTTCAAATACCCATTTACATATTAGTGACTGTGAAGAGCCTTGCACAGAGTGTAAAAAACGCTGTATGAAATATCCATCAATTAATTGCTTTACGATTAGGTCTTTTCAATTTGACAATACTTACCATAGATAACAACTCGTTTTGTTGTTCATCATTGAACCACGATTTCAGTTTTTCATCTTTTGAGTTTTTATTTCTGTTTACACTTTGGTTGTTGTGTTGTTTGTATAAATCACCTACTGTTGCTCCCATTTGATTAGAAATATCAATCGCTAACTGACATCCTAAAATTTGAAAAAAAAAATTTACCCTTCGAATATTTTTTTGGTACAGCATTATACAGCTCTATACCACAATTTTGAACGAGTTCAAAAACAATTTTGTTACGGAAAGAAGGCACATGTTGTATTCTTTTTAATAATAGAAATTGATTTTTTAGGTTGCTAAAAAGCCACAAAAACAAAGCAATTTTGTTATCGATAATTCTTTTAAAAAGATTCGAAGAATCCTTTAAAAATAGGATTTGAGATAGGATTTACATATTTATCCAGGGGGAGAGGAAAGCCGATAAGACGGCTTAACCATATGGCGAACCACGGCCTCTCGTCCGGTTACCATTCCAAGTCGGGTATGGGATTAGCTATATTGTTGTTTTCGGAAGCATGGACTTGTGGTGGAGGAAGCCATAACCGACCAGCGGTTACGTGAATCATCCAACGACGACGAGGAGTCCAGCAATCATCTCGCAGATTACCATCCACGCATGGGATTCGAACCTGCAAACCCACGCAGAGTAATTAGAGGTGCGGTGGCGAGCGTATTTCTAACGCTTAGCCCGTTGAGCCACACCGCCGCGCCAAGATTGATGAAAACTTTATGTATTAAATTAAAAAAGCCTACAAGTTACTACAATTTTAAATCAACCATTCGTACTTCATAGCTGTTTGTTCAAAATGAATCAGAAAATCGGATCCACTCTATTCTAGGTGACACTCACCACTTTTCACACATTGTTTAGAGTCTGACATAATATCACGAAATCCGTTGAAAGAAAAACTCGATGTTTTGTTGCCTTTCACTAATATATTTTGTTTGGGTTTTCTTGATGAGGGTAAAACAGCAGTAAGCAAAGGTTCATTTTCAAATATGGGTCGACCAAAACCACGAAGCAATCCGACTAAAGTGGGAATTGTTACAATGGAGAGTACATTAGCATCTGCAAAATATCAGTAAAAAATTTATTGGTAATAAATTACAATGTAATTTTTTTTTGTAACAGTATTTGTTCATGGCTAAGTCAATAGTGTATATGTTTGATAGCATAATAAAACAAAATGTGTAATTCAAAAATATATTACCTTTATTACTTTGTGTATTGATTTTCTTTGTCAATGTTTTACCCGTAGATAGAATAGTTTTTAATAATTCATCTTTGTATTTCTCATCATTTACACATGAATATGTAATTATGTCAGAAACAATGACACTCAAAAGAAAGCATACCGCTCAGGCATAGGCAAATTCCCTTTAAACAAAAAAAGAGTTTTGTTGACATATATTTTCATTCACTAAATAATGGTTAAGGCAGAATAAGAATTTTCACTAAAGAAATATATTGAAATGCCTATTGAAAAGTACCCATATTATTAATCTTCTAAGAACTTAGATTTGCCTGAAGTAAACACAAGAATATCGGTCAGAGACCGAAGACTTATCGATCGCAAGTTAGGGGATCGCCCAAAACAGCGCTCTTACTCCATAGTGACACCTTGTGTCCCATCACTAATCAATTAATAATTCGCTAATTATAGGACATAATTCATCCAATATCAATAGGCTTCTGGTCTGACATATGATGAATGCACATGCAAAATCTGGAGCAGATTCAATCTCGCTTTCGTGAGATATCGCGTGCATCTAACAGACAGACAAATACCTATCAACATACCTACCGATTAAAATCGATAAGTAAAAATCTATTTTTGTGAGAAATTTTGATCGCATTATTGTCATTGTCTATTGAAATCAGAAAGCCAGATTCATATGTCCCAAAAACATCAAACATAACAATTCCAATATGCAATTTCTATGGCTAATAAGAGATATTTAAATAGATAAAAGGGTAGAGATGAATATAGGCTACGCATAGGAACTTGAATGGCTTCTTCTGTAGAAGGTTAATGTGCCGCTATATTGACAGGGATTCTTAAAACAGTTAAAATGCATGTCTGCCAATTACAATTAACAAGGAATATAATTACCTTCTGTATTGCCATATTCAGCCTAAAGACCAAACTATTGATGGTAGATTTCCATAAGTTGAATGAAATATGGAACAATGATGTCTTTATGCTGTAATTTGAAAATAGAGCATTGTTACTGCTGAGTAGTGGGACCACAGGAATTACTTCAGGGTGATGTAGCAAATGCAAAATCAATGCAATGAAGAAACATAATATTCATTAGTTGTAATGAAAAAAAACTCAGTGATTGAATGGGGATATGACTACAGTTAATAAGAATATTTCTCTTTGAATTTGTTATCACTTTTGCTAAGTAACACATGGAACTTGCTGGTATTGTTTAAAATTAGATTTTAGCAATTTTCAAAAGAACAAAACTTAAAACAAGTTTGGTCCAGAGGAGGCATAACAGTTTCATACAAAACTAGAAAGTACTGCACAAATATATGGAAATGGAAGCAACAACAGTGTTAAAAATATGCATAGCGCACGAACTTTCTAAAAAAATCAGCAGAAAATCCATGAGAAGTGAATTTTATTGAACCCTTGAAGGAGACTGAACTAACAGTAATTGAATAGAACTTTGGTTTTGGTTCCCAACAACAAAACATTAACATTTTTGATTTCATTAAACTCCTTCAAGTTACCTTCATGTTAGAATGGATCAAAAATACACCAAGAGCAACAATTGAGTTCCAATTTCTTTGGTTCAATCGTAGAATGCCTTTCTCAATTCGAGGGCACATTGACAGCAATTTCCGAACCTTTACAAAAAAGGAAGACCATAATAATTGAATACCTCATTAAATTCTTAGATTCAAAAGACTGACAAGGCATTTCAATAAACAAACATAGGTGAGCTGGATATAAGTCTTTACATATATATATACTTCACAGACTTTCGGATATTAGCGTGATTGGAAATCAACTTACATAAAAAACAAGAAAGCAGATAAGAGTAGCACTAAAGCTTGCTAGATATGTTGAGGATATGAGATTATTCAGAATGATTGAGGTCAATACTGAAGTGGGTCATACACAGTAATATAACTGAATAATCTATAGTTCATTGCTACCAGCTTTATATCATTTATTGAATGAATTTCACCTGCTGTGCAGTCACATTATCCAGCTTGACTAAGCCCCAGGACAACTTGAAAACTGCTTCTGAGAAAAAGTTGCTCATTGTTTTTGCATGGATAAAAGCAGTCAGTGAACTAAATATTCACAACTTTGTACAGTTATAATCCCAATCCGGAACAATTGAACATAAACTGCTGCATAGTCTGATAGTCCAGCAGACTGACAGTGACAGTACTTGTATTTACACAAGATTTGTATTATCCTGGTTGCAAATACTATTTAATTTAGACCAAGTTTTTACTATTCCTATACATTCTAAATAATACCATCGAATATGAATAGAGAATATTCAATCTGTCAATCAGTCAATACAGCAATAGAAAAAAAGAAGTCATTTAACCATTGGAAAATTTGATAGCCTGGAAATTAAATTTGGTTAGTTGGCAGAATAATTTAGACAAACATTTTTATGAATTTTCTATTTTGCACCAATGTTTAGAAAATGAATGCAGTTCTATTTATTTTCTATCCACCAAAGGTCAATATTGTTAAAGTCAATTGACTGATAAATTTTCAAATTGATACATTATAAATTCTTCTTGAAAATCTCATATTTCATTATTTCAGTATTTACTACCATCAGACCATTAGGCCGGTACCGGTACGGTATAGTTTAGTACCACATGCACTTCTAGTTGGCCTGGCTCAACAATTTTTGCATATGTCAATCCTAACCCCCAGCTGACTACGTCACCGAACAATTACGTCATTTCGACTTCACAGTGGCGTAATGAGGCCACCAAAGTGTGCGGATGGTCGTCCAAATCGCGCAGACGAATCACCCGAATCGAGCAGGCTGATTTCTCTCGTTTTCTCGTCACAACGATCGCGATTGGAGAGAGATCGTCGGCCGTTAGCGACTCGTTATCGCGGCGCCGATGCCATTTCGGGCGATCGTAATTATACTTTTGCAAGCCTATGACGTGATTTTGACGTCGTACTGACGTACATTTTGGATGGCATATTCAGGTGGGGGTTAGGAATAACATATGCAAAAATTCATATGCAAATCGTTTATGCTACACCACTGGAAGTACTTGTGGTACTAAACTATACTAGACCCCCACTTTCTAGTTGGCCTGGCTCAAACAATTTTACCTAGTGGGCGTAGCATGACAATTTTTTCGCAACTGTCATATAAGCAAAATGCAAGCAAAATCCCGCAGCAAAATATACGATGTCATAAAAACGTGTTTCAACTTTACGAAACATTTTTAATTATTAACAACAGAGATGAAGAATTGTAAATTGAACGTTATTATGTAGCATTTAATCACACAAAGAATTTAGGATCAAGGGAGAAGTTCAACAAACTAACCTTTGGGGCCCAAAAAATATTTTGGGTATGAATTTATATCTCAGACATCTTTCCAATCAAATAAAGAAATTCGAAAAAAAATTGATCAGTTCTCTAACAAAATACTTTTAATACAACGCAATACCGTAAATTTCCTAAAAATCCGAAACAGCGTTAAATTGACTCAAGATTTGAACAAGATCTGCTTTTGGGGCACAAAAAAGATTTTGGGTATGGATATCTGAATTCATCATCTTTCCAATCAAATAAACAAATTGAAAAAAAAATCAATAAATTTTCTAACAAAATACATTTAATACAACGCAATAACGTAAATTTCTCAAAAATTCGAAATATCGTTAAATTGACCCAAAATTTGAACAAGATCTGCCTTTTGGGCTCAAAAAATATTTTGAGTATGGAAATATACCTCAGACATCTTTGCAATCAAATAGAGGAATTCTAAAAAAATTGATCAGTTTTTTAACAAAATAATTTTTAAACAACGCAATAACGTAAATTTCCTAAAAATCGTTAAATTGACCCAAAATTTGAACAAGATCTGCATTTGGGGCTCAAAATATAATTGGAGTATGGGATTTATACCTTAGACATCTTTCCAATCGAAATGAGAAATTGGAAAAAATCTCGATCAGTTTTCTAACAAAATACATTTAATATAACGCAATAAAGTAAATTTCTCAAAAATCCGAAATATCGTTAAATTGACCCGAAATTTAAACAAGATCTGCCTTTGGGGCTCAAAAAATATTTTGAGAATGGAAATATACCTCAGACATATTCGCAATCAAATAGAGAAATTCTAAAAAAATTGATCAGTTTTTTAACGAAAAAATTTTAATACAACGCAATCACGTTTATTTCCTAAAAATCTGAAAAATCGTTAAATTGACCCAAAATTTGAACAAGATCTGCCTTTGGGGATCAAAAAATATTTTGGATATGGATTTATACCTCAGACATCTTTCTAATCAAATAAAGAAATTCGAAAAAAAAATGATCAGTTCTCTAACAAAATACTTTCAATACAACGCAAAAACGTAAATTTCTTAAAAATCGGAAATATCGTTAAATTGACCCAAAATTTGAACAAGATCTGCCTTTGGGGCTCAAAAAATATTTTGAGTATGGAAATATACCTCAGAAATCTTTGCAATTAAATAGAGAAATTCTAAAAAAAAATGATCAGTTTTCTAACAAAATAATTTTAATACAACGCAATACGTAAATTTCCTAAAAATTCGAAAAATCGGTGAATTGACCCAAAATTTGAACAAGATCTACCAATGGGGATCAAAAAATATTTTGGGTATGGATTTATACCTCAGACATCTTTCTAATAAAATAAAGAAATTTGAAAAAAATGATCAGTTTTCTAACGAAATACTTTTAATATACCGCAATAGCGTAAATTTCTTAGAAATTCGAAAAATCGTTAAAGTGACCCAAAATTTGAACAAAATCTGCCTTTGGGGCTTAAAAATATTTGAGTATGGATATCTGAATTCATCATCTTTCCAATAAAATAAAGAAATTGGAAAAAAATTCGATCAGTTTTCTAACAAAACACTTTCAATATAACGCAATAACGTAGATATCTTAGAAATTCGAAAAATCGTTAAATTGACCCAAAATTTGAACAGGATCTGCCTTTGGGGCTTAAAAAATATCTTGAGTATGGATATCTGAATTCATCATCTTTCCAATGAAATAAAGAAATTGGAAAAAAATCTGGATAAGTTTTCTAACAAAATACTTTTAATATAACGTAATAACGTAAATTTCTTAGAAATTCGAAAAATCGCTAAATTGACCCAAAATTTGAACAAGATCTGCCTTTGGGACTTAAAAAATATTTTGAGTATGGATATCTGAATTCATGATCTTTCCAATGAAATAAAGAAATTGGAAAAAACTCGATCAGTTTCCTAACAAAACACTTTTAATATAACGCAATAACGTAGATATCTTAGAAATTCGAAAAATCGTTAAATTGACCCAAAATTTGAACAAGATCTGCCATTGGGGCTTAAAAAATATTTTGAGTATGGATATCTGAATTTATCATCTTCCCAATGAAATAAAGAAATTTGAAAAAAACTCGATTAGTTTTCTAACAAAATACTTTTAATACAGCGCAATAAATTTCCTAAAAATCTGAAAAATCGTTGAATTCATTCAAAATTTGAACAAGATCTGCCTTTGGGGCTCAAAAAATATTTTGGGTATGGATTTATACTTCATACATTTTTCCAATCAACATTTAGAAATTGGATAAAAAACTTTCTGTTTTCTAGCCAAATACCTTTAATACACCGCAATAACGTAAATTTCTTAAAAATCTTACGTGTCACGTGACCGGAGAAAGAAAACATCAAATTCATTGTGTTAAAAGTCGTTATGTTCAAAAAAATGAAAGAACAAAATTGAAAAATGAGATGGTTTTGAAATCAACTGAAATTCAGAAGAGAGAACTGCACTCAAAAATGGAAGACAAAGAAATAATTCTGGGTGCATACACTTATTCTCCAAACGCGAGCGCATTGGTGAACATTAAGTCAGAAAATAAAGAATACAGATTCACTAAATCATGGTTGCAGAATATTGGTATTATGCAAACTATATTTAAAAATAATAACAAGCACTTCATTTGCTGCTTCTCAAACGACCCTCCCGGCGATATCCTCTACAGTCTACACTGACGAACAATTGGAAATTTACAAGCTTATTACTAAGCGCGATATTGTGTTGTTACTGGCAGCATTATGAAAGCAAGAGATGGACAAAAAGATTTCTACTATATTTACTCTCTGCTAGTGAGGAACCCTTATCAAGGACACTTGCCATTGCCAGTGGCGACAACTGTTACAAATGATCGAAAGTATCAAACAATTAAAAACTCTAACGTACAATCGGCTCACCAGAATAATAAAACGCAAGGCATAATTGAAGAGCATTTTGGGCAATTGAAACGAAACCATTTATACGGAAAACGCCTGAGTCATCTCGACGAATTCGTTTGGATGTATCGAACTGAAGTCAAAGAAGGACGCGGATTGTGTCCTACATCGAGGATACATCTAAAATTCAGACAGAATCTCTGCTTGTCAAAAAAAAGTTTAAAAAAAGAAAAACACGAGGTAAAGGATTTTATACTACAGGTACCGCCTCATATAAAATTCATTTCGATTACGGGAAAAATCACCACAAACAATGCATCGCGCATATTGAAACCAATTCGACTGCATCTTTAGAAACGCTTGAATTGACTCAGAATGTGCGACATCCGGTATTCTTCTCAGAACATCAGTTGAATATTGAACTTCATATACAGTTTTCTAGAGATGTGTGGGGTAGTATTCCAACTGATTCGATGCTGAGTGCGGCTGCTGTGACGGAAAATGGTAAAATTGTTCGATGGCTAGATATTTATACTCTGTGTCCTGCGCCATCTATAGTTTTGGATTTGGCTGGGAAATGTCTGTTGGATAGATCGCATCAAGCAGGATGGCTGAACGAAAGTATAGTAAAGACATATATGTGTTCAACAATTGTAATAATAAAATTCAGGCGACGTCATTCGTTTTGGATATGTTGATTGTCTTCTAACACAGCATATTTTAGCAGGTAAACCGATTAGAAATAAATAACTCAGCTCTTGAAAATCCGAACCAACCTGGGATTTTGAGAGAAATCTTTTTTTCCACAACCATCATTTTATTTTGATTTGGATCTATTCCTATGCTTACCGCGTTCATTATAGACTCGGCTGAAAGTAAAATAACACCACGAATGAGAATATGCCTCATATCTTCTCCCATTTTTATTGAGTCTCGAAAATATGAAGGAAACATTTCCATTCTTCAAAAATGCTTTATTAGGCAAACGGATGTGACAACCTGTGGCGTATGTGTCTGTATGGCAG